GCCTAGTTACGAATATATCTGGATATCTGAAAACGGTTTTGATTAATTTATGACTGATTTTCTACTGTTTTATATATTTCATAAATGAGGTTTCATAAAAGGTGATGTTTAACAATGGTGTGATAGTCATGTTAGCAGAATCTTTTGAAGATATTTGCCAATAAAGATTTGAGTTGAGGAAGATCATTGAGCACAGAAATGAAAAAAAGTACACTGCAATATTTATACGCAGTAAATCGCCTTGATAAGTATGAGGGGGTTTATTGTCCAGTCCACCACACTTTTCGACCTATCAGAATCGAGGAAATTTCTAATTTGTGCTACTATTAAAGTGGAAAAAAACTGTCATTTTGAACTCTTAATAAAACCGAAAGTTATACTTCATGACCGAACTGTTTTTTATATTAATTGTTAGTAGGCACCAGGGTCATCATACATACAAAGCTCAAGGTCATGGAAAGGTTAGGTCGCATTCAAGAAGGTGAAAAGTCGAACAAACTTCAAAGTGAAACCGGAAGTAAACAAAATTGAAATTCAAAAATCGGCTCCTAAATGATTGTTGCCATTTGGAGTAGGTTCAATACAAAAAAAACATTTTCGAAAATCGGAATTAAAATGGCGGCTGAATATCGATTTGAATGTTTTTTGTAAAATCCAATATGGCAGCCAAGCGGTTGAAAATGAAAGATGATACCATATGTCATTTTTTGTCTATTTTTTTAAAATGAAGAGAACTATTCATGTTCCGGAAACATCGGAAGGCCTCGTTAATTTCCGGAAGTCACAAATTTTTTTAATCTGCCATTTTGAAGGCATCGACGTATTCCTTATTCCTACCAAGTTTCAACTTGATACCTCAAATAGTGACGGAGATATGCCATCTTGAATGTCGAAAAAATGACGAAGAAAACTTTCGCAAATCTTTGATGCTAATATTAATCAAGCGACCCTCCGAATTTCGAAAAACCGTCAGTCAGAGCCCATATGAGATTCGTCCAAAGAATCCAAAAATGAAAACCCGAAGAAGATCCGTCCCATCCGTAAAACACTTCATGTTCGTCAAAAATGACCCAATTTATATTTAATAAATCGATGCACGGAGGTCAACCACATCTACGTTGGCAGAATGTTTGCACCATTTACAGTTTTGACTGCACAAACTGACTTACTAAATTCCGCACAAAAAAAAAATTATTTTATAATGCGCTTTATGCACAAGGTTGTGCTCAAAGTGCAATACAATTACCATACTGTTCTCTAGAATAGGAAGATACGGATTAAGACTAGTAAACGCTTCCTCTTATCTCATGATGGGAATGTAGTGCCTATATTTATAACAATATTTCTTACATTTTGATCTAGAATCGAAGAAGAGTGTTTGAATTCCCATTTCGTGCTATGTTTGGGTGAATATTCATGATTTGGGTAGGAAAGACCAGTAAGTAAACAGACATGAATTAGAGTGATCGCCTGCTAAACTGACGTCACTGCCTAGAGATTCCTTTGACCAGGCCTAGCAAAAATATAAAATGCCATCCCCTTGGGCTCTTCGTGGTTGGGATCATCGGAAAGTTAAACAAACATGTTATAGGCCAAGAAATGTCATGGATATAACATTGAAGCCAGGGGTGGGAGAGTGAATTGCTATAAATAGATGAGCCAAAGAGATGGTGAAACTCAATGGTGGTCTGCCTCCATACAAGTAAAGCCTGGTTAACTACCTTTATCCCTAGACTCTTTAAATCATAGCAGGTGTTCCAATATATATACTATTCAAAAAAAGTAGGGGATATTTGATTTTGGGGGCATAATACTAAAATATGCAAATGACTACGAAAAAAGTCACTATAGAACCTAACAGAAGAAACATTTCCAGTTACATGTGACGCCCAAACGCACCATTAGCTACCGCATGGAATGCAGGTGATGCTTGGGATCATCATGGGGGTCCAACCCAAGATTTGCACGACTCTGACTTTAAATGTTACAGTCAGTGTGGCATTGAATTCCAAGGTTGAAAAATAAGTTTAATTATTTTAGTGACCAGAAAACAAATTTTGAGATGCGTCGGCTTACCCAAAATGAAAGGTTACGTGCCCTTGGCATGCTACAGATCGGCACAACACAGGCGGTTGTGGCGCGGACGATGAATGTTTCTCAGTCTGTCATAAGCAGGCTATGGTCCAGATACCGTGATACACAATCTGTACAGGACAGACCACGCTCAGGTCGACCAAGGGCGACAACTCAAGCCCAGGATCGATTTATCCGTACCTTGGCCTTGAGAAATCGTGTCATCACAGCAAATCAGATCAGCGCTCGTCTTCAAACAGACACTGGTGTGAGAGTGAGTGGCCAGACGATTCGGAATCGACTGCATAGGGGTCACCTTCGCGCCCGACGTCCTCGCGTGATCCCTTGTTTGAGAGATCATCACATTCAGGCAAGACGTCGTTGGTGTAGGGATCGTCAACACTGGGATAATCGACGCTGGAGCAATGTGATGTTTTCAGATGAGTCAAGGTTCACTGTTGATTTTTTGGACAGACGTAGGAGGGTGTGGCGTCGTCGAAACGAGCGCTTCCATGACGTTAACGTCATCAGACATGATCGATTTGGGGGTGGTTCTGTTATGGTGTGGGGAGGCATTACTGTTGCTGGAAGAACGGCTTTACATGTTGTTGCAGGGCGTGTTACAGGCCAGTACTACCGGGACAACATCTTGGCAGTCCATGTTGTGCCGTTCGCACGACGTCATGGCCGCCGTTTCATCTTCCAGGATGACAACGCAAGATGTCACAGGGCCAGGATCGTTACAGGTTACCTCCAACAACAGAACATCACCACATTACCTTGGCCAGCACTGAGTCCCGACCTCTCCCCCATCGAGCATGTCTGGGACATGCTTGGACAGAGGTTACGTCAACGTCAACAACGTCCTGCCAATGTCCAAGTACTTGCTGCTGCGTTGCAACAGGAATGGGACAATCTGGACCAAAATGACCTTAGACGTCTCATTAGGAGTATGCCACGTCGGATCAATGCTTGTTTGGCAAACAGAGGAGGATTTACCCTTTACTGACTTGGTTGTGATGCTGTGGTAACTTTGCTGTTTGACCCCGGGTATCATTTTACCCTTATAATGGCCAGTCTGTGCCTTACTTAGTCTAACGATCATTTGGAATAAATCGATGAATGTGAACTTCATTTCATTTTGTCATTTGTTTCTTCGTCAGTTTCATTAGGTGACTTTAATAACACTTAAAAATCAAATATCCCCTATTTTTTTTTGAATAGTATATGTACGCTGAACAAAGACCGCAACATTTTGGGTTTGTTTTTTGTTTTTTGTTTTTGTGTGTGTGTGTGTGTGTGGGTGTGTAAACGCATATACCACCCTACTGGTGTATTGCAATATTGTCTAGATTTAGTGTTGGCCCAAATGGTTTTTTCTCAGTTGGTTAAAATAAATCAGCCACGTCTTATCCCAGAGATGTATTCTCTCTAGATAACCAGATAACCATTAATAGTTAAATGCACATGGTTGTGTCAGTATACAAATCAGTGGTGTGCAGAGAGAGAGGGGGGGGGGCAAGGGGATGACGACCCGGGCATCCATTTTAGGGTGGCGCCCAATCAACGAGTTAAATTAAAACTAAGTTTTTTTTTAAATTTGAAATCATCGCTGTTAACTTTGATATACAAGCTGCCTTACTTAACGTCTTCAACTCTCTCTCGTTTCTGAGTAATAGGCCCTATGCTTGAGTCTACAACCCATCCACGCCACTGATATAAACTACTTAAGCTTGACAGAGAATAAATTGTTTGACAGACATACCGATACCGTCAGACCAAACTAAGCTTGATTATTTTCTCTTTTGGATCTTCGTATTGTGAACTATGTTTTCCCTAAATTTCAAAACATCTTTAATTGGCACATTATCTACATTTATAGTGTCTGGAGAATTGGATTCTTTTAGTTTTAGTGGCTTAAAAAATACCTGCCGCGTCTTAGCCCAACTATTTTTTCTCTCTAGATAATCATAGAAAACATAATAATCATTGCAAGAAATAGAAAACAAAATTCTCGAGCTGTGGCCTTTTGGCAGACTTGCACAGATGTCCAGAATGTTGCACAAAGTTAATATACTATGTTGCAATTCTGTACCCCGTCTGCGCAAGTTAGATACCAGATGATCGAATCCATAGACTAACTAACCCCGGCATTTTATTGGTCCTCTTTTTTCAGATTTATATTTATGCTCAAAGTGACGTCAGATTATACAAGTATTGGAGATTTCATTTCATTGCATAAAATTTAGAAATAGACCGAAGTATGACTACCCATAAGGGAGCGCCAAAGGTGTCTTTGCCCCCTGAGAACCCTTATTTCCTACGTCACTGGTTGAAGTGAAATGAAAGGGTCAGATGGTCTTTTGGGTAAACATATTTGTAAAGACCTTACTTCCGTTTTACCGTCTTATCAACTTAAATAACATGTACTATGCGCCTGTGCTTGTATACCTCACTGAACAAGGCTCTGGATCCTTAACCAGATTTCGGGTTCACTCCGGGTGTTGGCCGAGATAATTCCTCGGGATTTTCCACCGTGGTTTCCCATTGTCAATGGAAACTCATAGCACACAGCATGACGTATGCACGTCTCCATTAATCAAGTCAACCGGTGCAGAACGTAGGGCCTTTAAACCCCATTTATTTTCGGAAGCCACGTTGGAATTCGATATAAGAGTAGGCCGTAGCGCCGCTGTCTGGGCAAAATTTCCCTCATACTAGCACACTGTATGGCATATGCCCTTCTTCATTAGCCCAGTCGGAATAGAACAGTAGGGCCATAAACACCATTTCATTCAATTTTATTTCATTTTCAAAAACTGCATTCTGGCGATCATCGCATTCGTGCGTCAGTGATGTTGAATTCTCTCAATTTAACCCATTCAGTTTAAACCAATGTTGAGGCAGTAGAAGCAATGACATCTGTATTTATGCTTTATAATTTTATTGTTATAACTTAAATTAAACTTTTACATCTACATAATAAATAAATCAACAATTAATCTGTTTTGATTGGTATCAATTGGTTGTTGGTCAAGTTTCAAGTCATTTGGCGATTTACTGCTTTCGTCGGCGAAGTTGGCGCAATTGTCGTTTTTGTGGCTGTAAAAGAACAAATAAAACATATTAAAATAAAATGAACACGCATCCGAATTTATGTAACAAAAGAACCAGAAGTCGGTAATGTTTGCTGCAATGGGACGTTCGTCACATATAACCCCTGTCATATACTCTCTATAAAGGCTACCAGTAGCATACAAAGTATTAGATATCATCATATGACAAACACAGGCGTTTTAATGAACAATTCAGATTCGTAATGTTGCCTCTATTGCTACTTTTCAAACTAAATTAAATACTTTTTTTACTCAGTGACCATTTTAATAGGTAGAATATCCAGAATAATTCTAATTACATATTATTTTATGTGAATAACATTTTTCTATTCTATATTGATTAATATAATGAATTACGTACCTTCTCCATCACAGTCATTTCATTATTTTGGGCCCAGATAGTTGTCATATACTGAAATAGAAAATAAACCAATTTTCTTGAAATAAGATTAATTAATCTGAACAACATTGAAACTTTTAAGGCAATATTTGTGATAATTTTCTAAATTAGTATTTCATTGGCAATAGATAGAGTCAGATTCCATGAATTCTGGGTTCTAGTGAGATAAAAAAAAACCCAACAAAAATCGAAGATAGCCTAATGGCAGATTAAACACTTTAAGTGGACACTGATAGATATCCATTGTATCCATTAAACTGACATCAAAATGCCAAATAAGCTAGACGATATCCTTGCTCACATCTGGACAGTTTACATAGCCAACATATCTTGTAGTAGGTCAACGTTTTGTCTCTTTACCGTGTATTCGCAAATAATCATTTAATACACGAGGAACTATTATATATATTAATAGGAACACATCAGGTAAAATACAGTTATATTTGTTGCAAATTCGACCATCGAAGTGAATAAACGGTAGAACTTACATCATTGTAAACCTGAGCAATGGACTTTCTATATTCATTCATCATTTCTTTAAGTTCTTCTCCATATCCTGCTACATCCATCAAAGACGACATTGGTGTGGGGAGATACAACTCAGCCTTGAGTACACCATTCTGTGGGTCGTAAACAGTTACATTGGATTTGAAGATGCATCCAACTTTTTCTCTGTACTGGGATATTTCAACTTCAACGATTTCTTTCAACAAACTGAATAATTCTCTTAATTTTTGTTCAACATTTTCTTCGATCTTCCAATAGTTGTAAGCCCATACACCCTGTAATCAGACATCAATGATATTATATATCTTACATTTCATCAATACAACGATGGCAAATTATTCTGATGAATATATTGTAACTTGTCAGATTGAATATTCACTGGGAAAAGTGAATATAATATTGCCTTTAAGATAAATATTTTGTAAAATTTGAGTATTACCTCTTGATAAACGTCATTGGCTCTAGTTTGAATATATTTAACTTCTTTTCTGTTTACGATATCAGCAAGTTGTTGATTTATTATTTCTCTTGTATTATAAATAACAGAGTTATATCTTTCTGGTATGCTCAATGAATTCACTGAATCGGCGATGTTATTTTTAAGTTTTCCGATCAAATCCATATTTCGGATTTCATTTACTTTGGATCGGACTAGCTGTATATTGGAATGATTATAGATGCTGTTAGCATAATCTGTGAAAAAAAAATCCATAAAATATTAAAATCTAAAAGACAGTAATAAAATTGATATCAAAGAATTGTAATCAATCTAAAAACCAAAATTACATTGCAAATAACAATGAAAATTCGACAAGGTAGTCGAGATAAAAACTTCGATTCAACCCACCTGACAGAGGCTGTTGAACATAATAATTAATATGTACTCCAGAATTTTCAACTATTTCTCTAAGTTTTTCATTTACAACATCAAGTATTTCCGCTGATATTTCCATACTACTTTCTAATATTTCCTGTTAAAAAAGGTATGTATCAAATTGAATATATACATCTCAATATGCAAACGATATTAAACAAGAAAAAACTTTGCTTCAAAAGGAAAGAAATGCAGCCGTGTAACGTAAGAGATAGCAAGGCCTGAACTTACCTCAAGTTGTGATACAACATTAGTTACAGCTGTTTCATATATTTCTTTAACTGGATATGATTTCATCTCTTCAAGATAATGTAAGATGCTGTCTAATTTTGCTGTGTAGAACTGATTAAATGATTCAATTAACTGGCTATATGAATCCCTATGAAAGACAAAAAGAGATATATTTATTCTTCGTAGTAGCATATTTGACCAAACTATATTTCTCATTTTTTAAAAATCTTTAAATATTGACTCTTAATCTGGACGAATATAATTATAAAAATTGTACTGGCTAAGACTATCTATTTATACGCAAAGAAGTGGTGGAAGTGTAATGAATGATCACTGGAAATCTGACTTACAAAGCTTCCAGGAAAGAAGTTTCTGCGTAATCCCCCATTGATCTCATATACCAAACATTATCATAATGAAGCTGTCGTAAATGACTTCGGATTTGGGTCATACGTTCTTCCAAATCCATTATTTCTCGTAAAACCATATCAACAAATGGACGAATTTCTTCATCAACAGCACCAGCAATAGCTCGGTATTTGTAACTAATTTCATTTCCAACATGTTCTACGACTTCATCAAAAGCAGCACTTGCATCGGCACGGAAACGTCTTTGTTGTTCAGTGGCGTAGTTCTGAAAGTGAGGCAATACATATAAATTGAAAATAAAAATAACATCTTTTAAGTATAAATACAGAAATTGATTAATTAAACATTACCATGATTTTAATTTTAATAAAAAAACAACAAATTTTACCTTGAATTCGCTAAACATCTCTGGCCTCCATTTCATACTATATTCAACAATTCTGTTCCTCTTGAGGATAATGTCATCGGAAAACAAATTTCTGTGGGCTCTACCATCCAAATATAATTCAGTTCTAATAGCACTATCATTTACTACATGAGCATCAAAGTGGAACATATTGGAAAAGTCATCTATATGAGAAAAGTAGAAAACAAAAATATTTTAAAAATGTATCTGGTTTAAAACGAATAGTGATAAAAGGGGTTCTGTTTTCCGATATTATCTTATAAAGCGTATTTATGGAAATACACTCTTTGAGAATAATAACAAATATTGTGAACTAAACCTACTTATGTCATAGTTGGATTCAAATTGGAAGGATCTGGTTTCGCTATCAATGGAAACGGCGGCGACTGCAGAAGGTTCACCATTAATACGGCTGTTAAAAACAACCTGGTATGGTTCCATACTTTTTACTTCACCACTGACGTCTAAATTCTTTAGTGGACTGACAATCTGTGGATAAAGCAAGTGTTATTAAGGACTGTAAAACTTTAAAATGATTACGAACAATTCATCATTTTTTAATTGAAGTTAAAAAAAAACTTAACCTGTTGAACTATTAATAATGTCTTTAAATACCTGGAGATTGATTTGTTGTCGAAGTCTGTCAATGTCTCCGAGAAGAGCCATGTTGATTCGTTTTCTTGAGGCGGTCAAGTACTGCATCTGCATACCAGAGGCGTATTTCTCACTGGAACTACCAATATGAGATGTGAATTGAACATCAGTGTTGGTGTATGGGTGTCGAATACCAAGAGAAAGACTGTAGTTGTTGTGGTTTCTGTCATAAGAAACATCTTGAACATTTGAGGTCAGAACCAGGGTTTTTCTTGAATCAGGTGAGTAAGAGAATTCAGTCTTTCCGTCAAAAAGAGTTCTACCACTATCTACAGTCATTTCAGTACCAATTCGAATGTCCTAGAAATAGAAATATATTGATATACCACTGTTTACAGCTAAATCAGTATCGATTCAAATATGCCAGAGTTAGAAATATGCAGATACGCCAATACCTGTAACCATTTCAGTAACGATTCGAATATCCCAGAAACATGAATAAATAAGTTTTAAGGAATATATCATAAATATGTAACTTACCTGTTGATTGTTAGGTAAGGTAATGGTAACATCAGCCTTGTGTTTATTGTCACCTGGCATGCAGTTTCCTTTGATACCGATTTGTTTTGAAGTATCTCTTTCAGCATCCCACAAGAAGGCGGCGTCAATGGTTTTGACACTCTTAGTAGAACTGTAACCTCCTCTTGTTTGCATTGTTCGGCTTGGTGTTCCAAGTTTGAATGATGCATCGTACATAGTTTTGTATCGACGACTACTGTCAGACATATCGAAATCGTAGAAGATTTTACGGCCCAACTGCTCATCCCATGCAAATTCCCCTTGGCTCTTTGTTGAATAGCTGTTTCCATGATAAGAACCCTTCATGGCAACTGTTCTCATTGGGTTCACCACTCTTATGTTCAGTTCCTTGCTGTCGCCAAATTGACTAGCAGCCAACAAACGGATGTTACTGTTTGGTTCGTCTCTATTCCAGTTGACAAATATATCCGCATTTAGTTCTTTGTCATTGTACTGGCCACTCATTGTAGCTTCGATTGGTCTTGGTTTGTGCATTGTTACTGAACTGTGATAACTATCACCATACATGTATTCGGTTCCAACATCAAGAAGAGTATCTCCATTATAGTCGGCTTCGACCTTGCCTGTGTACTTTTGGGCATCGTTGTTCAATGTACTTCTTAAATTAACTGAATGAATGGTTTCGAATGGTGTGACCATAGAGAAATCACCACTGTATTGTTTCCTATACAGGCTATCGGAACTTGTGTATCCACCATCCAGGGTAATTTGTTGATCAGTTTGCCATCCGAACATAATATGTGATCGATGTTCGTCGCCAGATTCAGTATTTTGAACAGCAATTTCAAGATTGTCCATGTTTGGCAGGCTGCTCTTTAGCGACAGCGAGCCATCTAGAACGTATGGAGATGTAAAGTCTAAAGTAGCTTCCCCACTGACAGTTCCAGTAATTGGTGTATCAAATTTTCCAGAAGATTTGAGGTTCTTCAAATCGCCGAAATGTGAGAAGGAGAGGTCAACATTCTTTAGTTGGGAGATTGGAGTGTACATTCTAAGACTCCCGGTGAATGGATGACGTTTCAAGTTCAAATCAGCATTCATTGTATAAGCATTGTAATTTCCCAATTTAAAACTCGCTTCAGTTGAGTAACGATGATTTTGGTTTTCAGCAGATCCAGAATATACAACAGTTTCATATCCAGAAAATGGTGTTTCAATATTCAAATCAACGGTATATTTGGGTCCCAAAGTCACACTTGCCTCTCCAGAAATCTTTTGTCGTAGACCATAATCCATAACGGCTTTGGAAGACATAGAATTATCGTTAAAGTTGTGTTCATACGAAAGTTTGGAAGTTTCCAAGTTAGTGAATGGTGTATTGATCTCAAGGGTCGTCGTTACGGTTCTCCACATGTATCGATAGAAGACCAATTTAGTACCAACTTCTTGTCCGTCCATGTATCTTAAATGTGATTGGGTGTTGAATTTTTCAGCTTTTCCAGCATGTTTAAAGTGGAAAGCAAGATTTCTGAAGTCAACATATGGTGTAGTCAATAAAGCGTCAATTGAAATACCTCTCTTGAAGTCATATGCAACTGAACCATCGACAGCTTTGTCGTTATATTTGACTCCATATTCCACTCTGTTTTCGACTAAATCTCCTTCAGTTTTAAGATATGCTCCAGCTTTCTCTGTCTCGCCAGATAAAGTGTAACTATTATCAACTGCCACATGGAAACTTCTTGGGTTAGATTTTACAGTTGTCTCGCTGTGAACAGATGAACCACTGCCAATTGAAGCATCTATGGTAGTAGTACAGTTCAACATTTTGCCGTTGTGTCGGATAGTGGCATCAATTGTTTCTGTGTAGGGATTCTTGATATTGAGAGATAATGATTTATCATCATCAATAAATCGTCCAGCAACTCGTCCATCCAGAACATCTGTTCCTCCATACGTAACTTTACTGGTACAAGCAAAGTCGTTAAGATCACCTCTTTTGTTGAACGCAACTGTAATATCCTTTACATTTGCAGATGTTGCTAGTAAAGTAAATCGTCCATTAGTGTCTGTACCATGAGAGAAAATAGATTCAACATTTAACTTTTCGCCGTAGAGTTCAACCTCGCCATCGGCTTGGAAATTAGACGAAGAACCTTTCCCGCTTATTGATATTCTGTTATTTCTGAAATCGGCGAATGGGGTGGTTACAACGATACTGCCACTAACTTTGGGAGAGATGGAAGCATTCAAATCTGCAACAATCTGTTTAGAATAACCGTATGATATCTCTCCATGACAAGATAAACTGTTGTCATCAATATTTTGGGTGTACTTATATTCAATGTTTTCATAATTCTGGAATGGTGTGGTGATCACAGCTGATGCATCGATTCTATTCATTCCGTTGGCGTAAAAGTTGACATTACCTTCGACCTTCTGGCCATCCATGAACTGTACACTTACAGATGAGCCGAATCTATTCATGTCACCACTGTGCTTAACAACTGCGGACATTTCACGGTAGTCCCTGATTGGTGTATTGATAGTTATCGATGCTAGGATTGGGCTGGATGATTTCATGTTTCCTGAAGTAGAATATTCAGAACCATCTACAAATGTAGCTAAATTCCATTTAAAGTTCTCCCAAGGTCCTTCAGTGTTTGAAACGATGTTTATTTCTTGTCCTTCTCCGGCATAACGGTAGTTCAAATTCTGTCTCATGTTCATGATTGGTAATTCAAGGTTGAATGTTGTTTCTGATGTGACGATGTAATCAGTGCCAATATTGGCAGATACCTTGGTAGAGAAATCTTTAATGTCCCCATTGTGGTCGATTGACAAAACAATATCCTCAGTAAAGGGGGTAGCGATAGTGATAGAGCTTTCTATACTACCACGAGCCTTCATATTACCCCTAATTGCAATCTCTTGTCCGTTACAAGCACCCGTCAAGTGTGCATTCATGTTGTCCCATTCCCCATCCTTGTGAAGGGTAACCGTAGTAACTCTGGTATCTACTGGTAATCTGTAATCTACAGTTCCAACGACATCGATGTTGGGTAGTGCCATGGTGAATGACGCATCTGTATTGAAGGCATAACGACGACCAAGACTTGATGTAAACTTGTTAGTGAATTTACTGAGGCTACCATCATGATCAATGTTCAGTTTCAAGGTATCGAAAAATGGGGTTTTCAGAAGGAAATTGGCATCCATGCGTCCGCTTGACATTGAGTTTCTGAGTCTTGCCTCAATTTCCTGGGATCGGCCATAATTAATTGTTGAAGTCATGCGGAGTTGATTCCAACTGCCTCTCATTTCAGCCTGTGCCTTAAATTCTTCTAGACCGTCAAAAGGCGTGTGGAAAATTAATTTAGCACTCGGTTTTCGTCCAAAAGAGAACGATAAATCGGCATCCATTTTCTTTTTCAGAGCTTCAATCTCAGAATGACTGGAGAAATCTGATAAGTCACCTTGTTGTCTGTATGATAGTTTTGTATTTTCATATTGATCAAATGGTGTTTTGACGACAAGAATTCCTTCTAGATCTTTGCCCCAGTTCAGTGACCAGTCTCCTTCGACCATTTTATAGGGTGCATAGCGGATTTCAGCATGAGTTTGCATGTTGCTGTTTTCGTTTTTATGTGTCATTGATGCCCCAACGTTTTCCAAATACTCATATGGTGTTGTAAGGCTAACGTCCAATATGGCTGGAATTGGTCCATCCATTTTGTATGAAGAAATCAGGCTCACTAGTTGCCTTGGAGAATATTCAGTTTCAATTCGTGAGTGTCTTCCATTATTATCTTCACTACTGGCAGCTTCAATTCGGAGGTAAGGGAAACCAGAGAAAGGTGTATCCATTCTTAATTTAGCTAAGATATCAGAAGCCCATTTGGCATTGAACATCGAGGAAAATTTACCAAAGACAGGGAGAACTTCAAGGTCTGCTTTGGTGTCGATTTCATATGCAGATTTAGCAAATGAAACATGTGAGTCGATGGAACGGAAATCTGGATGTGGTGTTTTCATTTTCAGGGTAATTTCTTTGTTGTCACCGTATCGAACACGTGAATCCAAATCGATGGATTTTCTAGAACCGTATTCTATATTGGCTGTCGAGATAACCATTTGGCCATTGACGTCTTTGTTAGAAGCTTTAATGACGACTGAACTCAATGTTGTGAAAGGCGATGTCACACGCAGTGTTGTGTCAAGATCGAAGTCGTTGGTAAAAGAGAATGTACCATCTGTGGTTATGGTTTGTCTAGGAGCCCATGATAATTCAGCATGGCCAGTTATAGGGAAAGAACCAGCTTTAAAGTTCAGCTTGCCACCTAAATCTTCAGTGTAGGGGTTGGTAAGGATGAAGTCCATATCTCCGTTAGTATCCCCCATTTTATAATTCAGTCTGTATGAGCCAACTTCATTTCGGTTCTTTTTCAACGTAGAAACACCAGAGAAGAAACCACTAGCAAGCTCGTGTTCAGCATTCAATTCGATGTCTCGAATAGCTTCCCAAGGGGTTTGAACTTTTAGGTCACCATTTATTTTACGTGTTAAAGCCAAATGATTTAGAGCTGTAAGACTGATATAAACTTTGTTTCTATTTCCCCATTCGGATGACATCGTAGATTGGATGTCGCTAAGTGTATGGCGATGATTCCAGTTGTTCTTTATACGGAAATTTGGTACGGCAACCACTAAGTTACCATTAGATTGCATCTGCCAGCCGCTTAAGAACAAGGCCATGTCGATATCATAAAGATATCGATCACCATTTCTATCTAAAACCAAGTTGCTCTGGTATTTGTTATCAGCATATGTTGCTTTACCTTCTAGACTAACAGTTTCGTAGTTACGAATGTTGGATTTAAGTTCTAACTTTCCTCCGAGGTCGGTCTTGTAACTGTCACTCATGTCCTTTCCACTTAAGCTAAGTTCGCCATTTGTGTTACCAATAGACCCTTTGACAATGGTGTTTATTTTGTTGTCAGCGTCGTGGGTTATTTCGGCAGCCATTCGTTTGAAACTAGTAAAAGGCGAGGTGGCTCGCCAACTTAAGTCAATGTGGCGTAAAGAGACGGGCTTCATGATGGACAGGTTAGACGATATTTGATCTCGGCCTTTACCCCAGTTAAACAAACTGCTAGTGCTGTATTTACTGGCATCACTGGTGTACTCTAAATTAGCTGTAACCATTGGTAGAAATTCGAATGGTGTTGATATGCTTATAGTACTAGCGATGTTCCTCTCCTCTACATTAATATTGTGTCCAAAGGTTAAATCTACGTTGATTTTGTCACGTGGGCTCCAGGATAGGTCTGCATGTGAAATGTAATTGTCCATACCACTGTGCTTGAAGTTCAATTCCATGGTTCTAGATGGGAATTTCAAGGCAATGACGCCGTCCAAATCTATAAGGGACTTGATATTCATTTCACCTTTCAATGAAACTTTGTCGGCATTCCACTTAGTGTTCAAATTACCAGTATACTGATCGCCTATTCGGCCACCGTCTACGACTACATTAATATGGTGCGAAGGATAGACAACGTCCAAAGTCATCTTACCTTGTGGTTCCTTAGGTGAATATTTTGACACAGAATTAATGCTGTATGTCTCCCCAGCATAATCTACCTGGCCACCAAGTTTGAAATTCTTGAGGTTAAGGTTCGTATTTCCAGAGATGACAAGCGGTTTCATGCCGTGGAGATTAATTTCAGATGAAACTTCGTAGTTCTCTTGTCGTGGTCGTTTGTATGTACTGACGATACTAGACGTGTGGCCATTTTCCATTTTCAAGTTGATGGTGTGTTGCAATTCTTTTTTGGATGCTTGGGCAAGACCAGATGTAATGATGATGTTTTTCCCGGGGTAGGTCAAGGTCCATTCCCCTCCCATTTTGGTGGTTTTCTTACTGTCATCCTTCAGACGAAGACTGGTTTCAATAGCTTTTCCTTCGCCATAAAGCATTTTTAAACCGGAAACTAAATGACCATTGCTGTGTTTGTGGTCACCATTAATTTGTACATCAATATCCTGAAAAAGGAATAAAGAATACAAAATAAAAATATACCCACAAAAGATTGGCTTTATGAAAAATTCTGAATAATTACTTCTTAATATTTCAGGCTTAAAATATTTAGTTCTATACAGATAAATTACTTACCAAAGGTCGGATAATAGCCCTGCTCTTCATCGCTACAGAGGCTCTCTTCATGGATCCCTTATGATCAGCATTAGTTTCTAGGCGGAAATGGTTTTTGGGGCTAACACCATACTTAAAGTTAACAGTTCCTTCGGTATGTCGGATGTTGTGAGACAAATCAATGTTTGAATTGAAGTTGTATTCTGGGTTTTGTTTAACATCAAGGTTGCTGAAAAAACATTTTTTGAATTGTTTAAAATCTGTCTGTGAGTGTAACATACTGTATAAATATCCATAACGATGAAATGCTTACAAATATTGTTGATTCTTTCATAGTTTCGTAAAATCCTTATCTTAATACTTACCTATTCCAGGTAATTTTGTTCAGGGTCTTAGTACTTCTATCACTGTATTTACTGTTCAGTGTTATCTTATTCTTCTTAGATTTTGGAATATTGTAGTCAATAATCAATCGTGAGGCTGTGCTTCCGGACCTTTTTCTATCAACAAGACCATCAACTTTCATTGTGATGAGTTTCGAGTTTAAGACCAGATCAGCGAGGTATTTCACTTGTTTATTCTTTCGAGCTACCCGGTTTATGTTACCTGTAATATGCAAATCATAAATAAATCTCTATCAATTTATGTCGAATATCCTCATTTATGGAATTCCGCGCGGGGATATACATGTATAAGGGATATAACAGTCCATTTAGCTTTCGTCGCTATTTAAGAGGTGAGAGTTCATGTACTGTTCTTTCAAAACGTAGTAAAACCGTCGAAAGGGATTATGAAAGTAATATCTTATTTTACTTGCTGGTTTTAGCTCGCTAACCTGAATGTCCCGTGTTCGATCCCAGCGTTGGCCGAGAATGTTCATCAGGATTTATCGGTGTGGATCCCAAATTTGAGTGGTGCAGGAAAGAGGGCACGGTGAGGCACAACGCATAGCACATTGCATTATCACAGTCGGAGAAGAACAGTAAGGCATTAAACCCCATATCATTACATTGCATTTACTTACAGCTGAAACTAATTGGTTTCTTCATCAGAGTATCCAGGGCAATATTTATATCAGCAATCAACCTTTTATCTTCTTTGTATTCACAGCTTCCAGAAATGGCAGCCCAAGATGATGATGGTGTCTTAAGCTCGAAGTTTGGGATTAGTTTTAATGATGATGAACTGTAATCGTGAAGTAAACTAGCTATGATAGAATAGACTCCTCTTCCGTAATTCACACTACCACTTATACTCTTCTCTCCCTTGATATTTGTTCCAACAACTATAAGAAAGCATACAGTAATGTTTTTAGTAAATTATACGTTATAATGAGGAAAAGAATTTACTTTGAGAGGGAAGATGTCAAATTTGAGATTATTTATGTAATCAAAAAATAACAGTCTCATGCTTACATTTGATGTTCATTTTCTTGGCTTCTGATGGATCCATGGTAAGATCAACAATAACATTTTCCATGCCATTAATAGTAACTTTACCGTCCATCTTGTATTTATCCATTTTAGGTCGAACAATGACAATATTTGGTGTATATGTGATACGTGATCCATCCTCCATGACTTTTGTATCGGCATCGATTATCAAAACCTTGGCATTATTGTATGATACGTGGCCGTTGAATGATTTCAAATTATCTTTGTTTTTGAACACACCTATTAAAAAACAGAGGATTACAAATAAACATAATTTACAAATAAATGGATGCTACATAAATAAAAAATCTTTTGCAAAATTTCTGACAATTTTGTTTGACTTAAAAAATTAACTAAAGATCAATTCAACGATCTTTGTAGTTATAAATGAATATGCAATCCATACCTTTACTGGCAGCTTGGACCCATGGAGATCTCATTCTTACTTCCATATCATTATTTTTTGTGTCAAGGATAAAATCAAAAGACATATCACGATCAATCTTGGATCCCGGTGTATCAAGAGCCAACTGAACAACATTGGTTGATGGACTCTGAAATATTAGCACATGATATAATTGGTATTCAACATGGTCAAAAAATGCGGCGAAATGTATTTAGATACAGTGCTGGTATTCCAAATGCTAACATTAGGTAAATGAAACCAAAAGAAAAGAAACACTATTTTCAGGATTTTATTTCATCATTAACACAAGATGCTCACCAAGATAGTATTTATGCTTACCTGTGTTTTCTTAGCCAGAAGTCGATATCCAATATGGCTGTCACGCTTGTGCAAAGTCAGACTGACTCCAACTGGCCCAGTGAATGGGAAGTAGGGGGCATCGGCCTTCATGGAGGCGTTTGGGAAGCTAATTTCTCCACACAATTCCAATCCAGTTACCTTGGCCATGCGAGATCCAGTACAGACCGTTGCTACCTTTCGGTTATCAGTGACCATGGTCTGTTCTTTCTCAATATCGCCATGGACGGTGAAGAAAGCGGTCCTAGAAAGATGAAAAAAAGAACTTAATGGGTAATTCATTGATTGTTAAGTATAAGAAATAGTTAGCTATCTGAACTTTTAACATAAAAGAAGTAACGACGTGTAGATAGTTGTTTCAATTTATTGTACTTACTTGACGTCTAAAATTTCCATTTTATCCTGTGGCATATCGAATTCAACTTTCATTATCTTTCCTCCGTGGACCAAGATGCTTCCTTTAGCTGCAGTGCTTGAGTGAAGTGTGCTTGTCATTCTTAGTCCAGATTTTGTGACGTAGGCATCAACACTCATACATCCAGTGATAGCTACAGCACCACTACAAAGACAAACGTATATAAAAATAAAGTAGGTTTAATGTACAAATAAAACATGAATGGATAAAAGGAATGTCGATGCATTAGGCCCCCTAACTATAAATTTGCGATAACTCCTTAGTCTCTTGTAATTGTAAAAAGTATTCTTTTTAAAATTTAAAACAACATTTACCTTGGTTGAATAGTTCCTTCGATTTGGAGTCTTGATGGGTTGGCGGTCAATTTATTTAATCTCATTTCACCTGATGCTTTCATATCTACGGTTGCGACACCATTGACAGTGAGATTAAGAGGCATGCCAGACGAAGTAGGAACGATAATACTGCTGTCCAAAAACATGAAGCTCTGGGTGAAGGAAAGGTCATGCTTATTAGACAATTTTTTGAGGATATCTTCGAAATTCAGGCTCTTCATTTTAGGTAGTGAATCAAGACCTTGGAAGTGTGTGAAAGCCATTTCGTTACCAAACATTCTCATATACATAGAACCTCTGAGTTGGTCAAGTTTAGCCTTGCTCTGTAATTGAAATACAATTTAATATTTAAAAAAAGGATGTGAGATATAATATATACATTTCATAACACATGCCTTAATATTCACAACCATCTGTAATAATAAACTATAACATAAACTGTAAATTAAGCAAATATAGATACATTTACTTGTTTCAATTAATGTTCTAGATAAAGAAATGTAAAACAATTGAATTAATGTAATGGGAAAAGAAATGTAAAACAAATGAGAGATCAGATTTTCTTTTCAAAATAAGATGATTACCTTAGCAACAGATTTGGATGAACTCTTTTCACCAAAATATCCAAGTGGTCCAAGGTAAGTTTCTAACAAATATTCCAAACCTTCAATACGACCTCCCATATCCATGAGGTTTACGGAATTACCGAAAAGGTCAACAGTCAAGTTTAGGTTAGCAGATCTTGGAATAAAAGATTTTGAAGACCAGATGATGTTGCTTTCAACCATAGCACCGGTGTTGATTTTCTCTAACATAAAAGACCCCTCGTAGTTTCTAGAATATTTCAGCTTTTCCATGTTGAATTCTTTCTTCAGACGAGCATCTTCAAGGATAAATCTGATGTTCTGTTTGTGTGGATTGGATGTTTCCATCAAATTAGTTAGATGAGACCAAACAAATGAACCAACTTGATTAGCATCTTCTGATTCCAATGTTGATTTAACTATGTTAATAATATCTTCACTTGGGCATCGCATGACAGCTTGGTAAGCGGCGATTCTCAATTCAGAGTCTTCGGATCTATCTCTGAATATCGTCATTGGTCCACTTCTCTGTAAAACAAGAAAAAAAAGTTCATGTAATAAGATACGCCTGTTGTTTGATACATAACATTTTTGATCTCTATAAAATTTTGAAAGTATAATTTAATACTTACATCCGCTGAGCATGGTAATCGTCGGAAAGCTTCAAGGGCAGCAACTTTTATTTCCATTGGGTTAGATGCTCTTTTGAAGCAGTTGCTCAAGACAGTAGATCCAATTGTGTTGCTGTGTCCAGCGTTTCCAATTGCTCGGAGAGTTCTCAGGGCCTATAAAAGTGTATTCAATAACGTGTATATTTGTAGATATAAGAATATTATTGTTATTATTTTCATGAAAAGAAATTAAATTATTAGAATTAAAATGGATAATTGGTGTTACCTTTTCCAGATTGCTATCGCGAACATAGCATCCACTTCCCAAACTGGTTTCGAAGATTTCAATGATGTCACTGACTTCCATCATGTCAGAGCAGCCAGGTGTCTTGGTACAGAAATTGTTTACCAAAGAAGATACTGGGAGCATGGCCTTTTCTTGAATGCTGTTCATACGAAGAATATCCTTGGCATTGGCCAACATTTCTCTGGTTGGTGCCTGAATAAAAGCGAGGGTGTTAATCCACATTTCAGCAACGAGTCCTGTGATTTCCTTGTTCATCAATAGTTCTTTCATCATTTCAACAGAGCTGCTGGTACTGACCATTGGGATGGCGTCAAGGAAGAATTTCTTGGTTCTTTCCATATTACCACTACATATGGAACCACTGGTAACTTGTATGTAGATGTCTCTCATTGTAACTGTGTTTAGGTTTCTCAGCAAATGAACAAGTTCAGAAAACATCATTGGTACCTGTGGTCTAATGTCTGAGCTTGTAGCATGGCATATTTCTTGAAGTTTTCTTTCAACATCCTTTCGTTGCATCTCAGATGACACTGGCTCTTTGGCATGTTCGAAAAACATGTTTGCTCTTCGTGTGATGTAACCTAGCATAAAGAAGGCAGACAATTTGAACATTGCTAAACACAATTGTTGGAATTTTGGATAGTAGAGTGAATATCTTTAAATGTGTTTTAATGATATAAAATGATGATGTGTACCTGGTCTTGTTGTCACACCTTGTCTCATTGATTTATATTTCAGTTTCTGGATAATTCTTGTTAAGGCACCGCTATTCTCGTTTGAGAATGGTCGGTAAACGTGGGTTTCTTTACACATGACGTTCTTGAGATAAGCTTCAGTGTTATCGACTTCCTGGTTACATTCATGTTCACTTTTAATCAGAGGTAATGACTGGATTTCCTGCAGAAAGATAAACAAGATTTACTCAAACCACTGCCTTATTTTTCTTTAAAACAAATGTAGAATTTATTCAACATTATTTATATCACCACACCACAGAGACATTATAGCAGGTGTTATGAAAAGCAACAGCAAGCACAATAGCCTTCTCCATTTTAATATAGAAAGGGATTAACAAATTAAACAAACTGACTGGAACGCATATTTTATCATTATTGTATATTATGTATATTTGTATTGGTATTTTATTTGAGATAAAACTTACAGATGGAACTCTATAAGGCATAGCTTGGATAACACTTCTGTAGTTTTGTCTATCCATACAACCTAATAAATTCTTGGATTTAGTAATAGTTGTCGTGTACCAGTTTTTAGAGCTTTTATACTGAGTCATACACTTCCCTGTTACATCAGCCTGGAAAACAAAGATACGTTCATTTCACTCTTTGAATATTGTGATTTCTTTAATCTTTTTTTTTTAAAAAATCAGTTATATAAACTGTTGACTCCAGGACTGACTAGAGTCTAACGTGTTATTTCAAATTATACAAATAAGAATAAACATGTAATGTATTCGAATTTTTACCTCATGGACAGATTGGTCAGTTTCAAATGCATCCATGGTGTTCTGGAAAGTTGAAAGGACACCTCTTTTGATGTTCAATATCCATGGCCTATCACCCTCAACTGGGCACAGCTCTTCTACGGCACCATCTTGGAAGGCGAATCTCAGGGTGTTAGCTTCGAGAGCCATTCTGAATTCTGAGTTGTCAATTGGTCGCATGGCCTCGCTAGGATCTGATTGGAAAACTTGCACGTTTCTTAACTGCAAATATAGAAAATAAACTACTTTATAGCAGATACTTTAATATTTATTGAAGGGGTTCTGCAGCGTTAAAATTACACACGGCGTCTTTAAATGAAAGAAAATGTATTAACTGAATTTATGCAGAATTCAAATCGTATGAACTCCAATTCAAATTATTTTACTAACAAATGTTTCATTTCTGTAACGAAATGAATTAAATTGTAATGAGATATTACCTTGAGTGCAAATTCACATTTTGACATAACCTCAACTTCAGCCGTGGCCTTGATTCCAAGGGTAGCCTTTTCATCGGATGCGCCTTCCATAGCAGTATGTGTCTGGACATTGTAGTCAAATTCATAAGTCGTTCCAGGTCGATATCTAAATTTTGATGATTCTGGACATCAATAAAATGAAAGGAAAAAAAAGTAATCCAATTTACAAGATAAGATAATAAGGCACCCAAGACTATTCAAATCTGTTTTAATTTTAAGTAGCTGCAAGATAAGATACAATAACCAGAAATGGAAACATGTTAAAAAAAACAGTAAGACGCTTAATGGTATTCTTCTTTGGTAGTAAAACAATAGTATTACTTACCTGTGCATCTTTGTGCACACATAGTATTATCATCGCTTTCATAACGAACATTTATTGGTCCTGAAAAGAGAATTCAGTCATTAATGATACGGAGTTGCTGTTGCTGTTCGTAGAATTTAACGTCCGCTTCCACCAAGAATGATATCTTAGACATTGCTTTATTTTATATTGGTATATATATATACAGCGCATGAGCATGGGTCTCCTCTGTGTGAGGAAACCAGGGTAAACCCACGAGATTGAGAAGGCGCTCCTATATCCAACTCCCTCCCTATACGCTTATACCAGGGATCAAAACCACGACTGTAAGCCAGGAGTGACAAGCATACTTGAAGTCGAAACGCGACACTCTAGACAGCGGGACCTCGACTTTTCGTCCCATCCGAACTACTATACACTGTCCTTGTCAGGCCCTCTGTCCTGCACCACTGACAGGGGGAAACCACCCCAGGAAATCTCAGGGTTAGTTTGTCAGCGTCTTTCTCACCGAACCACCGGTTATAACAATGGTTATACAAAAATAAGGTCGAAAAACGCTAGACACAAACATTTTGTCGAATCTTTGTGTCGATATCAAATCAGATCATTTTTATTAGTAGTGGTCATTATTATTACTCTAAGTTGTGAAATAACAAAATCAAATAGCACAATATGGCTGTAAAATATGGTCTAGTGATCTGGATTAGATTAATTTTCAAAGACACTGCTTAGAGAAAAAATATAGAAGAATACTAGTGAACTGTGTAGATTGTATAGACAAACATAAATGGAAAACTTAAAAATAATAAGTAAATCAATAAGTTGAAGCTTACCTGCGAGAACTCCAGCCACAAGGGCTGCTAGTAGCAGTATTCTGGCCTCCATAGTATAGCGTGAGACCGACGCTTTCAATATCTGTTCATGTGTAAATCTGCTAAACTAAATTGTAATTGGGTCTTTTATACCCTCAGATTGATAGTCCAGATATCAAAGTCTAAAACTTGAGTGATCTATGTAATTGTGTTAATGTAGTGTAATCATAAATATTGACAATTATCAAGCAGGCTGATGACCGTCATCCACCTAAATTTAGCTAGCAAGGGTCAGGGGTCTTCAGATAATGAAGTTGACATCCCTGATAGAACTTATGCAATTATTAATTTAACCTACCAAATGTTTTTTCAGTTGATACAATTAAATATTAAAAGAGTGAGTTAGGGAAGTATTTTCTACCCATGACTCTAAGGCCCGTTTTCAATTTACATTTTACGAAGCTGAATTGTGAATTGATGCAGTGCTGGAACAAATGAACTGTTTACTTTTTAAGACATTTTGGGGCATAAAATACATAATATTCATATCACCCTTTGTTCAGTTCTTAATTTTTATTCCATATATCCCGTAAATGACATCTCTACGTGAAGCCATTATTGTAGATTCCATATTACAATTTCTAGGTAAAGGTGGCAATTAAGTGAGATGTTTGTATTGTATGAGATGGTAATTTAGTTTAAGAGATGGTAATTTAGTATCATGGAGAGATGGGAGAGAGAGAGAGAGAGAGAGAGAGAGAGAGAGAGAGAGGGGGGGTTAACGTCCACTCGACACAAACTAGGTCATATAGGGACTAACACATGGTTCAATTTTATTTCTATAATTCGCTTGCGCGTAGGGGTCTTTAGCAGTGGGAGGAAACCGGAGGACCCGGAGAAAACCCACGAGGTTGGACATGCGACCCTACTCCTTATCACGTACAACCACGCCAGTTGACTCAATGACAGACCTTATGATACAGCACGCAAGTGCTAACCATTCAACTATCCGCCCCCACCCCCACCCCCTCATGGTGAGTTGGTGTTATGGTTGTACGAGATGCGTTGTGAGAAGGTTGTATTATATGGTGTTATAGTGTGATGGTGTCATGGTTTATTACATGGAGTTATAGTGGGATAATGTACGAAAACATGGGTGTACAGACTCACAGCGAAATGATACAAAGTTGCAACAGGCGGTGTTTTAAAAGTATTTTAACTCCACAAATTATACGATTATTCGCGAAATTTGGAATTGTAAGAAGTGAAGTTGCTGATATATATTTTGTAATAAATACTGTCTCTGGTATCACCCAGTCTTCATTGGCCAAGTCATTGCAGAAAAGTAGGACGTTAAACCCCATTGTATTCCTTGTAACAAGACTTCTTTGAATGGAATGATAATTTTAAGCACCAGTAGGTGAAACCGATTAATACATTATTCATTTGTTTCATTCACTTTAATAAAATAAGTGTATGGCCTTTGATCCGATACCGACAATAATAGTATCCTACTCACGTGAAATACAAAGTCCATGGCTGTAGTTTCATAATATACTGGGAATCAATTTTAAAATGCGCATTTGTTTCATTCAGTGTGACTTATCATGTAGACAGTTTTATTTTTGATAGAAAGTAAAACGAATAGGTGTATTTCTCATTCTATGGAAAAGCACATCACGGTGTGTAAATGCGCATTCAGTTAATTAAAAAATAACTGACTTGGTTGTAATATTTTGTTTTCTGTTTCAAACTTTAGTCAAAAGGATGTTAAACTTCACAACCTATCAGCCTTTGAAATGCATCGTCGATAATGCGATTTTTCGAATTAAAAAGTGCGCTAAGAATATAGCGGCCTTTAAAATAATTGTCAATTAAGAGTACTTAAACCGTATGTCCCATGTTACAAGGTATGTTGCACTCCCCACCCCCCACCCCCGGCTTTGAAACTGTTTGAGTAATACTAGGTCTCTATCGTCAATATGTCGCATATCTGGGATTACCCAGAGATCGCGTTGACAAAACACAGAAACTGTAATTTTACAAAAAGAACATACTAAATGCTTTTACTGAAGTGCAATAAAATCAAATCAGTTCTTCACGATTTTGACACAAGAAACTTTGAGAAGGCAAAAAAGAAAACCCAAAACCGACCGCGACTGTACCAAACACCAAAATATCAAGAAAATTCAGAACGTGTACAGAGAGGAAGGCAAAGAAAACGGAATGAACTTAAATGGGGTTTAACGTACTTATCTGCCAGACGTGCTAATGGAGACGGGTATGCTGTGAGGGAAATAATCTCCATGGAATTCAGAAGTGTTGTTCTACAAATTATTTTTATGTAGCTGAGCAGTCCGTGCCTTCGCCCAACCCCATCCCCTGGATCCACCCCCGGGAATTGTTATGAAAGAGTAAGGAAAAGTAGAACGTTAAACCCCATTTCATTCATAAAATGGAAATGGACGAAAAATCGGATAGCGGACAGAACATTCAATTTATTAGGCATTCCCGAAGATCTAAAATTCAAATTGGTCTTGCATTGTCGATTATGCCTTTTTTCGAATAAAAACATACGTTAACAGTACACTGTCCCCGTAACTTTCGGGTAATCTGACTTTTCGGGCAGACGGGCAAAGTGAAAATTTTTTTTAATGGTTTGCAAACGCATTTGGCCCCTACACGATCAACCGTAAGCTCAGCGCTGACGACCGGCGCCACCGTCTGTAAAAGGTATTTTTTTCGGGTATTTCAGTTCTGCCACTAACATTCATCGAGCCCGTGCGCCTATGTGCCTGTTACAAAGTATGTAATCCAGTCAGGCATTGCTATGAAACCGTGCAGAAAAGTAAAATATTAAACCCCATTCCATTCATGAAACGGACGAAAAATCAGATGGCGGACCGGACATTCAATTTAAAAGGTATTCCCGAAGAACTAAAACTCAGATCGGCGTGTCAGACGTCCGAAAAGTTAATATTCTCTCTCGCATTTTTGTAAAAATAATTTGGTATAGTACTCTCGGACGTCTTTTCTTGTTGTGTGTGTTTCTTCGTGATCGTAATAAGTTAACAAGCATCAATGGTTTTACAACTTTATTGCTACGCTGTAATGGCTTTAAAGGTTCCTCGTTCTCAATAATAATGGCTGCTTAGAATATCCGAATGAGCTCTGATCCATCTCGTTCTACACCCTAATTTATACCCCCTAATTTCTGCACGTCTTACATAGTCTTAACGTTAATTTCCGTCCCAAATATGGAATAAACCTCTTTATTTCACACGACTAAAGGAGGAGACAATACCATATTTGGTCTACCAACCATTGGTCAATTAACAGACAGAATTTAATGGATATCTTGATAATGGTTATGATTTTACCAAAATATCACTGGGTTTTTTTATTTATATGTGTGAGTTGACTCTATAGACAGAGTGAAGCAACAATTTTTCAAAAGAACCAAAATTGTCTTAAGGACCAAAGTGTTATATTGGTCCTGAAGCTCGAATGTACTTTGATATCAAAAACATCATTTCTACGAAAGAAAAAAAATAGGTTTCGCATATCTCTTTAACAGAAACTGGACTTATGGACCCTATGATTCGGAATGTATCAATAATTCGGTATAACACTGATAACTTAGGTCATGAACTGTGTGATGCATGTACATTGTTTTATCTCTTCCACCTTATCACAGAATTATAAAATCGGAGATATGTTCATGCTCCTTTTGAATAGGCGGAAATATCTGGTCTATTCTTTTGCTTTGTTATAGGTCTCTTGTTGTTTTTGACTTCCATTCAAGATGTTTTTGACCAAAATAAACCCCAACTTTACTATTATAAGCCTGCCATCGATATTGTTCTTACTTGTAGGGGCTCGATGACAGTTAGGGGGAAGAACCCGAAATGTCCGAAAAAATTTCGGGTTACAGACGGACGCGCCGGTCTTCTGCGAGAGCGGAAGGGCGCAGATTACTGTGTAGGGACCACCCAAGAAAAGTTTGGAAAATTTGACGGCGCATTTTCCTGCTATTCTAGCCCGTGATGAATACAGCAACTTCAAAGTGGTCTAATATAGCCTAATTACGATGGCTGAATTAAATTCCAATCAATCATTCAATCGTTTACAGTCCACGGAGAAAGAGGGTCGGGAGAAATTTTGAAAATTTAACCGTTGCAAACGCGTTTTCCTGCTATTCCAGCTCGTGAATACAGCAATTTCAATGTGATCCAATATAGGGGGATTAGGCCGAATCCCAAACAACCAATCAATCGTCGCGGTGTATGGGGGCCTCGCCCTCCCGGAGAAAATTTAGAAAATTTTCTACTATTCTAGCCCGTGAGGTAAGCAACTCCAAAGCTGTCCATTGGTTTTGTAACCGAAATCCCACTCTATGCTGGCCTGAATTCCAAACATCCAATCAGATCATTGCAGCTGCATTCACTTCATAATAATCGATGTCCGAAAAATGTAGCACAAAATAGAGTGACTCCAGGCAAAATGTTTTAATCCATAGTCAATTCAGTACAAATTCATGATATTCAATTAAAAGAAAAGTAAAATTAGTGTTTTATTAGATTTCTGGCACTTTATTTTGCCAACTAGATGAAATACATTTTTTTTTTCACTTTACCCGCCTGCCCTAAAAATCAGATGCTTAACAAAATACAGTCGCAAAAAGATGACTACCTAAATCAATACAAACTAAACCGGATATATAGACTAAACATGGCCATCTAAATTTTACATTAATTTCATGCCTCGCCATGGTTATGGCATTACTCACGCAAATCAACCCCTAGGTTCTGATCACCTTAAGTCATGAAAGGCGTTGTCGATCTCTCAATATTATTTTTAGTAAGAGTTCGGGCGGATCAAGGCTCCGATGGGATGTAGGCAGCGTGAGTAGCTGAGCCATTTGCGAAACTAGACCTCCGTTATCGAATTTCCATGTACAGAAAAACTTGGAACATTACCATATAAGTCGGCCTGCTACAATCAAGTGATGCTCAGATAAGTTTTTTCTTAAAAGAAACGAAATATTTGTGTCTGTAACTTAACATTCGCTTCATTTTCAACAATGTCATCTTTATCTAAACTGGGAATTTAAGTCAATTTTAAGTTCTAACATATAGCAGCTTTTTAGTTCTGTTGCCCAAGAAAATGTCTTTTTTTTTGCGAACATCAGCGTTCCTTCTCATCAAAGACATATAATTCAGTCTCATTTGCCCTATTGAACTCCTGGTGGGGCATTTCATTAATTTTAGACGTGAAAACTATGATTCTGAGATAAATCTTAAGAGCTATTTCGACATTAGTATGGACGACCGTCAACCTGTTTTTGTCAATCAGTGTGAGCATTTCATACAACCCTTGTAATGCAAGGCGCGATCATTTTCGAGGACAAAATCGCCAAAACATTTTGGAAAATGAAGGCGAAAGTCGCTTGACCGGATGCCAGCAAGTGACCAGTCTTCCATGCTGTTGTTGATTGATCACTCTATAGCTCATCTTGAGCCTGAAAGCATAGCCCCCCCCCCCCCTCGTAGTGCACTGCAGTGTGGGTTACAACCGAGTTTCGTGATTATGTAACCCAGTTTAAAAGGTCGTCGAATCGTTTTGGGGTCTATTTTTGTGTGAGGTGCAGGCAGCTGCCTTCACTGCCTATGTAGGTAACCCGCCTCTGGTAAGAGTAATTTTTATTCACCTCCATAAGTAAACCATATCTAAGAAAGTTGAATAGTATTATTATTGCGAGTTTCGTTAGCTAGTTATGTTGGCAAAGTTTTGCTTTAGGTTTTATGGTATGTACTTAATTCAAACAACTAAGTTATCAGTTATCATGATTAGTTATCAATTAGTGAATTTAGTACATGCACAAGTTTAACGGTTATCAATACTGTGATTAGCGGTTATCTTCCATTTACTTTTATAGTACAACAACCTACACGATTTTTTGTTCTAAATCTTCATATCATTCGTGCTGTAGCCCGTATAATTCTAAGAGTTCACTGGGCGTCCAAATATAGTATAATTTAGTTTGACTTCCTATACATGTACTTCTATTCATTCATACATAGTACAAGACAAAAGTATATAATTCATTACTGTGTCTATTCTAAAAGTTAATAAATAAATATGAAACAAGATTATATAGCGAGGGAGCCACTGGGTCTCATTGAGTAGGACGTTGGCTCGCTAACCTGGAGATCCCGTGTTCGATCCTACGTTGGCCGAGAAAATTCATCGGGGTTTTCCGGCGTGGTTGCCCACTTGTCAGTGATGTAGGAAGGAGAACATGGCAAAGGACAACTATAGTCGTTCGGATGGGACGTAAAACCGAGACCTGTGTACACACTGGCGTGCACGTAAAAGAACCCTTGACAGTAGGAAATCGAAATAAGAGTGTAGCGCCACTGTCCGGGCTAAATTTCACTGCATTACAGTAGAACAGTAGGACGTTAAACCCCATTTCATTTTTTATACAAGAGAGTAAAGTCACAAAACACACGGTAATATATTTCTGGTTTGTTTAAATGTACTTAAATTCAAATGAATCTGAACATTTTAAATTCTTTCATTTTGGATCCCAACTATGACGCCATAAAAACTATGACGCCAGGGCGTTTTACTTAACAAAACGTTTTATTTTTTTCTTGAAATAACGTTTTACGCGCTACGATTTATCCCAAACAAATTACAAAAAAAAACCCAATGCAGTTTGATTCAATAATAAATATGTAAGACAAAATCATACTCAAAATCGGCAGAATTCGGCCAGGGCAAAATGACATAATTTATCGGAAAATGATATCTTGTAATCGGTGTCTTTCACTCAGTGGTGAGAGGATAAATAATTTATTTTTAAAATTCCCCCAACACAGAGTGGTAATGCAAGGAAAATGTGCCGAAAAATAGAATTTGACAAACATTAATTTAAAAAATGTATTTTTCTTTGGGTGGGGGGCATTTTTTTTTTCAAAGTGGCTGCCAAATTTGGTAATATAATACCATTTAAAAAAAAAACAATCTCAAAACATAAATTTGGCAACAGCGATAATATCTTAATGTATGACTTTATGGTTTCCGATGTCTCTGAGTTTAAAATTCAATTTCGAAAATCAATAATGGCATTAACACAAATCGGCGGATGTTAATTTAATCGTCATTTTTTTTCATGTGGGATATATATATATATATATGGGTTTGGTGGTTGCTGGGTTCTATTTTTTAAAAAAAAAAAAGAAAAACTAGTTATGAATGGTCCAGATGGTGCAAATATGAAACGACAATCAAAACAGAAACCAAAATGGCGATGCCTGTCGTTGTGGGTATTGCTTGCAGAAAGGTTTTTAGCGTTACTGAATTCAATATTGGGTTCAAAACTTAATTTTAGAGAGGATAGTCACACATCAAATTTGTGCGTAAGCTAGAAACATCAGTACAAATTACAGAAAAAAAACTGAATCAGTTTTATAAAAGCAAGGATCGAAACCCACCGGACCCCCAATAGAGTGGGAACCCCTCGCGAGGCCAAGTTCAGGGACCCTCAGTCTCCTAGCGTCTCTTGCTTGTGAAAACTGTACTACTGTGTGCACCCTGTAGTTTGGATAGAGTCCCTCTAAACAATCATGTACCCCGTAGTTCGAATAGTCTCTAAACCATGACGTACCCTGTAGTTCGATGTAACCTGTAGTTCAGATTGATCTGTATACCATGATCTACCCTGTAGTCTCTAAAACATGATGTACCCTGTAGTTCAGATAGTCTCTAAACCATGTTTACGTTGTAGTTGGGATAAACCATAGCTTTATAAATAAGAGGTCGATCGTCAAATGAATATGAATGACATGGTTTCTCTTAAATGAAGAGATTCTGCACATGCTATCACACAACATGGTGGTCTCGTCGCCTTGTGGTGACCCTTGGTCTACCAGTTCGGGGGCGATCACCTGTGGTGTTGGTGGTCCGAAAGCATTGCTGAAGCATGTAGATGGTCCGAACATTGAACTGGAAGTGATTGGCAACGGCGTGGGCAGTGTGGCCAGCATCGAGTCTTCCAAGCGCCTGGTTCCTCTGAGCTGTCGCGAGTTGTGACATGCTGCTGACGTTATAGTGTGAATGATTCAACCAGGTATGGGGTGCATTTTATAGGGCTGAAAATCATGGAGAACACATTACCATCTCATAAGTCAGGTTTTGCTTTTGAGAACATTTCCTGGGTTCAATTCTATGTTTGGGAAAGAGCCTTAATGCTCAGGTAAAGTTGGAGATGTGGTCACAAATATACAATAAAAACAGTTGGCAAGTTTTATGCAGTGGGTCTATTCAGAGTAATATACCAACCTGCTGTGTCTTTTGCTGCTTCGTACATATATAAAAATTACAAGTAAATAAATACAAATATGCCGGAAATTACTGGAACATATTGAAGGATACGATCATTGGACTCTCCACCAGAATGTAGTGCGAACAGGATGGACAGCGAGTGCCACCCGGGAGCATATTGACAGAACCAATGATAGTTAATAATTGACTAGGCAAACAAAATGACATTTAAATATGTTAAAGTAAATTTATTTCAAATGATCTTAAAGTAATCATCATAATAAAGTCACTGGACGCTTTGCTAAAATGCAAAGAACATATGTAGACACTGACAGTATAGACTGCAATGGTATTTATATATAATGGAGAAATAAACACTGACATAATGGTTTAGTTGAAATCTAGACTATATAATTTGAATATTTCACAATCACAACTACAATTAAAGCGGTTTGTACACTCCTAGCTACAATATATACATATGGTATCTATATTTAAAGTGGTTAGTCAATAAAGTGAGGGGGGGGAACCTTTATAATAATGCAATAAAGCCCAAATAATCCAGCAAGAAATTAGCTATCTACTAAGCTTATATACAAAATGAATGATGAAATGTAGGAATATAAACATCAATGTAATTGTTAATATACGTAGTACATTTAATTTACAATACAATTTTGAGAACAAAACTTTTGGATACATTAACAAATTGTAATGATTTAAACCTGTATGTCTTCAGCAAAGCTATTAACTTTTTGTAACAACATTTTTTTAGGTTAATTGAAAAAGATTTAAGAACAGACACGCATTGCATATTTATTTCTTTTTGGATAGCTTGTCTAATTTTAACAATTTTTTGATGAGTTATCATAGGGATGACAATTTTAAATTTATATACAATTATAAAATATCAACATTTATATATCCTACAAAATATAGTGATAATATTCACAGAATATATGGACCACTGACAATGTGTAGAAACTAATCTAAAAAGCATATTATTGTGCAATCAGTATCTACTGGACTTTTGTACAGCAATAGCATTGTATAAGCAAAAAATAAATGTAACTGTACTGAAGATATTGAAAATTGTTTTTTCTCTGATATATTTCATATTTTGTTGCCATTTCAATAAAAATTAAACTAACTGCTCAAACAGGATACTGTATTCGATGTAATAACTGCCCACTCCTATAACACTCAGCAATTGTTACATAGACAAACCATTTTCTGGCCTTAATATGACTTTAAGGTATGTGCTAGATGTAGAAAAAGCTGCGTGTGTTGCCCTTATAGTAAGTCTGCACCACAGTTCGAAATGAAATGGGGTTTAATGTCATACTCCGACTAGTGACTGGGATAATGAAGACAGGATCATAGTTTGCTCCACCTGCAATTATTGTTGTGAAGTCTTTAAAAGGGATGAAATGTACTGTTAACAGGTCTTATGTGTTGTTATAAAATACTTAAATATGATGTTTACCATATTCAAAAGATGTAATAAACAACCCACAAGTTATTTCTAAGCGCCCCAGCAGCCACTACATAAAATATGGTAAATAAAAATGCAATATAATACAATGAGTAAACACACCAAAAGTAGACCTTAATACATATAGTTACTGTACCAAAATGAGATAGAACAAAAATTTTAATCAGTTTAAAAAATATTTTTAGCTTTCCTTGACAAAAACCTTATTAGATATAAATTGTTAGGCAAAAATAACAGAATTACAAATAATCAGTGAGCTGTTTTTGAATTGGAATTGCCCCTCACATATGTTCATTAACACAGTCTGGATATACCTTTTAACCAGAAAATATTGTTTCACATTATCTATCCCTGTTAGACCAGAATAAGACACGCTTCTAATGAACGAAAATGACTATATAAACATATGCAATGAATATAGAGAGAATTACTTTTCTAGAAGCATAAAAACTGTAGTAAAGTACCCTACTCTTATTTCGAATCCCTGATAACCCTATGTAGAGAGAGCATTTCCTTATTTACAACACATGCCATTCAAAAACTTAAGTAGACACTTTATAGAGAACAACACACTTTTAATCATTCTGCAATGTTCAGCTTTTTTATTAGAATGGAAATTATTATTCTTTAAATTAAACAAATAAGTTACTTGGCTCATAAACCTATCTAGATCCGAACATTAGCTTCCCCTAAAAAAAAAACTTTAAGGAGGTGAATATCTTCTACCAGGAATATTACATTAATTAAATCCAAACTAGAATTTACACTACTTCCTGAAAAGGCAGAGATACTCTTATACTTTTTCGTTGTCCTTTTTTTTTTATTTGTTTTATTATTTTAAATTTTGAAGAATATGTTCATTTTAACAAAAAGCAGAATATTTGGCACATGAAAGTGTATTGAATCTGTACAATTGAGGCAAATTATTCATACCTCATGGGTTATCATTTAATAGATCAACAAATACATTGCATAATATACATGATTAAGGCTAGAAATAAAGAAATTGCTGTTGTTGCTTAATGTTTTATAAAAAAATCTTCAATTTGAATGGCATTGGCAAAGTATTTTAGAAAGAAAAAAAAAGATGATCTTTAAATAAATAGTAGGTAATTATCTTTACACAATTACTGAATTGAACGCTATTTGATCAAAAGTTTTTGAACTCAATACAGAACATTTTTATGATTCAGTATTTATCCTCTGAAGTATCTAAAAAGTCTCTTTGTTACACGGGTTCTGTTTTACAGTACTGATTAGGTGTGACTACGTTGCCGGGCATGACATAATCTCCTATCATAAACTGATTACTGACAGGATAATGCTGTGTACCACCGGTAATAACACTCTGAAAGTAGAAAGAAAAACAATAATATCAACAGGTTACAAAATAGACAGAAAACTAAAAATTGGTTAAACTGTATAGTGAAGAGTTTACCCTCATTGTCGAGATGCCAGTCTGCTGGTTTGGTTTGTTTGTCTGGGGCATTTCTCCAACACGGCTGTATTGATCTTGACCAAACGTGTGGTATGTCAAACCTATGATCTACTTAGGCACCTGACATCTTGGTTGTTGTAGGAATCACTGTTGCCAATTGACACCCATAAACAGTATTTTTTGTACTTATCAGTCTAGCTCCTAGATGAACTGACTGATTTGACTCATCTGGTGCATTTTTGCTGTGACAACTTCAACCTACCTCAGTCAAATAACGAGTGCATTTATTGTGAAAAACGACAGGTCTCTTACAAAATGCATCTCCTTCTACAGTTGACTATCAAACATTGACCTGAAGGGGCTTAACCATAAGGACTTCTGAAAATTAGGTAAGTTGGTGGTTAACACAACATTTCATTGGGGGGGTGTCGGTCAAGGGAAATGTATTTTCTATCCTTGCTTAATATAATTATAGCTATGTTAAATTGCAAATTGGTTATACAGGGAAAATGCATATTGAATTGCAAAACTACTCTTTTAAAGGCCTGCTTCTATTTTCATTCAAAACACAAAGACGAATCCATTCAAAACTCATGTTATCATAAAATACATTTTAAACCAAAGGGTGCATCATCTGGTAACAGACTAATCTAGATGTTTTGGGGGTCTCAAAAGCTACCAAACTGGTTCTATATCCAATTCCATTGCCTCTATTATTCCATAAGTATGTGTTTTTGCGCACTGCTCTATGAATCAGTTCTCCAATGAATAATGAACTGATGTATCTTTGACAAGATTAAAAAGTAACCATCTATTCCTAGTTATTTCTATTAAATGACCAATGTAGAAATTGAATTTTAAAGAAATGGTAATTCAAAAATAAAACCACAGATAAACACCCAAAATATTGTATAAATATTTTTGTTTTCATATAATCAAAGCTATGACATTGTACTAAAATTCCCTAACACATTAACCAAACCAAACAGAAATTTTTGATATTCAAGAACTATGAAATAGAAATAACCCACAATAGAATAGGTGAACAGAGATCAAATAACTTGCATACTTTAAAAAAAACCAAAAAACAAATTTGAACACTTTTGCTACCACATAAGTTTGCATATGTTCCCATGTTAACAAGTATACTGACTCTTGCTCATGAAACCATGCATATAACAAATCTTAACGCTTTCTTTCAAAAAATATTTTATTTTCGTTGCTGAGTAAGAATTCCTTTTTTTGTTGACCATGTGATCATACTTCATTTCTCTGTTTGAATTATCTTTTAATTATTCACAAGAATCGGTGGTTATTTAGGTTTATTATCATTATCTACACCTTATTGTGTAAATAAATCAATTCTTTCATTGATCGACACATGAATATTTAACTTGTTTATTTAGAGCATTGGCATCTGCAGCTTATTCTACAACAACTTTTGAATATATCAATCATAAATATTTTAACCATCTATTGACTGTAGATACAAAGGAGATACAAATGCTAGCATCTATTAGGTTAAGTTGCAAATAGAAATCCCTGGGTATACATGATGGAAAAAACTGAAAACTGCCATTGCAGGAGACTTGTGGTAGCAAAAGTTTAATGTAACAAAAAAAATACCATTCAACAAAATCATATTTCTAAATAGTGATTAAAAAAAAAGTATTAATAGAGCTCAGTCAAAGATACAGATGTAGTGTCAAGTGTCAAAGTGCTGTTAGTCATTTTAAAATGGAGGTAAAGCCAAACTGAGAATGAATACAACTTGCTGTCAAGTAAATATGGAAATTTAAGTTCTGATTATAATTTGTGATTATAAAACAGTGAAGAAAGGAGAACGCAGAAACATGTTTTTATTCTAAGTTTCTAATAAATCAAAGCTTTGCCTGGTAATATTCCCAGCCATTTCATAATTGATATAAAAAGACTTAAAAGCTACTCTTGACAGCATGCACTAAATCGTACCTGGGAAGAAAAGCTGAGTGGACTGATGCCCCCACCAATGGACGTTCTGTGACTATTGGAGACTGCAGCATGGCCAACACTGGGAATACTCCCTGGGTTGATTGGGGCAACTGTTGCTACATTAAGAGAAAACAATCCAGTTCAGTGCAAAAAAATAACAGTGCAATTTCAGGAAATGAATACATGTAAAACAAATCACTGCATAGCTTAATATTTAGACAATACAAGACAACAATTTATAGTGACCAACAAAACTTCTTCCCAACAATATTTATTGTTATTCTTAAAACAACATATTTAGGAAGATGAACTGACAAAATCCAAAAATACCCATTGAAAGTGATGGTTGGAAAACCTAGCTTTGACACTATCTGGATCTATACTGTACGAACAGTATGTAGTTGCTTCCAATTTATTGAAATTTTTAGCTCTAGTATAGTAATCTGCTCAATGTATCATTTATTGTACTTACAGACAGCTATAAGATTGGTTGGTACAACACCTTGATTTAATAACTGAGTTGCATCTATTGCTCCATTCATAAAACCATTAGCATAGTTCACAGATTGGCCTTGAAAAAGAAAAGAAAATATCATCAATGGGCATTGTCTTGCTGTACCGGAGGTAAATTAAAGATACATTATGGGAGATTCGGTAACGAGTTGGCAGTTCTCACTATAATAGTTAAAAACTAGATAATGTAAAGGCAATTTGGTGAAAATTTCATTCAAATTGATCCACTATGAACCGAGAACTAAGCGACTGAAATTCACATAAGCCTCGGTCATCATTACTAAAGTCAGTACGATAAACAGCATAGTCTCGATTATCCATTTAATCGTTTAATCGAGAAGGAATGTTATACAGTAAATCGGCTTACAATCCACTAAAGATCGCAGGCTAGCGCTGCCATCTAAAGTTGATTATGGCCTGGATAGGTTAATTAATGTCTAATTAATAATTTAGATAACATTTCAGGCCTAAAGAAAGACCTAAAATAGGCAGATTTAGCTCTTGCATAATGTATGTTTAAAGTTTTTTGGTGATGCATGTCTACATATATTAATAGTAACACAATAGCAAGATTGATGTGCCTCATTCTCAATCCCAAAATAAATAGATGACTCATTAATTGCTTGCAGATTTATGTTTTTATAAAGTATTAATCAATCAAATCGATTACCACTATGCTTTACTGCCGCAGAAAATCTCAACTATAGGATTTAGTCAAGGCATTGACAGACATTAATCTACATCAAGTTTGAAAATTATACTGCAATTAGAAGTAGAATGCAAATTGGTAAATGGAGACAATGTCAAAGCATGTTATGGTGTAAGTCATAGAAGTCAACTGTTGTAGGCAATACACATCCATAATACTTGGATAAAAACATTAATGTTTCTGAAAACTGGATGTTTCTTGTTGCTTGTTAATGCCTGAATCATACTCTTTTCAGACTTGTTTGATTTAACCCATAAACTGATTAATCCCAGCAATACTCACAAACAATAACATCTCCTTTCTATTGGGCTCATGCTTATTTCTACCTGAATAATACCAGTAATACTGACAACAACTCATTCCTATTGGGTTCATCCTTATTTCTACCTGTATAATACCAGCAATACTGACAAGGAATAACAGCTCATTTCTATTGGGTTCAACCATACATGTATGTCTAGTGCAGTGATTCCCAATGTGGGGGCACGCTCTACAAGGGGGGCAATTTGATATTAAGGTAGGGGCGCAGTTTGAAAAGGAAATTAACAAAAAAAAAAAAAATCCATGTGTTCCATTATTACTCTTACACCAAAGCAACTTTTGGTACAATTTACTGTCAAAAATGCCTGTCATCCCCCCCCCCTCCATATATATTATCATGTATCTGGCAACACCTCTACGGAAAATATGTTTACAGGAGGTTTAACCCTATTAAATGAGAGTTATCAATTTTCTGATTATGCAGTGTTAATTTGTGGTTTTAGTGTTTTGAGTGAATTATTATTGCAAAAAAGAAATTGACTGGCCATCACTAAACAAGGAGACATAAGACTGAAACTGACTAAATTACAGCCTCGTATTAAAACACTTTGCAGTAAACCACCAATCACAAGAATCTCACTAAATTGATTTTTCTTAAACTAATTACTATATAAAATTATTAATTTTTGATTTGTGAAATGAAATAGGGTTTAACATCCTACTATTCTGCTCCAAACTGGGCTAATGCAGACAGCATATGCCGTACAGTGTGATATGAGGAAAATTTTGCCCTGACTGCAGCCTACTCTTATATCAACTTCAAACTGTCAAGGGATCTTTTACGTGCACATCAATGTGTACACAGGACCTCAGGTTTTTTATCCCATCCGAAGGACTAGACAGCTGTCCTTGTCAGGCCCTCCGTCCTGCATAACTGACAAGGGAGAACCACGCCGGAAAATCTGGATGAACTTTGGTTGGCCAATGTAGGGATTGAACACCCAACCCCCAGACTAGCAAGCCAGCGTCTTACCCACTTAGCCACCGTGATCCCCCTTTCTGATTCGTTATTATTTTATTTGAACAATTTTATTTTATTGGAAGATATCAATATCTTATTTGAAGGATTTAATTTTATTATATACTTTTACAAAACTCAATTTGTTTTCATCTAAATGGGGGGGGGGGGGGCACAAAATAATTTGCGATGTTAGAGGTGGGGCAGACTGACCGGGAATAAAACTCTTTTCTATTTAGTACACCCTTAATTCTAGATGAATAATCCTAGCAAGACAGACAGGAAGGATCCGCTAATTTCTACTGGGTTCATCCTTATGTATGTGTAGATAAACAAGCCAACAGTGAGGCTGATGTCCCCCGCCGAAATCCTCAAATAAATAGATGACACATATGAATTAATCACACATCTATTTTTTTCAAAAGTATCAAGCAATCAAACTATACACTAAGTTTCATCACTCTCTATCAGATAGAATCAAAGTTATCTTGTCCCAAAGCAACGACCAAGGAAATTGCTTATCTCTGCTTAGCTTTAGTTCGATATGTTAATCATTGAACTAAGTCAAGACGAACATCTACATCAAGTTTAAACATTCTATCTCAATTAAAAGCAGAGTTGTTATGTTCCAAAGTCTTGACCAATCAAAATGCTTATTGCTACTTAGCCTAAGCAGACAATTCTCATCATCGAACTTAGTCAAGGTATTGATGTAATGAAACTATACACCAAGTTTCATCACTCTCACTAGAACTAAAGTTATCATGTCCCAAAGCATCAACCAATCAAATTGCTTATCTCTACTTACCATAAGCAGAAAATGCACATCTTCGCACTCTATCAAGGCATTGACCTCATAAACACCTACACCAAGTTTGAACATTCTAGCTCAATTAGAAGGAGAGTTATTGTGTTCCTAAGTCTCAGCCAATCAAATTGCTTATCGATCTGCTTACCCTGAGCAGAAAATGCTCATTATCAAACTTAGTCAAGATATTGATGTAATGAAACTATACACCGAGTTTCATCACTCTCATTTAATTAGAATTAAAGTTATCGTGTCCCAAAGCATCAACCAATCAAATTGCTTATCACTACTTACCCTAAGCAGAAAATGCTCATCTTCACATCCCATCAAGGCATTGACCTAATAAACACCTACACCAAGTTTGAACATTTTAGCTCAATTAGAAGGAGAGTTATTGTGTTCCAAAGTCTTGGCCAATCAGATTGCTTATCGCTCTGCTTACCCTGAGCAGAAAATGCTCATTATCAACTTAGCCAAGGTATTGATGTAATGAAACTATACACCAAGTTTCATCACTCTCGCTTAATTAGAACTAAAGTTATCGTGTCCCAAAGCATCAACCAAACCAATTGACGGACCCATTTTAATAGTCCCCTGCTTTCTTCGAAAGGCGGGCAACAGTAATCCTAGCAAGAATTATGGAGAAAAACATTTAATTTCTATTGGGTTCCTCCTTATGTCTACCTGTACAAACAGCAAATTGACAAAAAATATCCAAACCAGCGACTGCCAGGCAGGATACGCCCACATTTTCGAGAGATGGATAGAGAACAAGCTAAAAAGAAAGTGATTTTTCCTACAATCAAGGGCCATAATTCAGGAAATTACAATTCGATATGCGCAAATATCGAAAGGAACCAAGATCTTTGTGTTATAAACTTACATTTCAAGTTTTAACAAAATCGGATAAAAATTGTGACCTCTATAGGGTTCACAACCTTGATAAACCATATTTCTACGCTATTTGAGAACGAACGGCGGCCATTTTGTCTGTCAGTTTTGGGCCGATTTTCACGAAATTCGAACTCAGTTGTAACGGTGATATAATAATATGTTTTTTTAAATCGGATAAAAATTATGACCTCTATAGGGTCCACAAGCTAAAAACGCGATTTTTCGTACAATCACAGGCCATACATGTAATTCAGTAAGTTACAGTCCAATATGCGCGAATATCGAAGGGAATCGAGATCTTTGGGTTATAAACTTACATTTCAAGTTTCAACAAAATTGGATAAAAATTGTGACCTCTATAGGGTCCACAAGCCAAAAACGTGATTTTCGTACAAACGGGGCCATAATTCATGAAGTTTCGATCCAATACATGCCAATATCGAAAGCATCCGAGATCTTTTGGAGATAAACCTATATTTCAAGTTTCGTCAAAATCAGATAAGAATTGTGACCTGTAGAGTGTCCACAAACAATTGTGGACAGACGTCCGGACGGACAGGGGTAGGGTGCCCCGAGCTGAAAAAAATCTCGAAAACTATTTACAGTTATGGCACTATATTTATATAAACAACAACCCTAGATGATCCTTTATTATAAACTGCCAAGAAACTGTACCTGCGTGCTATATTTCACAAGATATATCAACTCGACTGCATTGTAAAATACACTGCTTTTGTGCACCATCCGCGGACATATTTGTTTGGGGTTTTCAATGTTGACGGAATTGTGTTCTCTTGGTTATTTCAAATTCTTGATTTATTTTCCGATAAGAATGAACCACCACTACCATTCGGGACTATTCGTTTAAATCGTAATTTGCTATCTGATGAAATGTGCTCCATGCTTCGATTGAATTTAAGATTTCCGAGCATGCGCAACGCAGCTCAGATTGGGATCGGCCATTCCCGTGTGCTTAATTTTGATGTGTGCAGTCCAATTTAAATTTATTTAAGTTTTTGTAGATATATTAGACCAATCTATTTATATTTTCTGTATACCCATAGACACATCGGTCTATTTATATTGGTATTTATATGTGAATGTGCCTTTGTAAATTAATATTTGATGTCCCATTTAAGAAATAATGTTCGGAAAGTATGTATATTGACGAAAAGTTTCATGGCGTAATTAGAGTATCAAATAAATAATGACAGACTATTTTAATCAATCTAAATGAAAAATATGCAATAGCTGATCAAGTTATGTACAGATTTGAGATGTACATTGACATTTTGAATTTGGGTTTGAATAAGTGAATACAAACTACAAGATACATAATTAAGAACAAATTCAATTCGGGAGGACGTTCCTTCTTGTATGATAGCACACAAGAATAACTATGCTGATTATTTTAATATGTATTTCCTATAACTTTATAGGGACTGAAAGCGATCGATAACATTAACAAAAACACATCTCATCGTGACGAACGCCCTCTGAATCAACATGCCTGTATGTTAGATCTTCTTTCATAACGGTATGTCGTCTATTACAACACTCTTACATACATTTATATGTACAGTATAACATCTGTCTTGGCAGATATTTTTTTTTATAAAACAGTCAATATTATCTTGTCAGCTATTATACGAAAGAAATGCAGGTTTTCCCAAAGATAAATAGGTTAAAAATTAAGGTAATCAGCGCAGGTGTACTCACTTTATCAAACCAAGCGTAACTCAAATCTTACCCCAAAACACGATCTGTTACGACAATTCACAAATCGATTGATAATAAATAATACATAGTCATTATTTACCAAACACAGATATGTGATTTAGAACTAATCTGTAATAAACATATATTCCAAATTGTTCTCCTTGGGACAAAATAAAAAGTTAAGTTTTACTTTGTGTATCTCAAAGGCAACTTTTCAAGCATGATATCAAAGCAGATCTAGTAGTAGGCGTATTTTATAAAATAAATGGCTATCCGAAAATTAACTGATTGGTTTAACTGACGTCTGGATTGACAAATAAAATGGTTTTAGAAACGAAGAATGGAGAAATTGTATTTTTTTTATAACCGCTAAAAATGGGCATTGAAAGTTTCTTCCGGTTAGGTAGGATCAGCCAGGTCAATTAATTTTTGTAAATTTTGTTTTAAAACTGAAATCGAGTGTTCCTTACCCCTACAAAAAAATAAAATATAGACTTATCGGAAACTTGCTGATTTAAAACATACCTATGAAACCGGAGCTGTGCCTTCAGTGCCTCTTTCGTTTCTCTATCTGTAAGTTGCAAAAACCCATTTTCCATACCCTCTTTACTTTTCCAAAGACCCACCCCGACAATTTCTGTTGTTAGGCACTCTTTTTTCCTAATCTCACGTTTCCCCTTTAGTATTAATTCATTCTTTTTCGCCAAAAGAACCGCTAGCTTTTTTTTTTTCGATTTCTTCCCGTCTTTGCCTAAATTTAGAAAGTTGATTTTTAGTTATCGTTTGAGCATCCATTAAGACCAGATTACGTTTATCAGGTGAAAGATTTTTTAGCCATTCATCAGATTTATTCATTTTATATAAAATGGACGCTTCGTTGCCAAAAATATTAGACGAGGGCGCGATCCTCATTAATCTATCGAGATGACTGAACACGGTTTCCGGTAATTTGTTGTGAGGCATGGCAGAACTCGAACAGGAAGGATTAAAGTCATCTCGATACTCAAGTAAAATTTTTGCAATGTACTTTCTAAACTCGGCAAAGAGGACTTCCAAAACATGGATCAGGGTTGAATTAAAAGTTAAATCAGAATCAAATTTCGTCAGGTTAGCAAGGACCGAATCATTTTCAATTTTGATTAGAGATTCAAATGGGTGTAATTTACCTTCAATATAGTTTTCAATATTCGGGTTTTCCAAAAAATCATGTAATTTCTGATAAATAGTTTTCATGTCAAGTGCATTAATGGCGCTTTCTAGTATGCGCCACAGTGGAGCAGTAATTAATTTATCTATCAAGCCCAAAGCCTGGCATTCAATATGAAATAACGGAATTTTGATATCTAAAAATATGCTTTGGGTCAATCTATTTTCTGTTCCAAAATCACCAAGAAAATTTTTAATATGCTTGGCCATATAATTTACAATTGCAGCATTGTGGAAAATAATATTAAACCGGTTAACATGAAATGACGTTAGCGGTAATTTTGAAATCCCAAGGGACTTGAGATACAACTTAAAAGGCAAATAACAACCCGACTTTTCGTCCCCACCCTGTGTACAGGCTTTACAGATGGTCCGAATCAATCGAACACACCCAGGTTCGTTTGGCAAAAATAAAGAAGCGGTTTTAAACGTTTGGGCCGAATACGTTTTAAAATACATTTCCTCAAATTTCTTCAATTCAGACGCACTTTTATCGACCAAACCAGTTAGTAGATGAAGACCGCAAAAGAAATGATTTATATTTAGGTGAATATTTCGCTCTGAATCTGATCAGTTTTCTACTAATTTAGAACAAATATTGCCTCTGTATTGTGTAAATAAAGTGTTAAAAAGCTTTTTGGTGCTGGCTCTGTCTGACATTGTATTTCTAATTTGGAAAATTACAGATTTACTAATGGGCCCAGCTGTATCATCAAGATCTGCCAAAATTTCATTTAAAGTTGTAAGAGTAGTTTGCGCAGATTTATCAGCCATATTTCGAAGACCAATAATAATTGGCGTATGAGTCGAGTCAGCGGTTATTGCATATGTACCGAATTTGGAACCAAATTTTGTAGTTTCGTCCGTATATAATTATAAAGTGGTGTTTTTCGCCGACTTTAGGGTTTCCGAAACATGTTTTAAAGATACACCGACGCGCTCACATGATATTCTCTGATCTGTAGATTTTGTTGGAGTATAATTAGATTTGAGTCCCGCGATAGCCAAACATGCGGTTATAACCGCGTCGACGTTGAGGTTTTTTAGTTGCATGACCAAATTATGGCATTCTGGAGTGTATCTTTGATTTTCGACATCATACAAAATTATTTCTTCCCCACGAGGTTGGGACTTACAACCAGTTTTTTTATTTGCCAAAACTTTATTATTATTAATTCTTTTGAGGTCTTCCGTAGTCTATTTTTTAAACGGAAAATTGTTTTTGTATACCTATTGATCCTTCTTAATAAATACTTATTTTTCCTATTTAACTTAGTCATAGTCGCATCGGCAGATGTCTGTGTCCCTCTATTTACTGGAAAAAGGAGCTGTCGAGATAATCGTCATATAATTTTAAAGATTTATTACAATTCTTTATATGTTTACCCAGCTTTCTAGTCTTTGTCTTCAGTCTGACCAGCCTACTTCGAATACCGTTGTCATCAAACGTCACGCTGTCGTCATGTAAACCAGTAATTATAGACAGGTGCTCTGTATTGGTCGGAAATTTATTAATGATGCCTAGTACTAGCCCATTTGTAATACTTGCGAAGGGAAGTTTAGTTATTGTACTGAGATCATAGTCATCGCCCAAACCAATGCTGGATAGTAATTCATCGTTGGAAGTCATGCCTGCTAACTGAATCGATTGACAACAAATTAAAGAGTCCGTCGGTCAATTCCTAAACAAAATAAAAAGATTTGTTTCCCCTTAACCCTAAAAGTCAATAGTCTCGAACAGTTAATCTGGTCAATCGAGACTAACCTTCGTTTCGATTAATTCCCGGTAGCAAATTTAAAATACGAAACAATTTGTTAAATTTCTTAACTTGGCATAACTCGTCTTGGGCAATTTAACGACTATTTCACGAACCTTGCAGAATTAAAAGAAAAATACCGGTTGTACTCTCTTTTTGCCCAACACACGTTATTGGGAGATGTGAAATCGCCGAAACTAAACGACAGCACTCTGTAAATAAATACCGAATTGAAAAAAAAAAACGACAATAAATTTTAGAATTTTTAACGTAGTTAGCGATCCAATAATATCTAAAGACCAAAGCCTGATGAGAATATTTTTAGCATGTCTTTATTTACCATTTGATGTTGTGACAATACCACGTGCATGGCCCTGTTAGTGAATATTTGCTCCGAGCATGTGCTCTCAGCGTGCCCGAGCCTGTTTCGTCATCATTGAGAAATTCGTCTTTGCACAGTCAACACCTCTCCAGGTAAGACCAAATTTCTTAGAGACTAAATTAGACTGCTTGGGGCACCCTAACAGGAACGACAACAATATACGTCCACATGAAAATGTGGGCGTATAAAAAACGGACACCACGACAAGACATGGAGAATAATGAAAGTGATTTGATAAAAAATTGATGGATATAAATTAAGTACCTGGGTAAGCATTCCAATAATTATCTGTTGCTGACTGGTTATTACAACCAGGTGGTGGTTGTGGCGTTTGACCAGTGTAGCGGAAAAATGGATTTTTAAGGTCTAGAGTGTTGACAGACTTCGTACTTGTACCTGGTATAACTACTTCTATATCTACATCATAACTTTGTCTGAAGATGAAAAATAAAAGGATATAATATAGATTTTTATTTCACTATAGACAAACGTGGAAAAATATATACTCCTTAATGTGGTGTGAGGGTCTTAATATCTGTTCATTGTGAAGTATGGCAGGAAAGCTAGTTGGCAAGGATGTCTGTTTAGCCATTCCATTTGATTCAAAGATTAAGAATCAACTTGCTATCCTTTCAGAAACGATTCCAAATTAATAAGAGTTGCAATCAGTAGAGATGTCCAATGAAAACCTAATATTAGATATTTTTTTAATACCAGCAATGACTAAGAAATGTTACTTACCTAGCATTACATCGTAATACACATCTACCTGTCAATGTTTGTCCTTGTTTAACTAATACAGGTGTTTGTAACAAACATCTAACTTGATACCAATGTGTTAATGGTTCTGTTGGTGCTGTTGATAACCACACATTATTGCTACAAATGAATATAATTTCATATACAAACATTCTTTATAATACAACTATTATTTGAAATTATTAACAGGATATCTTATGTGCATTTCCCCTTTAATATTGCATAGAATGTATCAAGTCACAACCCCTACCAATGCTACTTAGATTGAAATGAACTCGACATTTCCGAAAAGCTAAAAAAAATCTTTGTTTCAGTGTTAAATTGTGTACACTAATTGTGTACCCTGAACCGACAGGGAAATTTTAATGTAAGCATATAAAAATTTTATTCGAAAAAATCCTGAGCAATACTATATTTTGCTATAACATTAAAATTGTTAACTGATGTTTTCCTATATTATTACCTTTAAATAATGTTACTAAAAACCACACAATGTTTTTTTCTAAAAGCCACTAAATTTACCTTGACCCAAAAAATCCTACATCAAACCAGAAAGCGAGACCATGAACCATGCCTGTACTTAATGTAGTAAATGTTAAAGGAATGTCAATAACATGTAGTTCTGTTTCATCGGCTGTTTGAAAATCAACTGTATATTTGAAGGGTTTTGCTAAACATATCCGTACATCAAATGTATCCTGAAAAACATGTTAATAAATAAGTACACCAGTACACAAATAAATGACAACTGTTACATTTTATAATGTTATAAATGCTACTGTCATTATAATTATTGACTTTCAAATAATTCATAGAGAAACAAAAGCTGGCCTTGATGATAAACATTTTTTTCTGACAGAATCAATTTTTACATTTATGTTCTGTTTAATTTATTAGATTCCATTGAACTGAACCTTTACACACACTTTTTATAATCATTAAAGAACACACTTACAACTATAGGTTGCTTAAAATATTCAGAGAGGGCAGCTGTTCTTAATGTTGTCAGATCAACACCATGAAATGATTCCTGGTACCTAAAATTAAGGAAGAGTACATTGTATAAAGGGCTTCAAATCTAGAAATGGATGTATCATTTAACCATGAAATAAGACCCTTAGAACTTTCATAAACAAACTGACAGGAAATATCAGTTGACAAACAAAGGAAAGCTTAGGAATAGGTCATATTTGTGTTCATATTTTATGGACCTTGTTTCAAATTTATCCTTATCATACACTTAATCTTTAAAGCTAAGCATACAATTTGATTAAATAAAATATAGATTTTTTTAATATTTTGAATCGTCTCCATTACATATGGAACTAGATGTTATAGACTATTTAACCAATAAAATCCTTATTTCTAATGGCCTTTCTGAACCAAACAAAAGAATCTCCCAAAATTCCAGACACAACAAGTGTAATACTTAAATAAACAGATAAGCACATGCCCTGGTGCACAAACTATTTCAAAGACATTGCATGTTGACAAAACAATAGAATGATTATTGAATATTGTTTACCAAAAATTAGCTTTAGAATACTGTTCATTATAAAGAGCTTCATCTGTGAACGGTGCTATATGTAGATCTCCTTGAGTTGGAAACATTTTACCTGTAAATAAAATATGATAATAAATATATTAATCTGATCAGCTAACATGAATTATTTTATGGTACATATGAATGGATCGGTGTTTGAAAAAACAAAAAGAGACAGGGTTTGAAGAATGTAATTGCTACCCTAAGAAAACTTTACATGAGGAGCTTGGAGGAAATTTTATGACAAAACATGTTTGTCAATTAAGACCATGCAAACTGATGAGATAAGGAGTGTTATTTAGTAGGGAAAGATGCAACACATGCTTAATTGTCCTGGGCAATCCCCTCTGAACTATTTACTGGATTATAAAAATTACTTTCAAATATGCAAATCGTAAATTGAAAGAAGCCTCAGTAGAGTATGTATAATTCATGTGCTATACTTGATGACAAACTTTGAATTCTAACTGTGTTGTGTACATGGGAATATTAAATTTTTGTGAATTCTAGGGTTTAACGTCCTACTTTCCTGGAAAAACCTGGGCTAATGAAACGAGAGACCCGGTTTATGACATGCAATGTTCTGTAAAGCGAACTTCTCCTGGATAGGTGTTTAAAAATCCCCTTAATCAAAATCCAAATGTCAAGTGCTCTTTTACATGCACGCGAATGCTTACACAAGACCGCTATTTTCGTGACATTCGACTGACAAGACACTCTTAACTGCTAGACCCTCTGTACTGCACCCTGAGCCATCAGGGCTCCTTGAGCATTAGAAAGCATGTTATACATGGGTTTTTACGGCAATAAAAAGATCTGCCAAATTGGATTTCAGGGTAGCTTTTCGTTTCAAGCACTAATGTGCAAGAACAGCTTTAAACAACACTACATTAAATAGCAGCTATATAAATATGTCCAGGACAATTTATGAAATTGAAACCCAACCAGAAAGTAAACACTTAAATTTTCTAAGGTGTGTAACCGAACTTTGTGTCAAATTATAACCATTTGGCCTAAAAATATACACACCTCCTGGTTTTAACCACTTTTTAGCATGTAAATAGCTCTCCAACATTCTTTCATTAAATAACATATAACCCATAGGTTCAGATATGATTATATCAACCTTTTCTGGCACATCAACTTCTTCCACTTTACCCGTAATAACACTGATACGATCACCTAAATTATTATGTTTAACCAGCATCTACCAAAATATACAAATAAAGGCTTTTATTATCATGTGTGCATAAAAATATGCTGTTATTTTAGCTTTTAGCTTCCGTACTTAGAATGTTAGATAATACAACCAGCGGCTGCCAGGCAGGATAGGCCCACATTTTCGAGAGATTGATAGAGAACAAGCTAAAAAGGAAGTGATTTTTCCTACAATCAAGGACCATAATTCAGAAAATTACAATTCGATATGCACAAATATCGAAAGGAACCGAGATCTTTGGGTTATAAACTTACATTTCAAATTTCAACAAAATCGGATAAAAACTGTGACCTCTATAGGGTCCACAACCTTGATATACCATATTTTTACGCTATTTGAGAACGAGGGGCGGCCATTTTGTCTGTCAGTTTTGGGCCGATTTTCACGAATTTCGAACTCAGCCATCCTTAGGGTGTAACGGTGATATAATAATACGTTTTTTTAAATCAGAAAAATATTATGACCTCTATAGGGTCCACAAGCTAAAAACGCGATTTTTCGTACAATCAGGGGCCATAATTCAGGAAGTTATGTTCCGATATGCGCGAATATCGAAAGGAACCGAGATCTTTGGGTTATAAGCATAGATTTCAAGTTTGAACCAAATCAGATAAAAATTGTGGCCTCTACAGTGTTCACAAGCTAAAAACGTGATTTTTTGTACAATCAGGGGCCATAATCCATAAAGTTACAGTCCGATACATGCCAATATCAAAAGGAACCGAGATCTTAGGGTGATAAACCTATATTTCAAGTTTCATTGAAATCGGATAAAAATTGTGACCTGTAGACTGTTCACAAACAATTGTGGACGGACGGACGGACAGGGGCGACGACAATATACGTCCACATGAAAATGTGGGCGTATAAAAATGATCTGATAGTCAAAACGCCCATTTTAACTTTTAATAATTAAACTCTCACAAGGTTTTCATATTAACCATTATACTTGAATCTGAAAGTCATTTTATAACTTTATTTCAAACTTACCTCACAATGATGAGCCATACTACTGGCTTCAATAGCATAAACTTTTTTAGCACCTGACTGAACAGCAAAGAAAGACAAAATACCTGATCCTGCACCGACATCCAGAACAATCTGGAAAATAAGATATAATTCCAAATAATTACTGAGTCAATCCATTGTTGTAAGTTAAATTCACATTAAAATTTGTTGCATTAAGACCAGGACAACATTTTCCAAGCGCTGCTCACATGCACAGCTTAACCATGCAACGGACAACAAATGTTTCAATAAATATAGAATAGATTGGTTCAGCATATATTGTTTCTGCTCTGGGAATGTGTATGTAATGTATCGCTTGTCTTGTTTTCTTGTGCAGTTATCCTACACAGTCTATTAGGAGACTCACAAGTTTATCACAGAATTATCTTCCTACCTTATCTTGAAAGTCTGTCAAATTACTAAGCATTGCCTGTTGATAAGTAGATGTTCTGATATAATCTTGCATCATATTTTGCTGCTGTGATAAATAACCATAAAACTGAAAAACAAAACGTACATGCAGTGCGGTAATTTAGACAGACAAGCTAATTAAGTTATAAATCTTATAATTTCAATCAGAGAAATACAGAAGATACATTGCCAGATATTCTATAAAGGATACTATGATGAGCAGTTTGTTCCTCATATAAAGTATACCTTGCACAGAAATACTGAATGAAGTAGCATTTATAAGTCTTCATCTCATTAATAACTCTGTATTGACCAAAGCATGCTGTACCGTACAGGGCTGTCGGTAATTTTTCACAGTTGATTAGCAGCACTGCTAATCAAAAAGTCCAATTTTGCCAAATTTGATTAGAAAATTCAAAAATTGATAAGCAGTTTTTCAGTTTCAATGTAAAACACCTAAATACCAAGATATTACTTTAATTCATAACAAATATGATTAGATTCCATTCTGACTATTCTTAGATTTTTTTAGCACTGCCACAAGTACTTGTGACAGTTTGTAAATGTGATGTAGACATTTAGTTATGTCTTATGTCTGAAGCCAATTCTTGACAGTGACTTCCGAAGCCCCACTCATTTTAATTGTTATTTTTTTGTTACGTTAGAAATCTTCGTTAGAAAACAATCTTGTCTGCTTTTTATCGTGTATTACTATTTTTGTTCAATCGGGTGCACCTCGATTAACTAGACACACGCGATATAAACAATAATATTTTATGGGAATTTTTACTTTGATTTATCATTTTACAATACGTTAACATGTATTTATTTTTTTATATTTTATTTACAATACGTGGGGGACACACTGGAGTTATTTATTTCAAAATGAATATGATATAATTACTTGATGTCTCGCAACGTGAGTGCGACTATTTGATTCCCTATTTCCGGTTTAATAGTCCCTATTCATAGAGTCTGGGTAGTTCGAGAAGAAAATGTCAGACGGAGAATTCAGTTTTGTTTATAAAATTTTATTCAACATTTTATACACGTTGAAAGTGTTGAGTAAGCCTTCTAGTCTTCAAAATGTGGATTATTCTTGTGACAATATCCATATTGACAGGCACATTAATGATTCGCAGTAACTGCGAATCAAAAACGTCAGATTTTAATTTTTGGTTAGCAACGGACGAAATATGTATCGCAAATTGCGCTGCGATACTGGCTGTCGGCAGCCCTGGTACCGTAGTATATAATCAACCTGATGTTACTTGGTTTACCTGAAAATACTGTACAGCTGATGCTTCATCTGTTCGATCCGTGAACACTGACGTTGTGGCATTTCGTAACTGTTTTAAATAATGTTGGAAAGATTTCAATGCTGCAATAGATCAAAACATAAAAACAGTTAGCATTTGACATATCCTATATTTCATACAGATGAATCCGATGGATCAATGGCAGTAGAAGCAAACATTAGCTATTGTTTGCTATTGTGAACTAAACCACACTGTGTAATACCCAAGCCTGCAAAGACAACCTTTACAAAACTAACCATGCTGAATGTTAGCTACATGTAGGTTTCTGAGGTATACACATGTACAACATTATCTAGAAATTACATAAGTGGAGAATAACAAGATATTACATAGCTATTATTATCTGAATTTAAATGTACAAACCCTTTTTAAATACATGTACTACCGGTAAGTGTTTTCAGCATTTTTAAGTATGTGCTTGAATAGATATTTAACATCAACTTTTCAACTGAGTGATCTAGTAACTCCTTCAAATATCAACAAAACATTTATATTGATCATGTAGATATACATACCATGAATATTAGTAAATTTAATACAGTAAGAGGTCTGGTTGTTGGTTATCATAACAGATTGCTTCCCAAGTCGACAGTTTTCTGTTTCACTGTCTATTTTTATCTCTTTTAATGATGAATTTGTCTCTTCTACAAAGAAAATAAAAGACTAACCTTGTATTTGCTATGCATTCAAAATGAAACATAATTTTATAAATAGTTTTCATTTTACCTTTCAAAAATCTCATACATTCGAAGTCAGGTGAAGTCAGGGATGTAAAAAAAATAAAAAATTTTGAATCCACTAGTCCAGCATTAATTTCCACTAGTCCGTAGTTGGACAAGGTATAAGCTTTAATATTAGCCTGCAGGTAAAATAAAACTTGAAAATGGAATAATTGAAGAAGAGTTGGTGAGAAGGCTGAAGTCTGCACAAAATTCTCCTCCTTGCACACAGTCATAGTACATGAACATTAGGGATGCTATAATTTTACCCCGCGGACATTTGTCGGCTTCAGGAAATAACTTCAATAAGCTTCTATTCCCACTACTCGATTTCAACTACAAATATTTTTATGATAGCATGTGTTCTGAATACAAAAAAATATGTGCACCTCGCTATTTTTCGTATTTAATTCCCATTCGGTATTCAAATTTATGTCAATAATATTCCTCCAAAATTATGTGTGTTTGTAACACGATAGAATGAAAGCGACCGACCGAGGTCAGTAATATTCCTCCAAAATTTGGTGTCTTCAAATATACAGCATAAAATGAAAGCATAGTTTGTGATGTCAAAATATTGTTCCTTTATACGGCAGAAAATGGAAGCATAGTTTGTGATGTCCAATCATTGTTATCTTTTTAAAACTGTATTTTAAAATTATATCGGCGTACAATGTAGCATTAACACCTGTATGCAATACAGGTAGGTACAATGTATGGCCTCTATGTTATTGTTATTTGCCCATGTGACATGTTTTTTCCCGCCAAAAAGAACCATTCTAGTTAGCGATGTAGAAAGCCACGAGAACTCGCGTGCAAGTGCAATTTTAGCCATGAAGCTGTTTGTTAAACAAAAAAAATTAAATTAGTGTGTATTAGCTTGGATTGGAGATAATAAAAGTGTGATATTTTACAGTGTATTTATCTATATCACTAGTTTAATTCACAAACTATAAAAAAATCAGCAGTGAAAGGGCACTAGTCCAGGACTAGTATGGCTAAAAACAATGTAGGTTACTAGCCCGTAAGGTACTGTTGGTAGTGGATTTTTACACCCTGGTTTGCAGTATTTTAGCAAAAAATCAAAGAGACATTGGCACTTTGAAATTATTCACAGTTTCTGGTCAGTCTGATTTGACAAGAGAATCTTAATTCTATGCACGGCATATAGCGGTTTTCATGGAGTTCACTGGATGTTGTGGAAAATGACTTACTTTGTGTAGACCAGTGCTTGGATTTCTAATAATTTGAGGTAGATAGATAGACTTACATAAAACACCCTTTTCGGGTAGCGTGCAAATTACACATTATATTAGGAATGGAATTTACAAAAAAAACAGGGATGAACAATCATACAGTGAGGCTGATGCTCCCGGTTGAAATAAATAGATGACACATTAATCTTCAAGAGTATCGAGCAATCAAACTGATTATTAACTATACACTTAAAGTTTCATCACTCTCTATCAGATGAAATCAAAGTCAAAGAAATTGCTTACCTTTAGCAGGAAATGTTAATCATTGAATTCATTCAAGACATTCACCCAATAAACATCAAGTTTAAACATTCTACCTCAATTAAAAGCAGAGTTGCTATGTTCTAAAGTCTTGACCAATCAAAATGCTTATCGCTCCTCCGTCCTTAGCCAAAGCAGAAAATTCTCATCAAACTTAGTCATGGTAATGATACATGTATAATGAATCTATACTTGGAGTTTCATTGCTATCACTTAATTATAACATAAGTTATCGTGCCCAAAAGCATCAACCAATCAAATTGCATATCTCTGCTTACCATAAGCAGACAATGTCCATCGAACTCCATCAAGGCATTCACCTAATAAACACTTACACCAAGTTCGAACATTCTACCTCAATTAGAAGTAATAGAAGGATAATTATTGTGTTTCAAAGTCTCGGCCAATCAAATTGCTTATCGCTCTGCTTACTCTCAGCAGAAGATGTTCATTATAGAACTTAGTCAAGGTACTGATGTGCTGAAACTATACACCAAGTTTCACCACTCTCACTTAATTAGAACTAAAGTTATCGTGCGCCAAAGCATCAACCAATCAAGTTGCTTATTTCTGCTTACCCTCAATTAGGAGAGTTATTGTGTCCCAAAAAGTGTGATGGACAGACAGACGGACGAACCCATTTTAATAGTCCCCTCTGCTTTCTTCGGGGACAAAAATACATAAAAAGTGGATGATACATGTACATGTAGAGATAATTCTGAATACGACAGTGGGGAATGTCTCTTCAAATCTTCTACATGTATTATCATATTTTCTTCATTTTCTTTTACATGTACATGTAGATATATAAAATAAAAATACCGCTACTAAAACTTATGAATCAGATATTTACATCTGTAAAAACTGAACCAACTAATTATACAGTAGAATCTGCAAGCAGCCATTCCTTTTCAGCAAGACCTCCTTGTAAACTGTCACAATAGATCCACCCCCCTGGCCCCTCCGCAAAGAAATTATTTGGTTTCATCTCGATAATAAACGGTCGCTCCTCTAACACAGCCAGCGGCCACTGTTTTAGTTATAAATGTAACAAAACATTGCCCATTCAACAGCCATTGTTGATACCATCCCATCGTAGCATCTCAGCTAATCCTCTGATTAACAGTGTATCTGGCCACCGGTGGATGAGGTAAGAGAGAGAGAGAGAGAAAGAAATGGAGTTTAACATCCACTCAACACAAACTAGGTCATTTCGGGACTAACATATGGTTTAATCTTATTTCAATAATTCGCTTGCGCGTAGGGGTCTATAGCAGCGGGAGGAAACCGGAGAAAACCCACAAGGTTGGACAGGCGACCCTACTCCTTGTCATGTACAACTGGGGATTCGACCACGCCAGTTGACTCAATGACAGACTTTATGATACAGCGTGCACTTGCTAACCATTCAGCCATCCAACCCCCCCTGGATGAGGTACATATAAGAAGAACCATGAAAATAACAATAAGCCAGGGATTATCCGGCAAGTAACCTTTTGTATTATTAAATGACAAACTCTGATCATTATTATGACACGTAAAACAAAATTTGATACTGACTAAATAAACTAAATGTACCATTATTTGTGAAGTTGAATTTTGTCGCGATCCTGTAGTATCTACTTTTCATTGCTGCTTTGTTGTTGAACAGAAGTGTTAGTGCACCCTATATTACATACAGAGTTACACCCTGTGATAATCGGAGGAAAATTCAATGATAGATCGATTGACATACATGTACATGTGTTTTTGTTTAATAAAACAAGCGGCTGCCAGGCAGGATACGCCCACATTTTCGAGAGATGGATAGAGAACAAGCTAAAAAGAAAGCGATTTTTTGTACAATCAGGGGCCATAATTCAGGAAGTTACATTCCGATATGCGCAAACATCGAAAGGAACCGAGATCTTTGGGTTATAAACTTACATTTCAAGTTTCAACAACAAAATCGGATAAAAATTGTGACCTCTATAGGGTCCAAAACCTTGATATACCATATTTTTACGCTATTTGAGAACGAACGGCGGCCATTTTGTCTGTCAATTTTCACGAAATTCGAACTCGGCCATCCTTAGGGTGTAATGGTGATATAATAATACGTTTTTTTAAATCGGATAAAAATTATGACCTCTATAGGGTCCACAAGCTAAAAACGTGATTTTTTGTACAATCAGGGGCCATAATTCAGGAAGTTACGGTCCGATATGCGCGAATATCGAAAGGAACCGAGATCTTTGGGTTATCAACTTACATTTCAAGTTTCAACAAAATCGGATAAAAATTGTGACCTCTATAGTGTCCACAAGCTAAAAACGTGATTTGTCAACAAAAAGGGGCCATAATCCATGAAGTTTCGATCAGATATATGCCAATATCGAAAGCAGCCGAGATCTTTTGGAGATAAACCTATATTTCAAGTTTCGTCAAAATCGGATAAGAATTGTGACCTGTAGAGAGTCCACAAACATAATACGTCCACATGAAAATGTGGGCGTATAAAAAAAAACAATTCATGATAAAACAAAATTTGATACTGACTGAATAAACTAAATGTACCATTATTCCTGAAGTCGAATTTTGTCGCGATCCTGTAGTATCTACTTTCCATTGCTGCTTTGTTGTTAAACAGAAGTGTTAGTGCACCCTATATTACATACAGAGTTACACCCTGTGATAATTGGTGGAAAATTCAATGATAGATCGATTGACATACATGTACATGTGTTTTTGTTTAAAAAAAAAAACAATTCATGGATCTCTTCACAAAAATTGATAAACATTATCGAATACATAACAATAGGGGTTTCACGTCACGTGACTTTAGCGTGAAATCGGACAGCCAGAGGCTGAAATATACCCCACTTCAATCTACGATTCTGAATTACTATTTTATGTAAATGCATTACTAGGAATTGTATTGCAATAGTTTAATATTAATCTCAATATCTGCAAAGATTCAGGCTAAAAAATTATTGAAATGTAAGAGAAATTACCGTTTGTTTACATGAGACGATCGCGAGAAAATAGCCTACCGCTCTGACGTCACGCGGCCTGAGATTTTCCATTGCTACGACTCACTTCATTGGTGAATCCGCACCTTAGTTACCGGGGGATTTTGATATAGAACCAATCAAACGATAGATAACATTTTTGTGATTATTATGCTTGTTGATACGTGGTCGGACAATTAGACCCGGAGAAAATGGGATTTATCTGTTTTGATGACTGAAAATTGCTAAATTTCGACTAAATATAAAAAAACTTTCTTGCGGTATCATCCAGATTATAAATATTTGACATATTATCATTCAAATTATTACGATTTTAATAAATTTTAGCTGACAACAACGTGCGGATTTCAGTTTTAAAATTGGTACTAGCGATTCTGAAGGGAAAATACCGCTTATGACGTCACTCAAATATGACTGAAAAGCACTCACTTTGGTGCCATGCCACGCATTGACTGGTATAGAGCATTTTGATTACATTATTGACGTTGATCTCGGATTTTAAAATTCCATAACTTTGAATCTAATTAGAATATTTTGATGAAATAAACAGATTTGGGTAGCATTTTATGTATATTTTCACAAAATATTTTTAATTTTTTTTTTCTGTCATTTGAAACTTTGACCTGAAACCCCTAATAACAAAGGTATGCAGTAATATTGATTCTTTAAATGACATCTAGAAGCAGGGTTAACTATTCGTAACAAAACATAACACATAACTACTTCTCTATTATCTAACTTGAAAACATGACCTGTATGTGTTATGAAACGTTCAGCGAAAGCTAAATTTACCGATGTGATGAGTAGGCCTATCAATGTTTACTCCCGATGCAACAAACACTGGGATTTTATTAAGAGGTCACTCTCATTAAGTGATCAGTAATGAAAATTTCCTAATACAGATTCTACCTTATCTACAAGGGCTTTTGTATTTATACACGTAGGCCTACTACCAGATTAGGCTTGATGTAATACAAGTCACCAGTACTAGTAGGCCTACTGAAATTCTATATCTATAAATTGAAAATTCTAAGGAATTTTGACTGAGGAGACTAAGATATCCTCATAAATGATGTTCATATTTTATAATTGTCAAATCAACAAATTAAATTCTTTACAGTTGTATTCTAAACAAATTAAACATTACATGTGGGTCATTTAATCTTCTTTTTTTTTCAAAAAAGAGCGTAACTTCCAATAGTCTTTGTTTGGCACAGAAAAGAATGAACCGCTGAGGTCAACCAAAACAAACTTGGCAATGTGGAGTTTTTGGCCTCTATTTACGTGATAAAATCAAGCCTGCTGAATATACAAACCATTGCTGAATCTTAATAGAAGACTTTCTGCGTGAGACTTTACTTCTAAATTTTGTGGAGATTCAAATGCTGGTTGGAATTGTCCATTTTCATTGAGCAAAGAAACAAGCACGTTGTCAAAAGTCGCCATGTTGAAATTTACTGCTCTGATTTGATTTTTTCAAAATAGAGAACGAAAGAAATAACGGGCTTGAAACTCGGAAAATAATATACAAAAAAACACCTAAAACATTTATGCGTCATAATTATTCTATAAGATGAAGTCTTGAAATAAAAATTATATTAAATTATATTCTCGCTATACAAATGTGAAATAATTCTAATTTCGTTTCGTTTTATTATCAGTGCTTCAAAAATTTAGTAACATGGCTGACCATGTGGGAAGTTTGTTTTTACCAGGAGATTTAATTCAGAATTTGAAAGAATCAGAAGCCACAAAGAAAATTTTACTAGGTCCAGGGTTACGCCAAGAAAATGATCTAATACTTGCTTCAAAGCCCGGTATTCTTAGATTTAGAGAACCCAATGTTTACTGGATTGATAGTCCTCAAAAGCGGGTTGGTTCGACTTCATTATCATCATCATGAATTTAGAATATATTACCAAGTATAAGTCACAGACCAACTAAGCCCTTATGTCAGAATGTTACCAAAGGGTTATAGACATAACGGCCCTAAACTCTAACAGCCCAAAAATTTGGTCAGAATGGCCCCAAAATTTAGTCGAAAAGGACAAAAAAATTGGTCGAAACGGCCAAACAATTTGGTCATAACGGCAAAGAAACAAACAAACCATTTTTTACATGTAGAAAATGATATTTATTAACAAAAATATTGCATAATAGTTAATATAAATACATACAATACATAAACCACAGGAGTCTGACCGTCTATCCGTATATATATATGCATACACCATGTCCATTCAGACAATATATAATAAAAAAGAACAGGAATGCAATGCCTGTTGAAGACTCGATTTTACCTGCTCTTGCTTCGGCTTGTTTTTTTCCAACAATTCATAATGTCAGGCAATCAAACCACTGTCGATTCACTCAGATATGTTTTTTCTTCAATCTAGGCATTTTGATTTGCATAAATACTCCCACAAAACAATATCATAGCCACTTGTTTCCAATATTTACATTATTTTCGTCCATTTCCATTTTGTCGTTGACGTCACACAAAAACCTAACCAACCTCTGAAGTCTTGTGTACTTCCGCCTCAAAATGATGAATATTCAAGAAAAACCTGGCAGAAAATGTATATGCAAACCCTCTTCTTCGATTCTACACCCAAAAGTCAACAAAAATCGCCATGCAAAAGAGGGAAAATGGAAAGGGAGAGAAAAACTAAAAATATCTTTGACACTTGTTTCAATGGTCTAGTCACTGCGGATTGATTTTGTGTGATGTCAGCGCATGGCGGCAGTGACAAAATGGAAATGGACGAAAATAATGTAAATATTGGAAACAAGTGGCTATGATATCGTTTTGTGGGAGTATTTATGCAAATCAAAACGACTAGATTGAAGAAAAAACATATCTGAGTGAATCGACAGAGGTTTGATTGCCTGACATTACGAATTGTTGAAAAAAAACCGAGCCGAAGCGAGAGCAGGTAAAATCAAATCTTCAACAGGCATTGCATTCCTGTTCTTTTTTATTACATATTGTCTGGTTGGACATGGTGTATGCATATATATACGGATAGAAGGTCAGATTCCTGTGCATAAACATTAATTTAATACATAAAAAAAAAAACATTTATTGCATAATAGATAATATAAATACATACATTACATAAAGATTAATTTAATACATTAAAAAAAAATTACATATAGATATTCCATTGTATATCTCCTTTACACTACTGGACCATGAACTCTGGTACATATCCCTAGCAGCATCGACACACTGATATTACCTTCTTTTGTACTTGTTCAACGAATTGAAAATTTCATCTTGTCTTTCTGTTCTATTTTTTATCAAATACCTGCGAAGTTTCCCCTCAAACATCAGAGCACATTGGAGTGGCAGAAGTAAATCGGCTGATCTTCTTCTAAAATTTTATTTGCTACTTCTTCAAATATCCTGGCTGGCCTGAATGGATTGGAGATGGCCATTTCTTTTACCTTTATTTGATAACCAGCGGCTGCCAGGCAGGATACGCCCACATTTTCGAGAGATGGAAAGAGAACAAGCTAACAAGAAAGTGATTTTTCCTACTATCAAAGGCCATAATTCAGGAAATTACTATTCAATATGAGAACGAACGGCGGCCATTTTGTCTGTCAATTTTCACGAAATTCGAACTCAATCTTCCTTAGGGTGTAACGGTAATATAATAATACGGTCTTTTAAATCGGATAAAAATTATGACCTCTATAGGGTCCACAAGTTAAAAACGCCATTTTTCGTACAATCAGGGGCCATAATTCAGGAAGTTACGGTCCGATATGCGCGAAGATCGAAAGGAACCGAGATCTTTGGGTTATAAACTTACATTTCAAGTTTCAAAAAAATCAGATAAAAATTGTGACCTCTATAGGGTCCACAACCTTGATATACCATATTTTTACGCTATTTGAGAACGAAGGGCGGCCATTTTGTCTGTCAATTTTGGGCCGATTTTCACGAAATTCAAACTCAACCTTCCTTAGGGTGTAACGATGATATAATAATACCTTTTTTTTTAAATCGGAAAAAAATTATGACCTCTATAGGGTCCACAAGCTAAAAACATGATTTTTCGTACAATCAGGGGCCATAATTCAGGAAGTTACAGTCCGATATGCGTGAATATCGAAAGGAACCGAGATCTTTGGGTTATAAACTTATATTTTAATTTTCAAAAAAATCGGATAAAAATTGTGACCTCTATAGGGTCCACAACCTTGATATACCATATTTTTACGCTATTTGAGAACGAACGGCGGCCGTTTTGTCTGTCAATTTTGGGCCGATTTTCACGAAATTCGAACTCAACCTTCCTTAGGGTGTAACGGTGATATAATAAAACGTTTTTTTAAATCGGATAAAAATTATGACCTCTATAGGGTACACAAGCTAAAAACACGATTTTTCGTACAATCAGGGGCCATAATTCAGGAAGTTACAGTCCGATATGCGCGAATATTGAAAGGAACCAAGATTTTTGGGTTATAAACTTACATTTCAAGTTTCAAAAAAATCGGATAAAAATTGTGACCTCTATAGGGTCCACAAGCTAAAAACGTGATTTTTCGTACAATCGGGGGCCATAATCTATGACGTTTCGATCCGATACATGCCAATATCGTAAGCAGCCGAGATCTTATGGGGATAAACCTATATTTCAAGTTTCGTCAAAATCGGATAAGAATTGTGACCTGTAGAGAGTCCACAAACAATTGTGGACGGACGGACAGGGCCGACGGCATAATACGTCCACATGAAAATGTGGGCGTATAAAAATAAATGGTTAATGTTTATCTCATATTACCTAATCAGATCAGAGGGTGTGAAGTACCTAATTAGGGATTATCTAATCAGTTGATTAATTAGTACTCACCTCTTTCCTTTGAATTACAGCATGTAATTTGCCGGTTAGCTTCGGTGGTTATGGGCTATTTTTCCACTGACAAATTCTTCAGGACACATGGTTTGTATAACAGTAGCACCACATTGATGTTTTGTTGTCCCGTCTCTCAATTGAAGACTTCTTGACATATTTATTATATCCATTTTCATCTCCTAATTTATTTTTTCCTTGTGTGTTATTTTGTGTGTTAACCAATTTTAACGAGACTTTTGATATACACGGATGATTGTATTGTATGTTTTTACCAATTTTCAACCAATTAAGTGTAAATAATTTAATTAAATCAACCTGTCCATAATATCATATCTAATGTATTGGATGTTAAATCTTTAATAAACAACAACAAACAACACTAATATTTGCTCAGATATATTGTTTTTCATTAAATTAAATATGTTTGGCCGTTATGACCAAATTTTTTTGCCGTTTTAACCAAACTGTTTGGCCGTTATGACTAAAGTTGGGCCGTTTTGACCAAACCAGTTTTTGGCCGTTATGGCATAGGGCCGTTATGACTACATCCCTTACCAAAACATTACACTCGCCCTGTACGTTCAGAACCCATCCTATTGAATCCATTTCGAAAAAGAATCAGCCCCCAGGCTGTGTCAGTCTCTACTGTGAATGCCTGAACAATGTAAAGGAACATTTTAGTGAGAAAATAAGACCTTGCTTACCTCGCTAGAGTCTGTATGTGCAACACAACATTCTGTTAAAAATAAAAAAGTATGTCCCCTTCTGCTAAACGGCTTGGCAAAAGCCATTGAAATCGAAATATAGGGTAACGCACAAATTTATGTAACTCGGCCATATAAGACGAAATGAAATTTAGGTAAGCAGGTGAAACAAAATTGGATATGGAAAGTGGGTCAATTGATACATGTTTATATCAGTGAGATAGAAGCCTTTCGAATTTCGTTGCTATCTGATATTGTGAATATTCTTAACAACAAAGGTTATTTGATCAGCTTGAAATTTATATGCTTAGTTCACATCAGTGAGACAAAGAACACTTTCAAATCACGGCAAGAGTTTTGCCCATGCTTAATTTATAGAATTATAGTAAATGTGTGAGCGACAAAAGAGAGCATCTTATATGCTTGAAATTCAACACTTTCTGTTAATTTTTTAATAGCCTCTTGAGTTATTGTACTTGCTCACTTTGTAGAAGCTTGTGAACACTTTAGTGAGAGAAGTTATCATTTAATCTACTTGATTGTTCAGATCAGTGAACAGAAGAAATCCATTGAATTTCAACAATCTTGTGAATGCTTCATTTTAAGAGCAAAAATGATCATTTAATTTCAAAAATTTAATTCTTTGTTGTAATAATTACATCAATTTCTGCTAATTACCTCTAGTGTCATTGCCCTTGATTAGTTGCAGAATCTTATCAATGATCGGAAGTGGTCTCAAAATATCGTGGGGCCTTTTTCAGAAACAGATACGTAAAAGGATTAATAACAAACTTCTACATGTATTTCCCCCATTCTACTGATTAGGTAGTGTTTTGTCATCTACCATATTTCTTTTCTATACATGTAGTTTGATAGGCATGCTTTACTGAATATTTCTTGTGTGTGTATGATGTTAAATTGATTTATGATATTGATAATTAATTTAGAAGATGTCAATAAATCTCTTGTTTGTTCATGTTGTTTAATAGTATGTACCAGTGAAAGGTGATGCTGTTCTTGGTATAGTAACACAGAAAATGGGTGACGTGTTCAGAGTAGATGTTGGAGCAAGTGAAGCAGCTACCCTGCCATATATTGCTTTTGAAGGAGCAACTAAAAGAAATCGCCCTGATGTAAAGGTAAAAAGAATAAATAATAGATCAGCACTGCAGATAACTGAATTTCATCTTTTCTGTCTCTTTTAAAATTTTCTGAATATACTGCATGAAGTGTAGAATGCTGGTTGAATCTACAATCTAATCTACAAAAATCTTCAACATATATACGGTTTATATAAACAGTTTTATTTCCATGCTACTATTCACTAATATTTCACTCTAATTACAGGTGGGTGACATTGTATTTGCAAGGTTCTCTGTTGCTAATAAAGATATGGAAGCTGAACTTGTATGTATTGATAAACACGGTCGAAGTAATGGCATGGGTGTAATTAGAGATGGTGGATTTTTACATCATTGTTCTATAAATCAAGTTAGAAAGTAAGAAGTGATGTTATTTATAAACATATTTAATATTACCATATATTTCAAGTTATATTCTCATTTGACCTTGTATTGACATTCTAGTTAATAAATTTAACAATTATGTGTACATAATTAAAGGACCAACATGCCAAAATAAAATTCAAAATATACCATGCAATCAGAAGTTCTTTTAAAGCAGAAGTCCAGCCATTGCAGATTCTTTTCTCTTTTTGCTTTTAATTAAATATCTTGTATTGAAATAGTTTAAACCCAAGTACATATTGGTTTGTCATTCAAGCTACATGTATGTTATTACTACTATACAATAATCATTATCAATATTCCAACAACTGGAAACAAGTCTACAAAATCCTTTCACTTAATCTTTACATGCCATTTGTTTCAGAATACTAAATCCTGAAAATGTTTTGTTGAAGACTTTGGGGAAAAATATGAAATTTGAGACAGCTGTGGGTATGAATGGTAGAGTGTGGGTAAAAGGTCGAAATATTAATGAGACAATAGCAATTATAAATGCGCTTGCAGTATCAGAATTCATGACCAACGAACAGATATTATCAATGTGTAAAAAATTAGCAGACTCTCTTGCGGGTTTCTGACTGACAACACTGAAAGGCCTTCTAGTGGAAATATAGTGGAAGTGGCAAAGGAAGATAACAAGGAAATTTGACATTATTAGCAATAGCTATATACTATAAACAGCACAACAAACATGTGTTTTTGGTCATTGATGTTTTGTCATCAATCATTGGTACTCATAGATAATGAGAGAATACAAGGATACATTGCTGGTGCACCAGCAGCCTAACATCAATGGTGGAATTATAGACATAATATACATGCAAGATTTCATAATTTATGAAAGGTTCATTTCAAGCATATCATCAATTCCCATAACTTCTTGTTGGATATTACATGCACATGTCTAATCCCAAGTTAAAAAATGATATACAATTGTTCTGTGGTTTATTAAAGACACATTATGGGAGATTCGATAACGAGTTGGCAGGTCTCACTATAATAATTAAAAACTAGATAACGTAAAGGCAATTTGCAGAAAATTTCATTCAAATTGATCCACTATGAACCGAGAACTAAGCAAATCAAATTTCTGCCTAGCCTCGGTCATCATTACTAAAGTCAGTACGATAAACAGCATAGTCTCGATTATCCATTTAATCGTTTAATGGAGAAGGAAAGTTATGCAGTAAATTGGCTCACAATCCACTTAAGATCGCAGGCTAGCGATGCCATCTAGAGTTGATTATGGTCTGGATAGGTTAATTAATGTATAATTAATAATTTAGATAACATTTCAGGCCTAAAGAAAGACCTGCAATAGACAGGATAATGCATGTTTAACTATTAGATAATTACATTATGTTGTTTAAATTATGGTTTAGATCAGTTTTCAATTTTGACACTGACCATCCAACATACAGGTTATATTTATCAACTGATTGACTTGACATTTATACACTAGAAGCCAAACAAATTTCTTTTTTTCCTGATAACTATTTCATGAGTTGTTACTCTTGATCAGGTTTATGTCTCGTTTATGAATTCTCCCAATGCCCACAAAAGAATGTGGCAGTGTTTGTGGACTGCTAGGTGATTTTGCTGATGTGGGTGTATGTTACGTTAAATGGCAATCTATCTTATTTATTTATGTTGTTATGCACCATAGCACATGAGAGAATTTACAGTAGAATTTCACAATTTCAGCCTGCATTACCAGGCTTGAAAAATTCATAAAGATCTATCTAAACATGTTTTTATTCAATCTCTGAAGATTCTTGAGATCAAGTGCTGAATTACATTGTTCCACCTAGATAAAATAGTCACTTAATTCAAAACATCCCAATTTTGTAAAATTTTATTTTTTTTTCATAATACTATATAGAGGTATATATAAAAGAAAAACAAAACAATAAAATATATTTACATGTACGCTCTTTTTAGATCAGTTTAACTACATGTACATCTGTTTTTTTTAAAAGAATTCTATGATTTCAAAAGTCAAAAAGGATTTTCTTTATGAAACATAAATAAATCCATTAAAGCTTTAAACAATTACTAATACCATGGTTTTCATCATATATTTGTTCATGTAAAGATCTGCAATCAATCATAATGCAGAAAATTGCATGTATTATCATAAATGATATCTTAGTAAATAAAATGGATTGTAAATATTTTTTTTTTTTTTTCATAGAAGAGATTTTTTTCTACACAGATTAATCCACACTTGAAATATCACATTCACAGAAGTCAGTTTATTTAAATCCTTACATATGGTTTAAACATTGAAACTTTCTCCACAGCCACACATTCCTTTTATATTGGGATTATTAAATATAAATTCTGATGCTAATGCTGTTTCAGAATAGTCCATTTCTGTTCCTAGTAATGTCAGCTGTGCTTTCGAATCAATATACACTTTTACACCTAAAAATATAAAACATTCAATATTACATGGTAGAAAAACCAAATTATAGCATTCCATCGGCAGCGGGGTTGTCCCTTCCACCTAGAAGTCACTCTGTCACTTTAACTTTGGTACTGAATATATGTTTATCTAGACATTGAAGTGCACTTCAGATTCCTCAACCATAGTTTCATACGTGGTCATTATGCATAGAGTTGAAAAAGATCCGACATAAAAGAGGAATGAGCATTTTAAGGGGGGGCTTATGTCGACCTTGCAACTGAAAGCAACTGGCGTTTCGGCAACTGGGAGCAACTGAAAGCAACTGAATGCAACTGAAAAAAGTCGACCTGAGCGCCTCTTACAACTCAAAGCAACTAGTTGCAGTCAGTTGCAGATGTTCAACTTTCTGTAACTGGCGGCAACTAGTTGCAGTCGACATGAGCATTCTTGCAACTGGAGTCAACTTGTTTCTATGGAAATAAGACACCCACTTTTCAAGTTTTGATGATGTTGACATAATATACTAATAGAATTGTAGCAAGACCGACCATGCCTTTGGGCTGTGTCTTCTAAGTAATTCGCCATTTTGTAAATCACATGATGAATAAATTAACAGTCACGTGTTCAGTGTGATCGCTATCAGTTCAGAGTCGACATAAGCGCTCCGAAATCAGTTGCTCCCAGTTGTCCTCAGTTGCTGATATGATCGACATAAGCACTCTTGAAACTGACTGCAACTAGTTGCTTTGGTTTGCAAAGTCGACATAAGCCCCGCTTTAAGCAATAATGTGAATTTCTTGATATGTGCATGACAGGCATATAACCATGATTAGCTACAGTAGCAATGCTAACACTATGGCTCATTAGTCTGATATCAGATGGATAACAAGCCAACAGTGAGGCTGATGTCCCCAGCCGAAATCCATAAATAAATAGATGACACTTTAATTAAATCACACATTTATTTTTTTCAAAAGTATCCAGCAATCAAACTGTAAACTAAGTTTCATCACTCTCTATCAGATAGAATCAAGATTATCTTATCCCAAAGCATCGACCAATGAAATTGATTAGCTCTGCTTAGCTTCAGTTTGAAATATTAATCAATGAACTCAGTCAAGACATTCACTTAATGAACATCTACATCAAGTTTAACCATTCTACCCATTTAAAAGCAGAGTTGTTATGTTCCAAAGTCTTGACCAATCAAATTGCTTATTGCAGCCTAAGCAGAAAATTCTCACCCTCGAACTTAGTTAAAGTAATGATGTAATGAATCTATATTCCGAGTTTCGTCGCTCTCACTTCATTATAACTAAAGTTATCGTGCCCCAAAGCATAAACCAATCAGATTGCTTATCTCTGCTTACCGTAAGCAATGTTCATCATCAAACTCCATCAAGGCATTCACCTACACCAAATTTGAACATTCTACCTCATTTACAAAAAGAGTTATTGTGTTCCGAACTCTCGACCAATCAAATTGCTTATCGCTCTGCTTACCCTCAGCAGAAAATTTTCATTATCAAACTTAGTCAAGGTATTGATGTAATAAAGCTATACACCAGGTGTCCTCACTCTCACTTAATTAGAACTAAAGTTATCGTGTCCCAAAGCATCAACCAATCAAATTGCTTATCTGTGCTTACCCTAAGCAGAAAATTCTCCATCAAGGCATTCACCAATAGACACCTATGCCAAGTGTGAACGTTCTAACTCAATTAGAAAGAGTGATTGTGTTCCAAAGTCTCGACTAATTAAATTGCTTATCGCTCATCTTACCCCGAGCAGAAAATGTTCATTATCAAACTTAGTCAAGGTATTGATGTAATGAAACTATACACCAAGTTTCATCACCCTCACTTAATTAGAACTAAAGTTATTTTGTTACAAAGCATCATCAATTAAATTTCTTATCTCTGCTTACCCGAAGCAGAAAATGCTCATCTTTGTACTCCATCAAGGCATCAACCTAATAAACGCCTACACCAAGTTTGTACATTCTAGCTCAATTAGAAGGAGAGTTATAGTGTCCCAAAAAGTGTGATGGACAGACAGGCAGAGGGACGAACCCATTTTAATAGTCCCCTGCTTTCTTCGAAAGGTGGGGGACAAAAATACAGCATATGAAATCTTTGGATTGGCTATGTAATCCATGGAAGTGCTCAATAGGTAGTAAAATTTGTTATTGTTTTAAACTTAGATAAAGACTAGAGTATAGACATTAAAGAGATTCTTTTTATATTTTTCATCACTGATCAAATTCTTACCATCTTGTTGAACTTCCTCATCGAATTTGCCCTTCTCACTTGCATAATCTAGTGTGTAGGACAATCCATTACATCCCCTGGTTTTAACACCAATTTTAACTCCAATCTAAAGAAAAAAACATCAGCAATTTGATCAGTTGGGTGTGTTGCATAAACAAATCAAACATTTCAAAGTTAAGTTTATACCACAGAACCGCTGTTAAAAGAATTTTCTGCCAGAGAGAACTTGATACAAACTAGGTTGTTTAGGCAGTAACATGTGGTTTCATTTTTATTTCTATAATTTGCTTGTACAAAGGGGTCTTTACACATGGGAGGAAACTGGAGGACCCAGAGATAACCCATGAGGTTGGGCAGACAGGTTAGACCTTTTCGGCCACCATGTTTCTACTTAATATAGTCGCTTTTTATGTGCAATTTACGGAGCCATGGTGGTTCAGTGAGTAAGATGTTGGCTCGCTAACTTGGAGGTCCCATGTTCGATCCCAGTGTTGGCCAAGAAAGTTCATCCGGATTTTCAGGTGTGGTTCTCCCTTGTAAGTGATGCAGGACAGAGGGCCTGACAAGGGACATTGTATAGTCATTCGGATGGGACAAAAAACCTGAAGTCCCATCCCATGTACACATTGGTGTACATGTAAAAAAAAAAAAATCCCTTGACAGTTGGAATTCAATAAAAGAGTAGGCTGTAGCATCACTGTCTGGGCAAACTTTCCCTCATAGCACACTGTATGGCGCATGTCTGTCTTCATTAGCCCAGTCAGAGCAAAACAGTATGACGTTAAACTTCATTTCATTTATTTGCAACTGATTGGGTAATGATTTGTCTAGTTGAGTCAAGTTCACATGTTAATTGAACTTGTCTCCAGCTGGTGATGCGTAATGTTAATTGACATCAGTATTTACAAAGATTTGGTGAATTGAAAATCCTATCGATCTGCTGCCAACATAACAAACAGTCGCTATCTTTATTTGCCGTGAACTAAACTGATGGGCCTGATTTTAATTTGATGAATCCAAGTCAGGATTACCTGGGATGTTATCTAGAAAGCTTTGGTATTTTGAGTACATTGAGTGGATTAAACAGTGGAAATTTGATATTATCCAAAAAATGCAAATCGCACATTGTTACTTTAAATAACATGTCTCTCACGGCTATTATTCTACATATATTTAATTGACGCGTATACTACATCGTTCATCAAGTGTGCATTTTGCATACCGATAGTCCATTGGCCAATCACGCTATTATACCGAGATTTCGTCTAACGGGTGTGACGCGAGGCAGGGTAAGCTTACTTTTCCGGACACCTGTTACCACTGTTTGTCGTGTATTTTGAACAGTCCATTTGCTGATTACACTATTTTGCCTATACCGTTTTTTTAGGACTACGATTTTTGTCTAATGGTTTGGATAGTTCGTTCATACTTGGTTTTATTTTATTTAAAGCGGAAATTGCAAATTTTTAAGTTATGTTTTTAAAATTTGTTAAAATAAAGCCTGAAAATAGATGGTATCCATAAACAGTCCTACCTTGTTAAAGAATAATCCTATTAATCCTATAATTCACTATTGCCAGCTGAGAAATTGGCAAAAATATCATTTTCCTCTTCATTTTCAAACGTTTGAAAAAAGCTACATGGTGGAGAATAGAAAACAAGGGAGGTAATTGGGAGGTAATCGTGTTATTATTTCCTGTGTAAATGAGTTTAAAGTGTGAGAATGACACCTATGATCGTATAATTGTGAGTTGACAACCTATTGAGCAAAAGACATAGAAATAATTACCTTTTGACTTTCTTAGAAAATTTGCAATTTCCGCTTTAAGTAATTGTCACTGTATTGTGGGGCTTATACCATGAAATTCAAAAACATTCAATCAGTACACCCCCCCCCCCCTTAAATCAGTAGGGGATTCAGCTACTTAGTCTCCTTAAAATCTACTTACCATATCAGGTCTTTCTTTCATTAAATCTTTTACTTTCTGAACAGCATTAGAAGTCTGTAAAGAATGAGCAGTTAAGAAATGAAAAACTTATATATACATTTATAACTCATAACTTTAGGCATAAGGTCCATACTTTAGGTCTGCGGGCCAGGAACAAGAAAGAATTTGAACTCAAAACCTAGCTGTGATTTTTTTTCCTGAATAAACCCGAATTTGACTTTATATTGCTTTTCCATTGTCCCAACGGTCCGTAGATTTACCCAAAACAACTTTAAATTACCCAAAACAACCTACCTTTTGAATAAAACAACACATTGTTTATGATTTTTTCTTTCTTTTTGTATGTATAGGTGATTAATATTCCATAAACTTTACCTGTTTTTTAATAGTTTGGAAAAAACAGAAATAAATAGAAGATCAAAGTAAGAAAGACAACTCTTATTGTTATTGTAGTAAGTTTTGGTCGTTTCATCCCAAAACTGTTTCATCCCGGACTGTTTTATCCCAACTAAGTTTTTAAACAGGCTGTTTCTACCCCAATGGTATTGAAAAACCATTTAATTATCTGAGTGAGTGTTGAGTTTCATTTACATATTGTTAAATAAACTGTTAAACACTTAATTAATGATTATGAATTAATAATAAAAACATTTAATCAACTGAGTGAAAGTGCCAACTGCAGGTCTTTCTTTAGGTCTGAAATGTTATCTAAATTATTAATTAGACATTACTTAACTTATCCAGACCATAATAAACACTTGATGGCATCACTAGCCTGCGATATTTACTGGATTACAACCTGATCTGCTGTTTCTGATTAAATCAAAAAATGGATAATCGAGACTATGTTTTTTATTGTACTGACTTTAGTAATAATGATCGAAGCTAGGCCCAAAATTCAATCGCTAAATACTCAGTTCAGGGTGAATCAATTTTGTTGAAATTTTCAGCAAATTCCCTTTACGTTATGAAGTTTTTAACTGTTGGAGTGAGAACTACTGCTCTTTATCTAATCTCCTATAATGTATCTTTAAGTTGTATTTACATATAAATATGAAGCCACATAAAGTAACAAATAATTTAATCTTAACCTCATTTTGTTTTTTAACATTATTGATTAGGTACGATACGTACCATTATTTTCTATCCCATGTCAATGCTAGACTTGCTTGAGATAGTTCAGTAAGTGATATAGATATTAAAAGACCTAACATTAGTGATGACTAAAAACCATTAACAAAAGCGGTTGAGACATGCTTCCCAAATGCACACAGAACTTTATGCTCTAAACATTTAAAAACAATGTTGGTGTTAAAAATAAAAACTCTAAATAGTCTAAACGACAAAGTGTTTTAGACAAATTGTTTTGTAATGCAGGTATTATCAGTGCTGATGATACATTCGAGTTTGAGAAGGTTGCTCAGATCTGTTAAGGTGACGAAGATATACATCCACTGTTTAGTAACTATTCGGAAAGAATCTTGAAATCAAAACTATGTCTCAATGTCATCAATTTAAGCAAAAACGACCACAATTGGACAAACAACAACTGATTGGTTGGGATGAAACAGCCTAGGGTGAAATGGTTTTAGGCACTGTATGCTATGATGACAATAAGAGTTGTCTTTCTTGTTTTCATCTTCAATTACTGTTTTAGAACTATTACAAAATAAAATGTAAAGTTTAGGAAATATTAATCACCTGTACTACTATATGTAATATAAGAAGAAAGAAAAAATAATAATAATATGATGTTTTATTAAAAATACAGGTTGTTTTGGGTAATTAAAGTTGATTTGGGTAAATCTATGGACCCTTGTCCTAACTCCCACATCCCATTCTTAAATGTTTATTCACTTTGTTGTTCCCTTCAATTCTTCCAAAAATGAAGAAACCATCATTGGCATCAAATCAATTGTGAATTTTAAATTGTCAGTTGGGATAACTCTATCATGGCAAGAATTCATGTACTTCCGATATTGACGGAGTATATGATATTATTAATTACATATTTCATACACATCGTAGCCTAATACTTTTAGTGGTAGTTTTTATACAATATTCATCATAATTATACATAATTATAATTCAATGATATCATTTATATTGACGTATGGCTTATGCAACACTGACCGAATAACCATGCCAAATTTCAACAAAATTCCAGCTTTGTCTTCAAATACAAGGTAATAAACTAAATTATCCATGGATTAATAAACTGGCTTACTAATACTAATGGTGCTTTATGGGGTATAAGTTTTTTCCCCTGTACTGCCTTCACTGTAGCTCGCCCTATTACTCGGGCAGCCATGATTGTTATTTTGTCCTTGACCTTGCGCTAGTAGTAGTTGTATTTATTTTGTAATACTGGATTCTTGGGCGTACGTCGAAAAGACTTTTTGATCAAATCTAAAGCAGTGAAAGTTGGTTGATTGAAAGAAGAAGGGGGTTACTTTTGACAAGTTTTGTAACGACGGGAAATTAACTATTGACTGTCCAATGGGGGATACAAATCTAACAGCTATTCTGTATAAACAGGGAGACCTAAGATTGGTATGTAGATCTATGTTGTTTTTTTTTTTGTTTCTTGTTTTGTTTTTTTTCGGGGGGGGGGGGGGGTCTTTTTTTTATTATTGTATCAGGCATAAGAACGATGACATTGACAGTTCCTAAAGCCAAATAAACTATGACTATAAATTATGAGCATGTTCGGATCTTCAGTTAAACCTCCTGATCCCTCAACCCTCCGTGTTTCGAGAAAAGAGATGGTGCTGGTGCTATATATATAGTGGAACTTAGCAATTAAGCCCAAGGCAAATCAGATCGGACCTCAGTAAGCAAAATTGACAATATTTTTCATCAATACAACGATTGATTATTGTTTTTTAAAACATTTCTACCACATCCAACTACAATTAAGCATATAATCCTTGTAGTTGGATGTTGCAGAAATGTTAATTAAAGGTCCACTCAACACAAACTAGGTCATTTTGGGACTAACATATGGTTCAATTTAATTATTGAAATAAAATTGAACCATATGCTAGTCCCAAAATGACCTATAGTTTGTGTTGAGTGGACCTCTCTCCCTCTCTCTCTCTCTTTCCCTTTCCCTCTCTCTCTCTCTCTCTGTTTACAGGCATAGGAGACAGGTAGAAATGGTTCCACCACACTAGTGGACCGCCCTAAGGCCTTCCTTTGAGCAAGTTTTGTAGTCATTTGACTACAAAAAAGTTACTGGCCTATAACTCCCGTAATTTCCAATTACACTGACCCCAAACTGTAACATTATACTCATCGCAGTGTTTTGTTTGATTAGAGCTAATCCCACTAAACACGTACTGCTTTAATGGATGCAAATTTCTGTTCCAAATTATGACTGGTCAATAGTCCGATTAACAACCAATAGCTAACTGCGTAACAATATCGTTACATATTAAACAAAGCTCCAAATTGGACCAAACATGTTTACATAACGTTACGTCAAGACTCACGATTTTATTATGCCCAATTAACCATATTGCAGAAAAACTAATTGCGTGACAAACGAGGCTATCAACACGAATACAATGTAAACAATACTGTATGGAGACAAAGAATACTTTCACCGTTTTTAATACCTTAAATCACTGTTCAAAGTTTTAGGGAAGAGCCCAGATTGCTGTACTTGGGATAGATTTGATTGAACGGGAAGAATACACACACTCCCTCAAAAGCTCAAGTATCAGAAGCCAATCCAGCAATGGGCAGAGAGGGATTTCTCGGACCATTGCTTTAGGAATATGACTTTACATAGCTTAACGTAAACCAATTCCCATTGAAATAAAGATGAAACCCTACCGCATAATTATATGATTTGAGTAAACCCCACTGCTATGCGAAGAAATTTCTGTTCATTTTAAAATGGACGTCGAACCAGAATCACATGAAAATTAAGATTTCTGTGCTCCACTCTTCACTATTTGTAACATAATTACTTATTTCCATGCAAACTGTGATGATACATGTATGTGTTGAAAATTTAGCTTGTGGACACTCTAGAGGTCACAATTTTCATCCGATTTTGATGAAACTTGAAATGCATTTTTATAACCCAAAGATCTTAGTTCCTTTCGATATTCGTGCATATCGGATCGTAACTTCCCGAATTATGGCCCCTGATTATATGAAAAATAGCTTTTTTAGATGGTCCCCCTAGAGATCACAGTTTTTATCTGATTTAAAAAAAATGTTTGAATATATCACCGTTACACCCTAATGATGTGTGAGTTTGAATTTCGTGAAAATCGGACCAAAACTGCCGGACAAAATGGCTGCCCCCCCCCATACGCTAATAGTGTAAAAATGGTATATCAAAGTTGTGGACCTCTAGAGGCCAGAATTTTGATCCGATTTTGATGGAACTTTAAATTTATGTTTAAATCACAAAGACCATGGTTCGTTTTGATAATCGCGCATATCCAAACGTACATGTAACTTCCTGGATGACCCCTGATTGTTCAAAAAATCGCATTTTTAGCTTGTGACCCTGCTAGAAGTCACAATTTGTATTCAATTTTAAAAAGACAGTATAAATAGATCACCGTTACACATTAATGAAGGTTGAGTTAGAATTTTGTAAAAATCTGACCAAAACTGCCAGACAAAATGGCTGCTCCTTGTACGCAAATAGTGTAAAAGTATGTAATACCAAGGTTGTGGACACTATAAAAGTCTTAATTTCTATCCGATTTTGATGAAACTTAAAATATGTGTTTATAATCCAAAAATCGTGGTATCTTTTGATATTTGCACATATCGGACCGTAACTTCCTGGATTATGGCCGCTGTTTGTACGAAAAATCACGTTTTTAGCTTGTGGACCCTCTAGAGGTTACAATTTTTTATCAGATTTTAAAAAACTTCTAAATATATCATCATTACACCATAATACAGGTTGAATTCAAATTTCGGGAAAATCAAAACGAAACTGCCCGACAAAATGGCAGCTCTTTCACTTTGTACACAAATTGTGTAAAAGTATGTAATACGAAGGTTGTGTACCCTGATTGTACGAAAAATCGCTTTTGTTTTATAGCGTGTTCTCTATCCATCTCTTGCAAAATGTGGGTGTATCTTGCCTGGCAACCGCTGGTTCCGCTATTGTACTTGTAGCCCATGAGTTTTGCAACTGCTGTGGTCTAATGGTTTTGCAATCGAAATCCCACTCCAATCATGTTGACTTAAATTAAAATCAACCAATCAGACTGTTGCAGCTGCATTCACATCCACTGTCAGAGGCTGAACTGTTATTAGACATGCTCAAAGAAAGGCATAAGATCTCCTGGCATTGATGTGACTCCCCTTTAGGAACATGTATTCCTAACCCTAAAGAAAGGGAATCAGGTTAGCCAGATCGCCGATCTCCTATAATATCCTTTCAGAGGTGCACTACAGATGATACTGTTTATTTTATGTGCATTTTCAAGTTTGGTTTAAACATATTTCTGTAAATTAATTGTAAGCTTAACCCTTTAGCACATATTTGGTCTACATGTAAATATTGACTACTACTACTCCAGTTCCTTAAAGAAAAATATAGAAAGTGATATATATTAATATCAGTAGGCTATATCTCTGAACGACCGAAACTGCTGTTCAGTTAGACTGCCTCAAACCGCCCAAGATATGTAAATAGCTTCCATATTTTTGTGACAGGGCCGTTTGGGGTGGGGCGGTCTTACAAATTCAGACTGATTACACTGCATCAGTTATCAAATAGGCCTACCAAAATTTAAGCTTGCCAAAAATTTTACATGGTATCTTTATATATTATATAGCTTATTGATATATCTCTTTTCATAGTGATTGAGCATGGTTTTAGTACACTGATTTAATGAAATAACAGAGAAGGTCAAAACAATGTTAGTTGGTCATGGTCAAACTTGAGTAGGTGACACCAAGACACTAAACAAACACATGCAAACTGATAAAAATAAAGAAAGATTGTGTACTGTAAATAATGTAGGTTATTTTCTACTTTTGCAAAACACAGTTATAAAAAAAACGCCCAAGGCCATTGCAGGATCATGTTCTATTAGTTGCATCAAATTTCTTTAAATTTAATATCTGTGCATAAGCTTATAGATCAACATGCTTATGAAAGTCACACCAGAGACAAACGTCTACAAAACAATTTATAGGCCTACATTATGTTGATAATATGGGATTTTTCTTTGTGACAAGAATATGATATAAGACCCCTGCTACATACAATTACATGCATAATTAAAATGGTTAAATCCCTTCAGTATTTACAACAATGTGATGATTTAACATTTGTCAACATTCAGCATCAACTACTGCAGATGATGTATATAAGATATGGTCAAAACAAGCCAATGTCACCTATGATTTTCACTTAAATCTTTTAATCTGATTGAATCCAAGCAGGGAGATCATCTACTTTTGGAATTTTGATTTTGTTTTCTTAAAGTAGCTAAGTCGCTAACTCAGTATCATTCAAAGTCTTCGACATTGAAAACACGAATTATTTGTCAATTTAAATCTACAATGATGTTGTGATCTTACCGGGAAAAGATGGGCTTCTGATATCCAATATCTAAGACAAAAAAAACATTTTACCATTGGTACACAAATCGTGTACCATAATGTGTTTCAGCGCCATTTGTAAGAAGGGACTCGAAGAACGAGGCTAGACATATTCCACAAGTCATATCAAACGGTGACGTCATAGTCTTATCTGGAGAGCATGCGCAATAAATACTATCGGTGTAGACTTAAATAACCAGACGCTAGAGACTGCCGTTCGATTGAGACTTCTGGCGTATTTCGCCAACTGATTAGAATTTACAGTAAAAACAAAGATAGGTTGCCAGACAACGAAACATACGCCCACAGCAGCTAAATCGTCCGGGCAGTCAACAAGAGTTGTCGCATATTTTAATTTTTTTTTCGGTAATGAAACATTTATAATACACTAAAATCTGATTAAGAGCAACAACTCACAAAGTAATTATCAGAAAACGTTTTGTATACAAAGCTTTTAATATCATGGATTTAACTGTTCAAGTCATAAAAATTCATTGAAAATCAATATACTTGTTCGTCTCAAGATCTTAAACTCTGTGTATCAATCTGAAGTCAATCGAATGATAACTTTAGCCTTAAGAGCGTCACAAGATTTTGCAAAGTGATCAAGGGCCATAACTTTGACAGTAATTATCGGAAATCGTTGAAAATCAATAGGAATCTTCGTCTTATGACGTCAAACACTGTGTATAAATTTAAAGTCAATCGCATATTGACTTTAGCCTCTAGAGCATCCACAAGATTTTTTGAAGTGATCAAGGACCATAACTCTGGCAGTAATTATCGGAAATCGCTGAAAATCAAATCAATAGGCTTCTTCGTCATATGACCTTAAACACTGTGTATAAATTTAAGGTCAATTGGATATTAACTTTGGCCACTAGAGCACCCACAAGATTTTTCAAAGTGATCAAGGGCCATAACTCTGGCAGTAATTATCGGAAATCGCTGAAAATCAATAAGCTTCTTCGTCTCAAGACCTTGAACACTGTGTATAAATTTAAGGTCAATTGGATATTAACTTTGGCCACTAGAGCGCCCACAAGATTTTTCAAAGTGATCAAGAGCCATAACTGTGGCAGTAATTATCGGAAATCGCTGAAAATCAATAAGCTTCTTCGTCTCAAGAACCTTAAACACTGTGTATAAATTTAAAGTCAATCAGATATTAACTTTAGCCTCTAGAGCGTCCACAAGCAATTGTGGACGCCGGACCGACGGGGGCGACGACAATATACGACCACATTTCAATGTGGGCGTATAAAAACGATTGAATGTAAATCAGTTTATATACATTCATATTACATTAATTTATGTGTTGCGAACCATCTGTGTCAATTTCTAGGTCCCAAATAATAGCGACTTAGCTCCTTTAATTAAGAGTTTTGATAGACTGTTATACAATGCTTGGGTAAGCTTATAGTGTAAAACTTTTGTTTTATTTTTGTTTCATTTTAATTGGAAACAAAACTATACCATACTAAGGACTAACTTTAACATGGGTGTTTACTGACGAATTCTGGTCAAATTCATATTCAGTTACATGTAGGTTGATTTGCTGATTTGTTTCACTGACATTATAGACTAGCTCCCATTTTTATTTGCAAGTGTTTGTCAAGGAAATTATACAGGTGTCCCTTTTCACAGGTTAAGTGATTAGGGCATCATGGGAAGATCTTTACATAATTGACATGCAACTCATACAGAATTATGGAAAGCTCCGGGAGGTAATCCAGATACAGAACGTCGGAAAGTGCTGAATATCTAAAGGGTTCGTCCTCCCTAGACACCTTTGTGTTAACAAAGTTTGCAGCAAAGGGGAGATAACTCGGAACTGGAGGTTGCAAAGTATTGTAAATCGATAGGGTTCGTCATCTTGTGACCCAAATGCTTCACCAAATTTGAAAATAATCTGTTAACTAATCTAGCCTCTATTTTGTTAACAAACTCCAGGATGACAGGTCGCAGAGCACTGAGAATCAATAGGGTTTATCCACTCATGACCCCAGTGAATTCCAAATTTGAAAAAAATCTTTTAAAGTCACTAGCATCTATTGCGTTTACGAGCCAGTTGTTGACAGACATGTGTGACGACATAATACACCCACACTTAAATGTGGGCGTATAAAAAGACAAATAAAAGCCAAAAAAGCATGGTATACCCCAATCTTTGCATTGATATGCAAATCAAATCATGAGTTGCAAATTGCATACTTAACACTTCTATTTAATATAAAGTTACACATTGCACTGAAAAATTATATCACAACACATGTCTACAGAATATTCAAGTGCTTATTACATTAAAATACAACCTAAATATATATTCTGATTCTAATCGTAAATTGCAATACCTAAGTAGCACTAACATTGATCCAGTCTACTTAAAGACAGATTTTGAAATATCAGCATGTCTCAATTGAAGGAACCAAATTTGATAAACAATGACACATTCTGATAAATGTAGCTGCTGTGTATACTGAAACTGACTTTTCATAGCTAAAAAAAAAAAAATATTGGGAATCGCAATGATTCTTGGCCACCCCCTACATTGAGGCTTTTGAACATTACATGGTAGCATTGTAAGAAAAAAATGTTTTGAAATATGTTATACTTTGCTGTTAATAATAATACTGTCCTATTGTCTAAATCTGAATAATAATATGCTTATTATCTGTAAATATATTTACTATATCTTGCATACTCGTCTCTTCCAGGAAGATGCTACAGTAAAAGAACCAGGACCAGGACGTGAGTAGGCCCCTATTTATCCTCGCTTTCTAGTAATCATTGCATAGATTTTGTTTTTTGAAAATGGACATAAGCTCTATCGTTGCCTTTAATATATTCAACATTTTTTTTTTTTTTTTTGGGGGAATGGTATTTCAATACTTTGAAGGAGTGGGCTTTCAAAATATCAGTCTGTGCCTATTTATCTACATTGAGGGAAATTAACTGTTAAATTAACTTTGAAGTTTTATCATTAGGGTTGTTAACTTGTTTTTTCAGTGAAGAAATATTTAGACTTATTTGCCATGGGCATATGGTACCCTATTATCTGTTTTGTTGTATGGTGTGGTTTTCCTACACGTACTATTAGACTACTCAGGGAATCATTCAAAATGCAGATTCATTGGACAGTTTTCCTCCTGAAATAGCATAAATTTAACACTGTCTTGTAGTCAAGTGTAGCAATTATGAAATAATTTTTCGTTAAGCAAACTCATGCACAAATGTAAGACTTTTGTAGAATTTTTGCTCTTTTAGTTAGTAACATTATATTAATTAATATCTTTGGCTAAGTCATATCTAATGCACTCAAGAATGAGTGACAGATTGGTATATAAAAAAGAGTTATAATTTGGTAAACATTAGCTGGTTCCGTGGGATTGAGAATATCATGTTTAACATGTGATCGGAAAATTACAATTGCATCATTTGGCTTAATTATTTACATCAAATTTGACCAATTAGATAATTAAAGGTCTAAAACCCAAAGCTACAAAACTAGCATATTTGTGAGCATTGGTCAGACAGCAGCTTGATTCTAGAAGGGAAAAGATGTAGCAATTTCTCGCTCCTGTGATACTAAGATATGTAGTAAGAAAAGATGCATAGGTCATACGTAGGATGTGGCGACCAGTTTTTATTGCTGTTCGCTCTACACGTCTGACAGAAAGACCCATGGTACTACACATGGTCACGTGCAAGAAGAAGCCTGTGAGAGGTTAGATACATGTACATGTAGGCCTGCATGTACATTGTATTTCAAACTACATGTATTATGATTGACGCTATCAGATGTATATAGACAACACTGTTAATAGCAAGTACAAAGAATAACATATAATACCTTTCTATTTCCAGAGGTACAACTTAGTATGCGTGATGTCGGAATCTGTGGTTCAGATGTTCATTACTGGACACACGGGGCTATTGGGGACTTTATTGTCAAGGCACCAATGATATTAGGACATGAGGCATCTGCTGTTGTTACTAAACTAGGAGCTGGGGTAACAAGCCTAAAAGTCGGTCAGTAGTATTTTTGTGTGTTTTTATTACATTATTGTTACTTTCTATCAAACAGCTGCTCAATTAAAAAATTAAGATGGGTATTCACTGAAACAGTTTATGGCAACAACCTTCTTATTATTAACTGATTGTTTATAGATTTTAACTGTCCTTAGCTGTTCCATATTTTAATTGTAAATAATGACAATTTCCTACATCCCTTCGAAAGTTAACATGCAATCGTATATACCTAGGATATATCTTAATTTGTTTTTTTTATATGCCCACATTTTCATGTAGACGTATATTGTCTTCGCCCCTGTCCGTCCACAATTTGTTTGTGGACACTCTACAGGTCACAATTTTTATTCGATTTTGACGAAACTTAAAATATAGGTCTATCTTCCAAAGATCACAGGTCTTTTCAATATTGGCATATATTGGACCATAACCTCATGGATTATGGCCCCTGATTGTACGAAAAATCACGTTTTTAGCTTGTGGACACTCTAGAGGTCACAATTTTCATCTGATTTTGATGAAACTTGAAATGCATGTTTATAACCCACAGATCTTGGTTACTGTCGATATTTGCGCATATTGGATTGGAACTTCCTGAATTATGGCCCTTGATTGTACAAAATTTAGAGGTCACAATTTTTATCTGATTTAAAAAAAAAACGTGTGAATATATCACTGTTACACACTAATATCTTGGTTCCTTTTGATAATCGCGCATATCCAAACGTTACTTCCTGGATTATGGCCCCAGATTGTTCGATAAAATCACATTTTTAGCTGGCGGATTCTCTAGAGGTCACAATTTTTTTTTTGATTTTAAAAACCATTTAAATATATCACCATTTCCGTGAAAATTGAAATGAAACTGCCCAACAAAATGGCCGCTCTTTGTACGCAAATTGTGTAAAAGTATGTAATACGAAGGTTGTGGACTCTCTAGAGGTCACAATTTTTATCCGATTTTGATGAAACTTGAAATGTATGTTCATAACCAAAAGATCTCGGTTCTTTTCGATATTCGTGCATATCGGATCATATCTTCCTGGATTATGACCCCAGATTGTACAAAAAATCACTTTTTTAACTTGTTTTGTGTCCATCTCTTGCAAAATGTGGGTGTATCTTGCATGGCAACCGCTTGTTATAAATTTCGTTTGAGAGATACACTTGCAATTGTGTAACAACATCAGATCACGATACCTTGTGAGAAAGATATGCCAAGGTTGACATGTGCCATGCATTAATTCAAGAGGGCATGAGTACCAGAGCCTTCACCCAAAGGTTTAAAAATTAAATGCCATCACACGCACAACCTGAGACTGGTCCATCGTTTGCAGCAGACTGGGTTCATGAGCGATCAGCCATGGTCTGTATGGCATCGCATGGTAATGCCTTGACAAGACCACAACATTACCTGTAAGCATTTGTAGGATCACACACTTTCAGTTTCCTGTATTGCTGCTACTGTTGGGTGTCACCAACAACACTCTGCCATACTGTATGCTGACCGCCTTACTTTGGGCTAATTCGAACTCATGACGGTTCCTGATTTTACATTTACTGTAAAGGTGTTATCTCCTCTGTGGATTGTTGTTGATTTTTGTGTGGTGATAAATATCCAAACACTTTCAGTCATATCACGGGTGTATTTTCGTTGCATCTTGGTATATAATTTTTGTATTACAATTACAGGTGACCGAGTGGCTATTGAACCTGGTGTACCGTGTAAATGTTGTAAGTTCTGTAAAAAAGGAAGATACAATTTGTGTCCTGATATGAGTTTTTGTGCAACACCACCTATCGATGGAAATCTTTCACGATTCTATTGCCATGATGCTGACTTCTGCTACAAGTATGTCATAATTATTTATATAATATTTACAGTATTTAATTCATTCTTTCTGCATTCTCTATACATTTTACTTCAAACATTGAGACCAAATGGTATCTGTTTTAGACACTGACTTTTTAAGACAACATAATATTAATTGTAGATTTCTGCAGGAGTTATATTTATTTACTTGCAGATTTCTTTATTATCCCCCGCCTTTTGAAAAAAGCAGGCCACTATTAAAATCTGTCTGTCCGTCCGTCACACTTTTTGGGACACAATAACTCTCCTTCTAATTGAGATAGAATGTTCAAACTTGCTGTACGGTGTTTATTAGGTCAATGCCTTAATGCAACTGGACGATGAGCATTTTCTGCTTAGGGTAAGCAGAGATAAGCAATTTGATTGGTTGATGCTTTGGGGCCCCGATAACTTTACTTCTAATTAAGTAAGAGTGATCAAACTTGGTGTATAGTTTCATTACATCAATAACTTGACTAAGTTTGATAAATGAGCACTTTCTGCTGAGGGTAAGCAGAGCGATAAGCAATTTTATTGGTCGAGACTTTGGAACTCGATAACTCTCTTATTGATTGAGGTAGAATATTCAAACTGCTTGTGTAGGCATTCATTAGGTGAATGCCTTGATGGAGTTCGATGATGAACATTGCTTATGGTACCTTGATTGGTTGATGCTTTTGCGCTCGATACCTTAGGTTATAATTAAGTGAGATCAATGAAACCCAGAGTATAGATTCATTATATCATTACCTTAGACTAAGGAGTGATAAGCAATTTGATTGGTCAAAACTTTGGAACATAACAACTCTGCTTATAATTGAGGTAGAATGTTTAAACTTGATGTAGATGTTCATTAGGTGAATGTCTAGATTGAGTTCAATGATTAACATTTCCCGCTAAAGCTAAGCAAAGCTAAGCAATTTCTTTGACTTTGATTCTATCAGATAGAGAGTGATGAAACCTAGTGTATAGTTGATAATCAGTTTGATTGCTCGATACTTTGAAAAAGATAAATGTGCATTGATTAATGTGTATCATCTATTTATTTCGGAATTTCGGTGGGGGAATTCAGCCTCACTGTTGGCTTGTTTAATTATATGAATGAATGATTATGAGTATCATGCTTACCTAGTTGAGTTTGCATTTTGTTTCTAGATTACCTGACCATGTAAGTAATGAAGAAGGTGCGTTATTGGAACCATTATCTGTCGGTGTACACGCTTGTACAAGAGCAGGTGTTACTTTAGGATCTAGAGTATTTATTTGTGGAGCAGGTAAATTTTGGAACTTACATTTCTCCACACAAAGTGTAATGAAAATTTAATTTATCAGGTACTAGAAAAAAACATCATTAAGCCAAAGATAGGTTGCCAGGCAACGAAACATACGGCCACAGCAGCTAAGTCGTTCATGTGGACGTATTATGCCGTCGCCCCTGTCCGTCCGTCCGTCCACAATTGTTTGTGGACTCTCTACAGGTCACAATTCTTATCCGATTTCGACGAAACTTGAAATATAGGTTTATCCCCAAAAGATCTCGGCTGCTTTCGATATTGGCATGTATCGGATCGAAACGAAACTTCATGGATTATGGCCCCTGTTTGTACGAAAAATCACGTTTTTAGCTTGTGGACCCTATAGAGGTCACAATTTTTATCCAATTTTGTTGAAACTTGAAATGTAAGTTTATAACCCAAAGATCTCGGTTCCTTTTAATATTTGCCCATATCGGACCGTAACTTCCTGAATTATGGCCCCTGATTGTACGAAAAATCATGTTTTTAGCTTGTGGACCCATTAGAGGTCATAATTTTTATCCGATTTAAATAAACGTATTATTATATTACCGTTCCACCCTAAGGACAGTTGAGTTTGAATTTTGTGAAAATCGCCCCAAAATTGACAGACAAAATGGCCGCCGTTCGTTATCAAATAGCGTAAAAATATGGTATATCAAGGTTGTGGACCCTATAGAGGTCACAATTTTTATCCGATTTTGTTGAAACTTGAAATGTAAGTTTATAACACAAAGATCTCAGTTCCTTTCGATATATGCGCATATCGAATTGTAATTTCCTGAATTATGGCCCTTGATTGTAGGAAAAATCACTTTCTTGTTAGCTTGTTCTCTATCCATCTCTCGAAAATGTGGGCGTATCCTGCCTGGCAGCCTCTGGTTATTATACGCCCACATTGAAATATGGTCGTATATACTCGTCGCCCCCGTTCGTCCGTCTGTCCGATTGACTTTTAATTTATACACAGTGTTTGAGGTCATGAGACGAAGAAGCCTATTGATTTTCAGCGGTTTCCGATAATTACTGCCAGAGTTATGGCCCTTGGTCACTTTGAAAAATCTTGTGGATACGACAACTTTTGTTGACTGCTCGAACAACTAAGCTGAGTTGGCGTATGTTTCGTTGCCTGGCAACCTATCTTGACGAATCTTAAAATATAGGTCTATCTCCCAAAGATCTTGGTTCCTTTCGATATTGGCATGTATCGAACCACAACTTCATGGATTTATGGCCCCTGATTGTACAAAAAATCACGTTTTTAGCTTGTGGACACTCTAGAGGTCACAATTTAAACACGATTTAGATGAAACATGATATCCATGTTTATTCGCGCATATCAGATCGTAACTTTCTGAATTATAGCCCCTGATTGTACGAAAAATTGCGTTTTTAGCTTGTGGTCCCTCAAAAGTTCACAATTATGATCCAATTTAAAAAATATATCACCATTACACCATAATTTTGGTTGAGTTCGAATTTCGTGAAAATCGGACCAAAACTGACGGACAAAATGGCCGCCCCTCGTACGCAAATAGTGTAGACATCTGGTATATCAAGGTTGTGGACCCTCTAGAGCTCACAATTTTGATCTGATTTTGATGAAACTTGAAATGCATCTTTATATCCCAAAGATCTTGGTTCTTTTCGATATTCGCGCATATCGGATCGTAACTTCCTTAATTATGGCCCCAGATTGTACGAAAAATAGTTTTTAGCTTGTGGTCTCTCTAGAGGTCACAATTATTATCCGATTTAAAAAACCGAATATATCGCCGTTACACACTTAGATCTTGGCTCCTTTTGATAATCGTGCATATCCGAATGTAACTTCCTGATTGTTCGAAAAATTGCATTTTTTAGCTTGCGGATTCTTTGGAGGTCACAATTTTTTTTTGGATTTTAAAAAAATATATTACCATTCCACCATAATGAAGGTTGAATTTGAATTTTGGGAAAAGCGAAATGAAACTGCCCGACAAAATGGCTGCTCTTTGTACGCAAATTGTGTAAAAGGAAGAATTCGAAGGTTGTGAACCCAGTAGAGGTCACTATTTTTATCCAATTTTGATGAAACTTAAAACATATTTTTATATCCGAAAGATCTCAGTCCCTTTTGATATTTGCGCATTTCAGACCATAACTTTCTGGATTATTGCTCCTGATTGTACAAAAAATCGCATTGGTTTTTAGCATGTTCTCTATCCATCTTTTGCAAAATGTGGGTGTATCCTGCCTGGCAGCCGCTGGTTTGTTTTGTCAGTAATGAGAACATTTACAACACATGAAAATCTGATTACAAGTAATAACCCATTGTTTTTCTCATGACCTTAAATAGTTTATATTAATTTTATCCTCCAGATCGTCTCATGACCTTTAAACACTGTGTATAAATTTAAAGTAAATCGGATATTAACTTTAGCCTCTAGAGTGTCCACAAGATATTTCAAAGAGATCAAGGGCCATAACTCTGGCAGTAACTATTGGAAATCACTGAAAATCAATACACTTATTCATATCATGGCCTTAAACACTGTGTGTAAATTTAAAGTCAATCGAATATCAACTTAAGCCTCTAGAGCATCCACAAGATGATCACCGGCCATAACTCTAGCAGTAATTATCGGAAATTGTTGAAAATCAGTGGCCCTCTGCAACTCATGACCTTAAACACTGTGTATACTATAAACTTGAAGTCAAGATATGACCACATTTCAATGTTGGCGTATAAAAACTGTAGACTAAAGGGAATAACATTTCGTTTAAAAAGAGTTTTACAGTTCTTGAACATACTACTATACATGTACTTTGTATTTATGTTTTAGCTAACTAAACAATTCATTATTATAGTTCGTAAATAGTTTGATAGGCATTGCATATGTAGAAATGACATGATTATTAAAACCGAAGACTAAAGTATTATTAAAGTAAAGGGTTTAGTGAAGAGAGAAACTGACTTTATTTCCCCCATTCTAACCCCACCCCGCCTCACTCCGAATTTGATTTGAGATGGAAGGACCATAAAGTAGACAGACTATAGTGTAAAATATCCGTCTCAATATAGGTACATAAATATCCTTTCCATTATTGGTACACATATGACCATGCATAGTAAATTTTCATGATAGTCAATTCCTTTCTTGGTTTTAATCAAATTGTTGTGACATTTGTTTTTTTTACACTGGTATCGATATTTAGGTTTAAAACACAATGTTAAAATAAGGTTATAGGGCTGGAAATGGCATGAAGTTTAGTTTATCTATCTATTATACTATTATATTCTAAAATTATCATTTAGTATTATTCAATGTATTATATGTCTCATTATAATTGTAGGGCCAATTGGTTTGGTGAATCTTTTAACTGCAAAAGCAAAAGGTGCAGCAGAAGTGATCGTCACAGGTAAATTTCAAATTACTAACTTCAAAAGAAGAATATATTTTTGATTTCCATTGATTGAAGTATATAGATGAATCATGCATTTTTGTATTAGAACTTGTGCAGACTTTGAAAAGATCCCAAAGGCCCTTATTAGGCAAGTGCGTTGATTTTCTATAATTTTGTAATCAGATAAAAATTATTTTTAATATAATGTGGTATCTGATTATGGACATTTATTTTCTTGTGTTTAATTTAATAGTAATGTTTGTGAGAAATGCTGTCTTAAATAATTGACTGCAATATTGTATCTTTGAAATTCAGAAAAGGGAGATAAGAGACTTGGTATTGTATTATTTTTACTTTATAAAATTGACATAAGGTGTTTAATATATACTGGTATTTTATAGACATAATGGTAAATTTCAGATATTGATGCATCAAGATTAGAATTTGCTAAATCATTAGGAGCTGACCATATTGTACTAGTAACAAGTAGAGATCCGATAGATACAGCTAATAAAGTAGAGGCTATATTAGGGGATAAAGCAGATATAACTATAGAATGTAGTGGTGCTCCATCTAGCATCAGAACAGCTATATTTGTAAGTTAATAATGGTAATAGCAAGAATAAAAGACTGAAATTTTTGGGGACTGCATTATTATTTACTAATACTGTTAAATTTAAACTGCGATTGTTTAGGTTTCGCCAATCTGATTAAAAAACAGATCTATATTTCCTTTCATTTTTTACACTTTCGATGGCCTACACTACATGAAGATCTGACCAGTTGTATTGGAAGGTCGCGTCAAGGGTCGTACAAGCGGCTTTTGACCCTATGGCGTCAGTCATTGTTTAATCAATCCGCGTTTACAGTTGCATGCATGGCATGCCAAGAAGTCGCTGTAACAGATGGTTTCATTGGCTAATCCCTCATGGCATCCAGAATGCCTGTTATATAACAACTCTTCCAGATCCTAGTGTAGTACAGACAAATAAAACAAAATTTTGAACTATGAAAAACAAAACGAAATAGGATCTGTGTTTTAATCAGATAGGGGTTTCGATTGACATTTACAAGTTGAAAGCTGACCTAGATATGTTAACTTCTTTAATCTGAATGTGCACAGGCCATTCTCAAGTGTAATAATGAAACAATGACACTTTGAATAAATGCCATTAAATGGATAATTCATACAGGTATCTACTGCTTCACCATTTTCATAATTTCACTTAGAACGGGCATTTGTAAAAAGTTCAAAATGTTATGCATGCATGATCAAATTAAAGAAGTTAGTACCATAAAAATGAATATAAAATAAAATAGATTGCCTATATCTATATGTGATTTTCATATGTCATTTGGACGGAGGTCTGTTCATATTTTGTTTGTGGACATTCTACAGGTCACAATTTTTATCCGGTTTTGATAAAACTTTAAACTTTTAATGGCGTATGCCCATCTTCATTAGCCCAGTTCGGAGCAGAACAGTAGGACGTTAAACCCCATTTCATTTCAAACTTTAATTTTATGTTTATATCACAAAGATCTTGGTTCCTTTCAATAATTGCGCAAGTCCGAACGTAACTTCCTGGGTTATGGCCCCTGATTGATCGAAAATCACATTTTTAGCTTGTGGACCTGCTAGAAGTCACAATTTGTATTCAATTTTAAAAACCGTTTAAATATATCACCGTTACACATCAATGAAGGTTGAATTCGAATTTCATAAAAATCTGACCAAAACTGACAGACAAAATGGCCGCTCCTTGTATGCAAATAGTGTAAAAGTATGTATTACCAAAGTTGTTGACACTCTAGAAGTCACAATTTCTATCCGATTTTGATGAAACTTGAAATGTATGTTTATAATCCAAAGATCGTGGTTCCTTTTGATATTTGCACATATCGGACCGTAACTTCCAGGATGATGGCCCCTATATGTATGAAAAAATAGAGGTCACAACTATTATCCTATCTTAAAAAAAGTTTTAAAAAATCACTGTTACACCCTAGTGATGGTTGAGTTCCAATTTCGTGACCAAAACTGCCTGACAAAATGGCAGCTCCTTGTATGCTAATAGTGTAAAAGTTTGTCATACCAAGGTGGTCGACCCTTTAGAAGTCACGATTGTTACCAGATTTTGATGAAGCTTAAAATATTTATATCCCCAAAATCTTGGTTCCTTTCGCTATTTGCGCATATCAGACCGTAACTTCCTGGATTATGGCTCTTGATTGTACAAAAAATCGTGTTTTTTTAGCTTGTGGATTCTCAATTTTTTATCCAATTGTAAGAACCGTTTAAATATATCACCATTCCACCATAATGGGAAAATCGAAACAAAACTGCCCAACAAAATGGCAGCTCTTTGTATGCAAATTGTGTAAAAGTATGTAATACGAAAGTTATGGACCCTCTAGAGGTCACAATTGTCGTCGCCCCTGTCCGTCCACAATTTGTTTGTGGACAATCTACAGGTCACAATTTTTATCCGATTTTGACAAAACTCAAAATATAGATCTATCTCCCAAAGATCGCGGTTTCTTTCGATATTGGCATGTATCGGACCATAATTTCATGGATTATGGACCCTGATTGTACGAAAAATCACATTTTTAGCTTGTGGTCCCTCTAGAGGTCACAATTATTATCCGATTTTAAAAAAAAACGTATTAATATTTCACCGCTACACCCTAATGATGGTTGAGTTTGAATTTCGTGAAAATCGGACCAAAACTGCCGGACAAAATGTCTGCCCCTTGTACGCAAATAGTGTAAAATATGGTATATCAAGGTTGTAGACCCTGAAGAGGTCACAATTTTCATCCGATTTTGATGAAACTTGGAATGCATGTTTATATCCCAAAGATCTTGGATCCTTTGGATATTCGCGCATATGGGATCGTAACTTCCAGAAATATGACCCATGATTGTATGAAAAATAGGCTTTTAGCTTGTGGTCCCTCTAGAGGTCACAATTTTTATCCGATTTAAAAGAACATTTTAGTATATCAACGTTGCACCCTAATGATGGTTGTGTTTGAATTTCGTGAAAATCGGACCAAAACTGTTAGACAAAATGGACTTCCCTTGTACACAAATAGTGTGAACATCTAGTATATCAAGGTTGTGGACCTCCTAGAGGTTACAATTTTGATCCTGATTTTGATGAAAAGTGAAATGCATGTTTATAACCCAAAGATCTTGGTTCCTTTTGATATTCGCCCATATTGGATTGTAACTTCCTGAATTATGGCCCTTGATTGTACAAAAAATTGCGTTTTGAGGTCGTGGTCCCTATAGAGGTCACAATTTTTAACCGATTTAAACAAAAAACGTTTGAATATATCACAGTTATACACTAATGATGGTTGAGTTTGAATTTCGTGAAAATCAGACAAAAACTGACGGACATAATGGCCGCCCCTTGTACACAAATAGTGTAAAAAATATGGTATATCTAGGTTGTGGACCCTCTAGAGGCCACAGTTTTTATCCGATTTGGATGTAACTTTAAATTTGTTTTTTTTATCATAAAGATCTTGGTTCCTTTTGATAATTACACATATTCGAACATAACTTCCTGGATAGTGGCCCCTGATTGGTCGAAAAATCGCATTTTAAGCTTGTGGATTCTCTAGGTCACAATTTTTTTTCCGATTTTAAAAATCGTTTAGATATATCACCATTTCACCATAATGAAGGTTGAATTGGAATTTCGGGAAAATTGAAATGAAACTGCCCGACAAAATGGCCGCTCTTTGTACGCAAATTGCGTATAAGTATGTAATACAAAGGTTATGGACCCTCTAGAGGTCACAATTTTTATCCAATTTTGATGAAACTTAAAACATATCTTTATATTCCAAAATTCTCAGTTTTAATGAAACTTAAAATATATGTTTATGTCCCAAAGATCTCAGTCCCTTTCGATATTTGTGCACTTCAGACCATAACTTTCTGGATTATAGCCGCTGATTGTATGAAAAACCGCTTTTGTTTTTAGCTTATTCTCTATTCATCTCTTGCAATGTGGGTGTATCTTGCCTGGCAACTGCTAGTTTGTTTTAAAAAGCATTAATTCTAATATATCACTGTTACACCATAAGCATCTGATACCAAGGATGTGGATCCTCTAGAGATCTGATTTTGATGAAACTTAAAACATATGTTTATATCCCAAAGTCGGCAAAGATCTTGGTTTGATTTTAAAATACGTTCATATATATCATCATTGCACTGTAATTACAGTTGAGTTTGAATTTCGGACCGAAACGTCACATCCAAATGGCCGCTCCCCCTTTCGCAAATAATGTTAAAGCATGTAAGACCAAGGTTGTTGACCCTCCAGAGGTCACAATTTTTATCCGATTTTGATGAAACTTAAAATGTGTGTTTATATTCCAAAGATCCTGGTTCCTTTTGATATTGACCCATGTTAGACTGTAGCATCCTGAATTACATGTATGGCCCATTATTGTACGAAAATCACTTTTTTAGCTTGTTCTGTGTCCATCTCTTGCAAAATGTGGGTGTTTCGTGCATGGCAACCGCTTGTTGCTACTTGCATTTACCGGTATGTAGCTGTCTCCAACTAAAAAAATACTGCATATTGTCACTCATATTTTTCACTAGTCAGTATTGCACTGACTCACCAACCAGGAGTATTTTGGTGCAGAACAGAAGGCTTGGCAAGTTAAAGAATTGGGCTGTTCTGACAGGACGATCAACGACGTCCCATGTACACATTAGCATGCATGTAAAAGAACCTTGGTAATTTCCTTTATAGCATTTTGCATGACATGTGCCAGTCTTCATTATCTTGGTTTGTACAGAAAAGTAGGCGTTTAAACAGCATTTCCTTTTATTCAGTCATACCATACAAGTTTTGTGTATTTTTAGGCAACTGCTCCTGGTGGATGTGTTGTATTAGTTGGTCTTGGACCAGCAGATGTTGAATTACCTATAGTCAATGCTGCTGTAAGAGAAGTTGATATTCGTGGTATATTCAGATATGTCAATTGGTAGGTTTCTTTAAAATTTTCTGTCTTTGTTAACTGGTCTTTGAGGAAAATATTTACAGAAGTTGTGAAAATAGAATATGTCAGTTCTCACAATCAAACAGTAATAGCTATACTTTATCAGATAAAGTTGATCCCTTAGAAAAAGTTTTCAGTATTGCATTTATTTTTTTAAATTAATATGTTTTCTAATGTTCTTAAATAGGAATAGTAAGAAACTGAATTATTATTGGTTTCCCCTTTCTAGTAGATTATCAATTGGTGTTATTACAAAGCCCTAAGTTTCTAATTAAAAGACAAAAATATTTGTTTCTCTGTAAAATGATTAACAATAGAAAACTAAGCCATTAAACAAAGAAATCTTAAATGCACAAACCACATGTATATTCATTAATTTACATGAGTTCATAGAGGGTATTATACTACACATGTAATATAAATGTTTACTAGTCTATAGCTGTAAATAACTACTAAATGATCATTTCTTAAAATGCTTTTTTCTCAACAATAAGATTTTTAAAGGAAGAAACATAACTGTGTTAATAATCACTGAAAAACTTAATTTTTCAAAATAAGCTTCTTAAATTTCAGTTATCCAACTGCCTTGGCTATGATTGCTTCTGGAAAGGTGAATGTCAAACCATTGGTAACACATCGATTTAAACTTGAACAGACTTTGGAAGCTTTTGAAATGGCAAAGCAGGGTAAAGGTGTGAAAATTATGATAAATTGTGAAAAATAAAGAAAAAAATTGGTCCTATAAATATGTATATGTATATTTTTTTAAGTTTATAACATACAGTATTTTCTATATTTCCCAAAGACTATAACCAACATGCATATCATAATTTCATTTTTAATTAGCCTACTTATAGCCATACTCCCTTTGCAGAAATTGATAATTGTAATAACCAAGCATTTTAATTGCACTCATCTCTTTGTTTTTGTTATAAGGTACTTTCATTTTAATTATTAAAATTTAAAACTAATGGCATTCCTTAATTATTGTTGATAATATTATTATGTTAATTAATCTCAAAATGAGTTAATCCTACAGTATATAAAATGGTGCAATAATTGAAAATAAAATATTCTGGTTATATCTTTCTTTGCTTCTTACATGTATTTTCCAAGAAATATCCATATTTTCAAGAAACTGTCTTATATGAGCCGTCCATAATTGGTGAAATAGATGATGAACTACCTTAAAAACATGGCTCAATCTGAATGGACTAAATGAGATCACATGCTCTTTTCTAAATCCTACCTTTCTATTAGTTTAATGAAACTTGAAATGCATGTTTATAACCCACAGATTTGGGTTCTTCATATGGGATCGTAACTTCCTAAATTATGGCCTCTGATTGTACGAAATATCGTGTTTTTAGCTTGTGGCATAGTAGACCAGGAGCCCAGGGGGTCAACCTAGCTGAAAAGTGTACCAATTTTCTCCCATATGGTATCAATGTATGTATATCTGGTATCATCAGAATGTAAGTCTGCCGGTTTCTGGTACCAATTTTCTCCCATATGGTATCAATGTATGTATATCTGGTATCATCAGAATGTAAGTCTGCCGGGTTTCTGGTGGTGGGTGTGGTATTCCACGCCCTAAATGCCATGACCCCCAACTAGGCTAGATTAGCTCAAAAGTGTACCAAATGAAAATCGTACAGCAGTATACCGTACATCTTCAGGTATTAAAAAAACACTCTGACAGACATTTCTAGTGGTGGGGTACCCCTGACAGAGCTATGTAATTGCCAGACATTTGTAGTGGTGGAGTATCCCTGACAAGAGTTATCTAATATTTAGATCAGAGCTAGGCTAGATTAGCTGAAATCTGTACCACCTAAAACAGCTTTGGAGTTGTTCAGTACCACCACAGGAGTCATGAATGACCACTGCCAGACAGTTTGTACGGTGGGTTACCCCTTACAGACACGCCCCAAAATGCCACGCCCCCAACTAGGCTAGCTTCCCGTTTTCTAAAAAAATAGATTTTTAGCCAGGATGCGTAGGATACTAATACCTAGCCTGTGTGGAAGAGGCGATAAACTCAAATTTTTTCGGGCATTTCTGGTTCTGCCCCCTAACAGTCATCCAGCCCGTACACCTATGACTTGTGATACCTCTAGAGGTCACAATTATTATCCGATTTAAAAAAAAAAACTGTTTGAATATATCACCATTACACCCTATAAATGATGGTTGAGTTCGATTTTCACCAAACTAAATAGTGTAAATATATGCTATTTTAAGATTGTGGATCGTCTAGAGGCCACAATTTTGATCCGATTTTCATGAAACTTTATTTTTATGTTTATATCACAAAGATCTTGGTTCCTTTCCATATTTGCGCATATCCAAATGTATCTTCCTGGATTATGGCCCCCAATTTTTCGAAAAATCACATTTTCAGCTTTTGGCCTAGCTTGAAGTGACAATTTGTATTCAGTTTTAAAAGACATTTAGATATATCACCGTTACACATCAATTGAAGGTTAACTTTGAATTTCATAAAAATCTGACCCAAACTGCCAGAAAAAATGGCCGCTCCTTGTACACTAATAATGTAAAAGTATGAGTCACAATTTTTAACCGTTTTTGCTGAAACTTAAAATACATCTTTATATCATAAATATCTTGTTCCATTTCAATATTCGCTTTTTTCAAATCATAACTTACTAGATTATGGCCTCTAATTGAACGAAAAACTCTATCCATCTCTTGTAAAATGTGAGCATTCTTGCCTGGCAATCACTGGTTTCCACATATGAAACAATCGGATCATCTCATTGTTTATATATACAGTTGCAACAGATGGATAATTAAAACCCAATTTAGTACAGCTTGGAGTAAAGTTAGCAGTAGATAAAAATTGAACTTGTACCGGGTGTAATTTCATACTTGCATTAAAACGTTTCTGTTTCTGAATTAATAAATAACTAACCAGCGGCTGCCAGGCAGGATACGCCCACATTTTGCAAGAGATGGATAGAGAACAAGCTAAACAAAAGGTGATTTTTTGTACAATCAGGGGCCATAATTCAGGAACCAAAATCTTTGGGTTATAAATAGAAAATTGTCACCTCTAAAGGGTCCACAACTTTGATATACCATATTTCTACGCTATTTGAGTACGAGGGGTGGCCATTTTGTCTGTTAGTTTTGGTCCGATTTTCACGAAATTCGAACTCAACCATCCTTAGTGTGTAAAGGTGATATATTCAAACATTTTTTTAAACCGGATAATAATTGTGACCTCTAGAGGGACCTCAAGCTAAAAACGTGATTTTTCGTACAATCAGGGGCCATAATTCAGGAAGTTACAATCCTATATGCGCAAATATCGAAAGAAACCAAGATCTGTGGGTTATAAACTTATATTTCGAGTTTCATCAAAATCAGAAGAAAATTGTGACCGCTAGAGGGACCACAACCTTGATATACCATATTTTTACGCTATTTGAGAACGAGGGACGGCCATTTTGTCTGTCAGTTTTGGGCCGATTTTCACGAAATTCGAACTCAATCATCCTTAGTGTGTAGCGGTGATATACTAAAATAGTTTTTTAAATCGGATAAAAATTATGACCTCTATAGGGTCAACAAGCTGAAAACACGATTTTTCGTACAATCAGGGGCCTTAATTCAGGAATTAAGTTACATCCGATATGCGCGAATATCGAAAGGGACCGAGATCTTTGGGTTATAAACTTACATTTCAAGTTTCAACAAAATCGTATAAAAAATGTGACCTCTATAGAGTCCACAAGCTAGAAACGTGATTTTTCGTACAGTCAGGGGCCATAATCCATGAAGTTTCAGTCTGATACGTGCCAATATCGAAAGTGACTGATATCTTTTGGAGATAAACCTATATTAAATAATTTCAAGTTTCCTCAAAATTAGATAAGAATTGTGACCTGTAGAGTGTCCGCAAACAATTGTGGACGGACGTACAGGGGCGACGGCAATATACGTCCACATGAAAATGTGGGCTATAAAAATAAGTGGAATAGATAAACTTATTTCTTTCAAAGCGTGTATGCAGGGGTTGTGCATATCTTTTATAGCTGTCAGGTGTGTTATTTACATATTTTTATTAAAATGTCTCATTATCTCTTGCCTGTAACCTTGTATCTGTTTTAAGATAAGGGCCGCTTGTTTTTTAAAAATATTAGAGTACATAATGTAAACAGCATAGATAAGTATTAGTTTTGTGCAAAAGAAACAGTTAATTTTTGAGAGTTACATAGAGATTTGTTTAATGCTGTACAAAGATGAGCGATACAAATCTGACTGCTATTGTTTATAAAAAGGGAGATCTAAGATTGGTATGTAAACATTCTATCAGTATAGTTGGAGCATGACGGAACATGAATATTGTAACACGGGATTTGTAGAGAGGATTTAAAATGAACGATCCAAAAGAAATGCAGTTTAAAGTTGACTTGCAACTGACTAGGTCATTTCGGGACTAAGATAAGGTATTTTCTTATTTAAATAATTCACTTGCATGCAGTGGTCTTTAGAAATAGGAAGAAACTGAAGCACAAAAGAAAAAGTTAAATAGGCAAACTTGTCAGTTCTTCTCATCTACAGCACACGTTGACCACTCGGCCATCCAATCTCCTTGTGTGTGCAGACTGTATGGTAGTTACAAGTTAGTGTTCCAAAATTTCAGACTAAAATTGCCCCAATATGTCACATATACCTAAAATTGTTTAATACTCACATGGTTATAAACACAAGTGTATAGAAACTAAATAAATAAACCAAAATGTGTAGATTGATAATATATAATTTCAATAGGAAACAAGATAGAAATTTATACAAGATATATAATAGTTATTATTGCACTGAATTTAAAAAAAAACCAACAGGTTTTCATCTTTATTTTTGAAGGCATAGAATATGTACATAACTCCTTTGTGACAATGCATAAACTGAATATGACCTAATTTTGTAAGTTCTTTGGATATCAGATAAAGATTACGTATTGTAAAAACAAAGATTAGACATATATGAGAGAGATAGAAATGGGTTTAACCTCCACTTGATACAAACTAGGTTATTTTGGGACTAACATATGGTTTATTGTGGTCTAGCAATGGGGGGGGGGGACCGGAGAAAACCCACAGGGTTGGATAGGCGATCCTACTCCTTGTTAGGTACAAGCGGGGGAGTCTAAACCACGCCACTTGACTTAATGACAGACTTTGTGATTAACTGCATGCTTTAAACCAATCAGCCACCCATCCTCCCCTAGAAATATATGACTGAAAGCACATAGACTACCCTCCCCCCTCCCCACTTTTTCCTATTAATTTTGAAATCTAGTGTAAGCTTACAATATAAGCACTTTGAATTGGTTCAACAATATTCTTCAATATGAGATTTTAGCATGTTAGCAATACCCCTCGCAAATGAAACTACTACGGTTGGAAACCAATAACCGTATCAATTCGAAGCATATTATCGACGTTATTGAGCAAGCGCCTTACTCCTGATTTTAACAGAGTCTGAGAAATAAAAGTCTATGTACGTATTAAATTTAAGCGCCAGAATATAGAGGAATAGTGTATTTACCGTGTCTCAAATTTCAGCTCAAAATATTGAGTTGTTTGGGCGTGAACGTCAAAACCGCTTATCCAGACACGTAACCATTTAAAGATTTCGGGTAAATTTTTCGTTGGGTGACCTGATCTAATCAAATGCCGTTGCCTTGGAGGTCTATTATACAGTGCGCAACCCACGTGCTGTACTTGATAACGAAAGGTAAATTTCACCTACATGTTATTTTAATAAAGTCTGGTTTTATCGAGACACCGTATAATACAGCTTGGGACACCGTAGAAATGGTTCCACTACAGATGTCTTCCACAGTTTAACGATACATATTGTAGCTAGGGACACCGGTATCCATATCCAGACGAAGACTGGCGGGTTTAAGGTTTTTGAAAACGTATCATGTATATTGAGGCAGTTGCCCACCCCTAAGTAGAGGATTTTAAGAGCTTTTAACACAAAATTAAGCAGTTTTATTGTCCAATATATAACCGAGATTGACCCTTTAATCAAGGAAACTACAAATAAATTAATAATGTCAGTAATTACAAGATTAACCTCAGCTAAACAATGTTTAAGTGCAAGAGTGGGTAGGTGGTCAGAAAGATGAAGAAGTTTGAAAATAAAACAGAGTTCATAAGGTTATCACAAACAAGGTTATCAATACAATACACATGTTAAGTTCATTATTTCTTCTCCATATTCCTGAAGCAATGGCCCGAGAAATCCCTCTCTGACCATTGCTGGATTGGCTTCTGATACTCCAGCTTTTGAGGAAGTGCTTCTATTCTTCCCGTTCAATTAAATCTATCCCAAGTACAGCAACATGACAGCCCTTCGTTTAATAAGGAACATTAAAAATAATATAATTTGTTTTTTTATAATTTTCACCCAAGTCAATTTTAATATAATTTGTTTATTATAATTTTCACCCAAGTCAATTTTAATATAATTTGGTTTTTATAATTTTCACCCAAGTCAATTTTAATTTCCACCCATGTCAATTTTAATATAATTTGTTTTTTATAATTTTCACCCAAGTCAATTTTAATATAATTTGTTTTTTTATAATTTTCACCCAAGTCAATTTTAATATAATTTGATTTTTATAATTTTCACCCAAGAATTTCCACCCAGCGCGTGACGTCATCTCCATTAGCCTCGTTTCCATTGTAATGTATTACGTTTTATGTTCACATACTGTAATTAGCAGATTGCAATGTATTATGTTTTTACCTTACAATATATGGACGTATATTGTTGTCACCCCTGTCTGTCCGGACGTCCATCCATAATTTGTTTGTGGACACTATACAGGTCACAATTCTTTGACGAGACTTGAAATATAGGTTTATCCCAAAAAGATCTAGGTTCCTTTCGATATTGGCATGTATCGGATTGAAACTTCATGAATTATGGCCCCTGATTGTACGAAAAGTCACTTTTTTTTTATCGTGTGGACACTCGAGAGGTCACAATTATCATCTGGTTTCTTTCGATATTCACGCTTATCGGATCTTAACTTTCTGAATTACGACCCTTGATTGTACGAAAAATCTCGTTTTTAGCTTGTGGTCTCTCTAGAGGTCACAATTTGTATCCGATTTAAAAAAAAAAAACGTTTGAATATATCACCGTCTTAATGATGATTGAGTTCGAATTTTCTGAAAATCTGATCGAAACTGCCGGACAAAATGGTCGCCCCTCGTACGCAAACTTTAAGAGAGAGAGAGAGAGAGAGAGAGGGAGAGTTTAACGTCCACTCGACACAAACTAGGTCATTAGTGTTTTGGAAACGAGGCTAATTGAGATGAGGTCACGCGCTGGGTGGAAATTCTTGGGTGAAAATTATAAAAATCAAATTGAAAACGGCAATAGTATTGTTCGTCTCCATACAGTATTGTTAACATTGTATCCGTATTGATAGCCGCGTTTGTCACGCAATTAGTTTTTCTGCAGTATTCTGCTATGCACTGGTTAATTTGGATTAATAAAATCGTGAGTCATGACGTAACGTTATGTAAACATATTTGGTCCAATTTGGAACTTTGTTTAAAGCGTAATGATGTTGTTATGCAGTTAGCTTTTCGTTGTTAATTGGACTTTTGACCAGTCATAATTTGGAACAGAAGTTTGCTTCCATTACAGCAGTGTTAAGTGGGATTAGCTCTAATCAAACGAAACACTGCGAGGAGTATGTTCTTCACTGACTTTTTAGATTTTGTTGTGAAAGAATGATAAGAATGATTCAGCTATCTGACATGGACGTGGTGACCGCTGATTTTGCTGAGGATGCGTGGATCTTGTTCACGAGCTTTACGCCTTGTCACTACAACACTTCAATATGGACATCTGAAATTTCTGGATCGGGTTTTGTAACGTCAAAACGATAGCTTATCAGAAATTAATTTATCCACAAAAATAAAATTATCTGAAGTTAATTTATCCTGTTTTGTTAACACAAGATCCAAAGTACCGTCGGGATTACGGGTTGGTGATGTTACATGCTAACGACAAATTTTCCAAAATTTCACAACAATGATATGAATCTAAATCTTGACAGTTCTTAAACTGAAAGTTAAAATCTAATATTATTTAAAAATTCACCACTAAAAACAACAAGCTCGTATAGAAGAGATGTAAATTCCACAGAGAAGAATTTGATCTGATTCCGAATTGATGGTTTGTAAACTGTTGGATCTTTCCTGATATGTAAACTGTAAAGTATAACACAAACACCCAATTGAAGAAAACTTATCAATCCAACACCATCACTATGTGCTGACTTTGGAGATGAATAAAAGAATATCCATTAGTTTAAGTATATCCGTTTTGGGTTAATTTTGATGTATTTCATATTTGCTATAATAAGGCCAAATTCTTCTGTTTTAGGAGGAAACAGAAATAAAGGAACCGGGGATTGGGCGTGAGTATTTAATATAGACATCATGTTATTGTCTGTGTCATATCTTACACTGATCTATAGACATAGTCTTTAATATGTTTGTATTTTCGTATAAGCTTATTTCTCACATTTTGCCGGAATTGTATCCTTAAAGTTCATTTTCCTTAAATGGTTCCCGGTATCTTTCATAAACCTTTTCCGATAGACTGTTCCAGATAGCGTAGTCCACCGGATTCGGGCCTTGGGAATGCGACTGTGACTGACGTTTATTCATTAAATTATTATTCAAAATTAAAATTATGGAACTAGAGTGTAATGGCAATCTCCCGGTTTTTATTTATTTATCTTTATTATTTCCTTCCAGAGGTTCAACTTCGTATGTGTAATGTTGGAATCTGTGGTTCAGATGTTCATTTTTGGACTCAGGGAGCTATAGGAGACTTTGTTGTCAAGGCGCCAATGATAATAGGACATGAAGGAGCAGGTGTTGTTAATAAATTGGGACCTGGGGTAACCAACCTAAATATTGGTCAGTATTTATTACTGTTTTAAAGATGCATTATGTAAGATTTAGATAAAGACAAAAGCTGACAGTTCTCGCTATAATAGTTAAAAAAATACTGGAAGGAGAATGTGTTGAAGAACGATGTGGTCTCTATTGTCATCTCTACCGTTGTTACCATATTAAACAAAGTCTCGATTATCCAATTTTAATAAATTATTAACTGTCAATCGTGTTTAAATCCGTTGAGAATCAAAAACATCCGATGACCCAGCGAGTTGATTATGGGCTTTGCATGTAAATAAAATGTCTAATTAATGATTTATATAACATTTCAGGCCAAATGACAGATCTGCATTAGACAGATTTAGCTCTTACATAATGCATCTTTAACTAAACTTATGATATGTCGAAACACGTATTGTTTGTAAGTTTCGTGGAATGACATTATCGTGGCAATCAGTTCTCTCATTTGTACAAACATTGATAAGTAGTGATTAAGTATATATGCATAAAATCAATAAAAATGTATTTCCACAATTCACCACCACCCGCCTACCCTATCAATTCATTGTCACGTAATTCCGTTCTCTTGTTCTAAACGATTGCAGGTCAAGTCCGGAAATAGTAAATTATGGAATGAGTTAAAGGTAACTTACATGCACATGTTGTCTTCATCTTGAGAACAAGTTCATTTACTTTATAGAACAAGAAATATATATTACTTTCGAAGTTTGGCCAATACACAGACCATTTTTGTATTACAGGTGACCGAGTTGCTATTGAACCTGGTGTACCGTGTAAATGTTGTAAGTTCTGTAAAAAAGGAAGATACAATTTATGTCCACGTGTGATATTTTGTGCCACGCCACCAGATCATGGAAATCTGTCACGGTTTTATTGTCATGATGCTGACTTCTGCTACAAGTATGTCACATAAGTACTTATCATCAATTTCATTAAAGCTCATCTCCAAAAATGTTTCTTTTTTGATACGACCATATGCGATATTCAGAATTTCTATATCGATTGTAAATTTCGAACACGGGTTGCAGAGTGACCTGTTTTACCTTTTGAAGCTTGCGAACGTGACACAGGACCACATTCTTGGTGAAATTGGTTGACAAGCATTTTAGAGCTAATATTGACGACTTTGTTGGATTGACTGGAGTTAAAATATTATTTAAACCTTCTGGGTGACATTAGCAACACAAATTATGTCCATGAATGATTTGGAACTGACACAAAAACAGTGGCTAATAAGAACAATACACGGTAGATAGATCGATAGAAACACGTTTGCATAATATTTATAACTTATTTCTAGATTACCTGATCATGTAAGTACTGAGGAAGGGGCGTTATTGGAACCATTATCTGTAAGTGTCCATGCTTGTACAAGAGCAGGTGTTACTTTAGGATCTAGAGTATTGGTTTGTGGAGCAGGTAAAAATATTGATTCTGCTTTTGCTTTTATTTCATTGCGACCTATTTTATTCGAAATCTATATTCTGCAGTAATCAACGTTCTGTATTCTCCATGTACTAGTTTTCTTATACTAAATGCAAATATTGTAATTGTAAACCATAATTTGTAGACATATTTTACATGCACAACACGGTGTCATCAGTCAAATGTGTTTGATGAAGTCAATATACTATATAAAGTTAATATAATACTACTGCACTAACAATCACACCTTCCCGGTATTGCCCGGTTCTCAAACCTGGGTCATTTTGGCGGAAAAGCGATAGTCCACAGTTCGACTACGAGGCCACTATGGTGCCCCACTGTTTATCACGGTGTAGAGGACTGGTGTAGCCACAGCAGCCGTCGGTACTACTACGTTTATTGCAACGGTTTGCCATGCTACATCCCGGTACTACTACGGTATCACCACGGTATCACCACGGTTTATCTCAGTTGACATTACGGTCTTTGCTGGTGTTTTGATGAAACTTGAAATGTATGATTATAATCCAAAGATATTGGTTCCTTTCGATATTTGCGCATAATCGGACCGTAACTTCCTAGATTATGGCCCCTGATTGTACGAAAAGTCACCTTTTTAGCTTGTGGACCCGCTAGAAGACACAATTCTTATCTGATTCTATAAAAGACGTTGAAATGTATCACCGTTGCACCATAATGACGGCTGAGTTTGAATTTCGTGAAAATCAGACTGAAACTACCTGAGAAAATGGCGGCTCCTTGTACGTAAATAGTGTAAAAGTATGTAATATCAAGGTTGTGGACTCTTAGAACTCAAAATTTTTATCCGATTTTTATGAAACTTAATTTTATTTGTATATCCCAGACCTCTCAGTCCATTTCGATATTCACGCATTTCAGAACATAACTACCTGTTTTATGGCCCTCGATTGTACGAAAAATCGCTTTTTTTTAGCGCGTTCTCTATCAACCTCTTCAAAATGTGGGCGTATCTTGCCTGGCAACCGCTGGTTAAATTTGCAGCAAGGAATGAGTTGAAACTGATTACATTTATGTTACATTGGATTCTGCATTATTCGCTTGAAACCAGCTGATAAGAGGTTTGGACAGGCCAAATCTGGGATGTGCGAAATTGATGAGAGGTTTTGTGAGCTTATTCTGTGACTTGTGAGATATGAGGTTTTGTTATGAAATATGCAGTATAATGATACCAATATTCAGTTAATCGTTTGATTTGATTTTTACAAATATATATTTTTATAAACTTTTGAAATATTTCTTTCCTTCACATTATTCCAACCTTTGTTAAGAAAATAATATACATTTTTGTGCTCTTAAGAGTTATTTTATATGGCAATGTAAAGCCTTATGGTGTAATGCTTTAGGGGGGTGGGATTGTAATTATGCTACTATCTTTTGTGTACACCCGTTTGTTTAACGGAAAATTTAAATTGAGGCTGAATTCGCAATATTGGCTTATTATGATATTTTGATATGAACATTATAAAAATTTGAAGGAAGGAATACGACTTTAACATACCTGTAGTAATTTATTAGAAAAACGAAAAGTTCGGAATCGGGTTAGAGTGCGACTTGTATGAATTTTGAAGATTGTTACGCCATTTTGGGTTTCTAAACCAATCTCACTCGGCATTATGGGCGGTCCGCCATTAATATATTATGGACGCCCACAAATTATACCGTTTTGGGCGCCCCATTGATCAAGTCGTGGGCACCCAACCAATCTTAATCGGCATTATGCATTATGTGCGACCCGACAATCATATATTGTCATTATAAGACGCCCACCAATCATGTCATTATGGGCGGCCCTCCGGGATAAGGCACCCCACAGATCAAGCCGTTTTGGGCGCCCCATCAGTTGTGGTGTTAATCGTGTGAGTCATTATGAGGAGCCTCACCATTTGGGGGGGGGGGCGCCTCATATATGACGACATGCTTAGCGGGGCGCCCATAAAACCAAGTGCCATTGGTTGTGCGTCCCGCCAATACTGATATGGGCACGTTGGGCATGTACAATTAAATTTGCATCTTTCCAAATGGTATCTTCACCACTGTCTCTATTTGGATTTGACCAGTCATAATAAACCATTTCAGGAAAACATGACATGGTATCCCAGATGGCAATGGTAGTTCTATGGGAGTTGGTTTTACATCAGAAGAAGCAAAAGGTGTTTTTGAAGAATTATTATATACATCTTTTGATTCTGATTTAGTATGTTTACCAACAGGTTCAAATATAATTCGGCCCTTGATTTCTATCACTTTTACAACGAGAAACAGATGCTACGTACGTCACACTAAAATCTGACATCTGAAATCATTGTCTTTATTTGCCGATTTTGTTGAAAAGGATTCGTGACAATTAGTTGCAGGACTTGGTGGTTGTCTTATTGACCTGTTAGACCCTTTTAAATTAACCTCGGAATCTTTTTCAGCTTGTAATCTTCTCTTTTGCGGAGATTATTCAACATTAAATGTCACATTAAATAAAACTTACAATGTTATCATTGCAGGGCCAATTGGCTTAGTTGTTCTTTTAACAGCAAAAGCAAAGGGTGCAGCCGAAGTTATTATGACAGGTGACGCTAAACATTTTATAACAGTATTGTTTTAGGTCATCATATCAAATTATCTTTATTGATTTTTCTTAATGTTGAATTAGATACCATTGGCCATTATTATACGAAATTATATTTATTCATTTGCCTTAGACACCATTGTATTCTATCATTCTGGAATTTTGAATTAACAGCTGTGTTTGATATTAATTTCATCCAGATATTCATAATATCATGACCTAACTAAGCTTAGCCTAGATTTTCAAAAAGGTTAAATTTTGTGTCGTTGCCCTCTGTTAAAGCAATTGAAGCATCATTTTTGGCAAAACTCCGAAAATATCTTATATGTTTGAATATGACATCCAGTGCATAACTGTGACTTTTAGTTAAAATTATTGATCTGGAAAATTATTTTTATAGATATTGATAAATCAAGATTAGAATTTGCTAAATCGTTAGGAGCTGACCATACTGTACTAGTAACAAGTAGAGATCCGGTAGATACAGCTAATAAAGTAGAGGCTATATTAGGGGATAAAGCAGATATAGCTATAGAATGTAGTGGTGCTCCACCTAGCATCAGAACAGCTATATTTGTAAGTTAAATGCCTAATATATAGGTAATTTTAAGTAGTCACCTAAACAGTGTACTAAAATTAAATGACTAACAAATAGGTAATAGTCACCTAAATAGTGTACTCTACTAGCAGATTGGGGAGATGTCTGATTGTTAAAATATATTTTGAAGAGGTCTTTGTTTTGGGGATTTCACTTTCTACGGTTTCACATACTATTTTTTTATACGCCCACATTTTTATTTGGACGCATATTATCGTCGCCTCCGTCCGTCCGGTCGTTCGTTCGTCCACATTTTTTTGCGGACACTACGCAGGTCAAAATTTTAATCCGATTTTGACGAAACTTGAAATATGGGTTTATCCAAAGATCTCGGTTCCTTTCGATATTCGGATATATATCGGAGGGTAACTTCCTGTATTATGACTCCTGATTGTACGAAAACATGTTTTTAGCTTGTGGACATTCTAGAAGTCTTTATTTTTATCCGATTTTGATGAAACTTAAAATGTATGTTTATATCCTTAAGATCTGGGTTCCTTTCGATATTTGCGCATATACATGTAGGACCGTAGCTTCTTGGGTTGTGACCTCTGATAATACGAAAAATCATGTAATTATTATCACTTTCATAATTGTTGTCACAGATTCACAGTACTTTATACGTTCTTGCGAAATTCTTAATAAATAACATGAATTCCCATGCACAATCTTCCCCCCATCGTCCAGGAAATGGCATTTCCGGGACTCTAGATTCCTGGACAGCCCTAGGAAGCTCTTACCTGTGGTTCTCGGCTCGTGGCGGCGTCATTCGTGTTAGGGGCCTGTGCATCAGTCGGCCTCATTTCTTCTACCCCCCCCCCCCACGAAAAAAAACCGGTAGGCCTCTGATTCTACGAAAAATCGCTTGTTTTTTTTAGCTTGTTCACTGTCCATCTCTTGCAAAATGTGATCTTGCATGGCAAAGGCTTTCATGTATGAATATATGGACTGATAATTCACCCGATCCGCCTATTATTAGCCTGCTAGTGGTGGATAATTATTACACAATAAATATTTGCTGTTTTGGCACTCATTTTACACACTCTGTGTATGATCAAATAATCAAATAATGAAAACATTTTGGGTATGTTTTTCAAGGCAACTGCACCAGGTGGTTGTGTTATGATAGTTGGTCTTGGACCAGCAGATGTTGAATTACCTATAGTCAATGCTACTGTAAGAGAAGTTGATATTCGTGGTAATTTTAGATATGCGAATTGGTAAGTTTCTTTTGAAGTTTATTCAGAATTTATGAGAGTCTGGGAGGATAATACTTACTTTTTGACACTCATTGTTGATTGGGTGATAAGGAAGAACCATTTATTGTTTTTTTATTGGTACGTAAGAACGACCCCTACAGAATTTTACATTTTCAGATTGCAAATTCCAAATGAAATTGCAGAGTTATCTTACCTAATACATTTCAACTCCACGGTCTTTTTAACGCAACGAGGGACAGAATTCTGGACATAGATTGTCTATTGGATCAAATGGATTAAGGAGGAACAATATTTTAATTTGGATTTTTTCAAGATTAGATACTATGTTTTATATGAAATAAAGCTCCCATTCCACCCAAACTACATTTTATCACGATTTCCCAAATACATTTTCTACGGTACTATACAATGATATAAGTAAATATAGCCACGCAACGCGTTGATATACGCCTACACAGAAGCTATGTCTCTAAAAAGATAGCCATAAGCATCACACACCCTATTATTACCGACAATCTAGAGGCAATCCGGGACACAGATTTACATCACTGTTTGGATTTAGAATTTATGTCTCGGTTGTTCCTACTGTACTATTGAACGTGTATTTCAAATGTGGCTGTAAAGTTCCAACTAATAACTGGGCTAATGAAGACAGGCTTACTTCCTAAAGTGTGCTATGGGGGAAATTGTGCACGGACATAGGCGCCACGGCCTGCTCTTAAATCGAATTCCATGTGTACCACGGTTTTTCGTCCCATCTTGCCAGATCCCCAGTCCTGCATGACTGACAAAGAAAACCGCGCCGAAAAATCCCGAAGAAATAAATCTTCCCTTGCCTGGGAGATAAAATCAATAATAACTTGTAATAACGTGTAAGAATACCTTCAAATCTATTATCTTTCTGAAGCTTATTAATCAGTTCCTTTAGGAACTGTCTCTGATTGGACGATGTCAGTGGACATCCTCCGATCAGAGGCAGTTCCTAAAGGAACTACTTATTAATATGGCCACGCATCTGTAAACTTCCTAAGATATAATATGTACGCGGTTGCCATTTATGCATTGAAATCTGTTGTCAGTGTTAGATTAGAATCTGCTGTTTCCGTTAAAAATGAATTGCATACATCAAAAAGTGTCCGTTTTTCACTAGGTTTAGAAGATGCTAGGTTTTGCTTTTGAATAGAAAACATGCGTCTTCTATCGTCCTTTTTGACAAAATACTTTCAAATACTTTCAGCTAAACGTTTCAAAATGTAATTTGTGCATTGATAACAACGTTAATAGTTGAACCTTTGCATTTTAAATCCAAACATTGATGTAAATGGGAGAATTTCTTTTTAAAAGTAGTCTACCACCTGCAATTTTGACACGAGGTTTTCGGTATACAGAAAAGGGTGGGGTGGTTAACTACGGAATAGAGTCACGTATCGCCGAAAATTGTTAAAAAGGCACCAATACCTCACACCAATTTTGAAAAAAAAATACGTTTACAAGGTAATTGTTAGAATGCCGACGAATAGGGTACGACACAATAATCGGACCACATTGAAATGTGAGGGTATAAAATTGTCCTTTGAAAGTAATTAATAAAGGGAGATAACTATCTAATAGCAAGATTATTCTTGTAACCATATTAAGGATCCGGGGCGTTGTAGATTACAAAGTGCGCTATAAACAAAAGACAGAAAATTATGATGACACATATTTGTTTGTTTATTACATTCTTTCAGTTATCCAGCTGCCTTGGATATGATTGCGTCTGGAAAAGTGAATGTTAAACCATTGATAACACATCGATTTAAACTGGAACAGTCTTTGGAAGCTTTTGAAATGGCAAAACAGGGCAAAGGGATAAAAATTATGATCAACTGTGAAAAATAAAGGGAATGATTAAAATAGTGTCCAAAAATATATATTGATTATACATTCTATTAAATGGGGCACACACCTGATATCGTAACTGTTGATTAACAAAAAACGTTGAAAATCAATAGGTTTCTTCATTTCAGTGAAAATGAAATGAAATGGGGTTTAACGTCCTACTGTTCTGCTCCGAACTGGGCTAATGAAGATGGGCATACGCCATACAGTCTGCTATGAGGGAAATTTTGCCCGGACAGCGGCACTATGGCCTACTCTTATATCGAATTCCAACTGTCAGGGGATCTTTTACGTACACGCTAATGTGTACACGGGACATCGTTTTTTTCGTCCCATCCGAACGACTAGACAGTGGTCCTTGTCAGACCCTCCGTCCTGCATCACTGACAAAGGGAACCACGCCGGAAAATCGGGATGAACTTTCTCGGCCAATGCAGGGATCGAACACCCGACCTCCAGGCTAGCGAGCCAGCGTCTTACCCACTTAGCCACCGTGATCCCCCAGTGAGATAGATAAACCCTATCAATTTTAACGAGATGTGAACGACAGATCAATGGATGGACGGAAGGGCGGATGGATGGTCAGGATGACAGGATAACAGTACTGTAATACGACAGAATTTGAAATGTGGCATATAAAAGTGGAGATTTGTGTCAGGTTATGGCCCAATTGCACCAAAAGCAAAGTATTCCCAAGACCTCTCTCCGTGATATGCAGTATATGGGGTTACATTATATGCAAGGGGAGCTCTGTAGATAAGTTACCTCTCCGACCCTCCAGGTTTCGAGATAAGAAAGAGTACGTTCTATCTGGCACAGCCTTCGTGAATCACAAACGGCATTATCTGAGGAATTCCTTATGTCATCTTTATTTTTTATCTTGATTTATTACTCATTCTTCACCTTTGTTTTAAATAACAGATATTCAAATCGGTTAAAGGAGCTACATGTATAATCTCTAACTCAATATTTTCCATAATATTCGAAATTAAAAACAAGAATTAGAATTCAGTATTGATCAATTTCAGTCAATATTGCCGTGAATTTATAGGATCCTAATATCCAATATTTAAGACACAATTAACCATTTTATGATCAGTACACGAGAAGTGTACCCTATGGTTTCGGGCCCCATTTTGTAATGAACAAATAAAAACATATCCTACAACACAATGTGAAAGTAATTAGTAAAGGCTGATTCACAAACGACAAAATAATAATTTAAACACGTGTAGAATGATCTATAGGTGTAAACGTCTGTCGTTCAATTTGAGCTGTTCACATATTTCACCAAACATAGTTGATTAGAAGTTACAATATTTTTTCAAAAATTACATACATTCATATTACATTAATATGTGCTTTTAGAATCATTTTCGTCTATTTCATGTTTTAAAAAAATAGAGCCATACACCCTTTAAGGTTCAGTTCAGGTTGCTTACCGCGCGGTGTCTAACCAGCAAGTATCCTAAGACGAGTTTAAGTCTTTTCAATTTGAAAATTGTCATAAAACCTCGCTCCCGTAAACACTTCTTGGTTGAGAGCGCTAATTTTCGTCAATTCACGAAGTATTTAGTCAATTTTACATAAGGGCTCGCGAGAGAAAAGGGGTTTCTATCTCGGTGTTAGCCGAGAGAATTCCTCAGGATTTTCAGTGTGGTCTCTACGTACCTGTATGTCGTGTAGGGCAAAACAGCGTCGGGTTTTCCGGGTCGACCCGTTTACTTGTTGGCGTGTACGTAAAAGAACCCTTGACAGTTGGAATTCGATAAAGATAATGTTCCTCAGGATTATCCAGTGTGGTCTCCACTTGTCTGTGTGCTAGGACAAAACAGCATCTAGTCGTCAGGATGGGACAAAGAAACGAGGTCAACCCGTTTACTCATTGGCGTGTACGTAAAAGAACCCTTGACAGATGGGAATTCGATGAAGATAATGTTCCTCAGGATTATCCAGCGAAGTTTCCACTGTGCTGGGACAAAACAGCGTCTAGTCATCCGGATGGAAAAAAAACGAGGTTTACTCGCTGCCGTGTACGTAAAAACAAAAACCCTTGGCAGTTGGAAATCGATGAAGAGTGCGTGGAACCGACCCCTGTCCGGCAACATTTCCCCTATAGTACTCGGCATAACGTGTGCCCATCCATTGCATCCAATCACTGCTACAACTACACAAATAAACCAAATCATAACAAATGAATTGAAACGAAATGGTCTGCTTTGACTGGGCTAATCAAGACGGAAAAGCATAACAAAACAACAAAATAAAAAAAACCCATAAAATATTTCCATATGCCTATGATCTCCTAATTGTTGAGCACATCCCAAGTCCATGGGGAACAAATTATAAACTGCTATGATAAAATTTAATGTGTTATTAGAATTTGAAACACTTCTTTAAAGTCTATTGGGACGCATAGAAATGCCACCGCCATTCGTATATATATGCACAGATGTTGAGAATCGATAACTTGAATTCTTGTGCAATAAAACAACCAACTGACAATGAAAAGTATCCATTACAATAATACACCCAGCTGCTTCCATAGAAATAAGGCAGTTCATGTCGCAAAAAGTAATGACCAACGCCCGTTATATTATATTCGTCTTACTTCCAGCAGTTATGATTAATCGCCTTTATAAAATTATATGGTCACGTGATCTGAACTGGCGGTAAATTAAGGCGACACGTGCGTTTGTTTATGCCAGTACTAGCTGTACAATGTGGTGATTCACAATTATTACTCCATGGATTATATTGTTGAAAACAACGAGGAATATTTGAAAAGATGACCAGGAGAGAAGATCGGGGCAATTAGTTTTAAACCAAGTTTAAACGAAGATCGACATTATTCTGATAGGAAGGTCAAAAATGTCGGACTACTATTACTGTCATCTGGTCATCTTGACTGAATTATCATGTGATTGATAATTTATTAAAATCGTGATTTAGTGTTGTCCAAATTTCAAACTTTATGCAGAACAAGTTAGTTATAATACTATAATAGTATTAAATCCGGTGTGCGGTATCATACATGGAAATATAATAGGCGACCACGGTTATCAGAATAAACACGGAACAAAATGAAGGTGAGCTGATAATATGTATTTTGATCAACAGCCGCTTGTCCCCATAAAGTTTAAATTAGGCATTCAGACAGGCAGATAGGATATTCTGTAACTTACTTTCATGTAAATCAGTGTCCTATTGTACAAGAAGATCACAGATTTAGACTTTGAAATGGGGCACTGTCCAAGTCCTACCGATGGGGTAATTAGTACTTGGACTCCACTGTCCTGTTGATATCTATAATGGGGGTCAGGGTGGCTTAGTGGGTAAGATGCTTTAGTGTGTTACGGTTAATTTGATCGGGAGACGTGTTCGTTGACGTCAATGTCAACCAACAACAATGCAAGAATTGGCCGTGGCACTGCAAGAGGAGTGGGTCAGATTTCCCCGAATCGTGATTGGAGGGTTGATTAGGAGCATGCCACGACAAATTGCTGAATGTCTGAGGATTGGTGGAGCAATTACTCATTATTAAGACAAAAATCAAAAACGTCCATTTTCACTTTTGATGGTGTATCTCTTTGCGAGTGAAATGGGGCCGTCAGATAAGCTGCCCATATGAACTGTGTATGTTCATGTGTAGGCAATTGGCCTGTTATTAACATACACTGGTTAACTCTAATAAAAACAGCAGTGCATTTCAGCAGTTTTGTATTGTTTCTGAATATCCCCTACCTTTTTTGAAGAGTATATATGGTTGTCGGGCCGCACATAATGCATAATGCCGAGTGAGATTGGTTGGACGCCCACGACTTGATCAATGTGGCACCCAAAATAAATGGCATGATTGGTGGGGCACCCATAATGCAGAGTGAGATTGGTTAGGCACCCACGAATGAATTTCGTATTCCTTCCTTCAAATTTTTAGGATGTTAATATAATGATATGCCAATATCGCAAATTCAGCTTAAAAATTGAAATTTTCCGTCATTTTCATAGTTGCAATCCCTATTTTCAAAAATATTGCGGGGGAGAGCACCCTAGACCCTTCTCCAAAGGGAGACGCGTCCACGGTGCCGTTTACTGTGAACTGTCAAGTGTAGGTACATCGGCGCCCCCAGAAGCCCTCCCCCCTCCCCTCCCCTCCCCAACATTTTTGGGCTAGCTTACAGGCCTGAAAACAACTTGGCTTTAAATTCTTCACAATAAACAAACACACCTTTAGAAAATGACATTTAGTAACTATAATCTTTTTTTGAACTTCACATCAGGTATTCTAGTAAGAGTTAGTATAAACTAAACTCATGTTGGAGACATGTTTATCTGGGATATCCCTGGGTGAAAATGATGATCAATAAACTTATTAAATACACAGACAAGGTGTCTTTCTGTCCTTTAGTCTAAATTAATCATGCTTTTCTTACCCAACCCTAATAATATACACTGACTCAACATATTGGTAAACACAAGTGTTGCCTTCCAGTATTGTTTCAGGATTGTTGTTTTCTTATTTTATATTCAGTAAACAGTATTATTGGTTTCTTTATTATGTATTCTGTATCATGGGAGTGGTGACTACTGATTTTCTATTTAATTTGCCATTATAAGTATCATTTTGTTGTGCTTACTGATGAAAATTTTCTGTGAAAATTCATTTCAAAGGAAACAATGTGAAAAGATGTTATTGTATATTATTAGAATTACTATATTTCTTACATGATAATTCTCGTTTAAAGTAGTTAACAATAGATGAACATTTTTTATTCCAGTAATTTAGTATTGTTAATAATATTGGTATTCCAGTATTTGGATGGCCAAGTTCAGTTATTGAGATACATTTTATCAGGCAATCAGTGGCAAATAATGTTTACTCTGGCTACATACATGCATGGAGGAGTTTGCTAAATAGTCTTCAATAATAATTCAAATAAGAATGTCAGATAATCAGATGATGTATTATTAAGAAATATTAAAGATACATTCCTGCGTACAAACTGGGTGATTTGATGAT